CTCCCGCAGCCGTGGTAAATGCGCCCCCTGTACACCGTAGGTACATGCAACAAACGGTACGTAGAGTTCGCTTTCCGCTGCCACCAGTGTAGTCTCGAGACTACCCACCGGGTGGAAGGAGGCAATGAGTGAAGCTGGACACACGTGTTCAAATACGACAAGGCAACGAGACCTGAGCATGACCCGAATGTCAGCCCACGTGTACAAGGACCAGACAAATCCCAGTGACCGCCAAACGTCATGTGGTCATATAAGCAAAGTATTACATTTTTTTGCTTTGTTTACGTCATTCCCCGTATTTCTGTTGGAAACTTTTTCTTTTGATGTATTTGTTTATAAGCTGACATTTTAGCTAATCTATAGCCCATTTTCTAATTCTTATGAAATACATGCACACAGCCTAAGTTACTACCGATAGGAAGTCTTCGGAGTTGCGGTAGTACTTTGTCAATGTTGACATCATTGCATCTGGCATTAACACTGACATTAATCTTGCTCTTTGCCATGTGGGATGACCTGCGTCCAATCCGCATACAATCATTTGGTCCTGCTTTTTGCTTTCTTTTACCTAATGGAAAGACTTGACACGTAGCATAAACCTCATTAACACGCTGAAAAGCAAGAGTACAATTTTTCCATTCTATGGTTAGGCCCACATATTTATAGAATAGAACTGTAAAAATATGACCTAATTTCTTTTTAACTAAACTTCGTGTTGCTTAACTGCGCTAAGACCTAAGTGTGCAAAAGCTTGATTTCGTGTTTTGATGTATGTGGAACTAAGAATTGGTGAATTAATTTCATGATAAGAGGAGTCGTTTTTTAAAACCGTTTAGTCTCATTTAGAAACTATTGCTAGCACTGTAATGCAGTTGGAAATAAAGAAAACAATAGGATTGAGAAGGATCTGTGAGAGTATGCTTGAGCCTCTCGAACGTTGAGGCTACTTACTTTCTAGTTGGCGACTCGATATGCCCGTATGAGCATGGCGATGAGACTTTTTCTTAAAGTGAAGAAGTGTGACCGAATGCACCTTCATGCATACATAAACCAAATCCACGTGATTTGGAACAGCACCAAATAGAGCCCTCTTCGCATGTCCTGTGTTGCATCCAGCGTAAAAGCGAACCTTGACGTTATAATTGTTGGCAAACGTAAAGGTCGCTCTATTTTGTTGAAACGATTGTGTTCAAACGGAATATTGAGTCTGGATTAAAAATTACTGCAATGGTAGGGCATTTGTACTGTCCATACACATTCACGCACAACGATCGTTCCTACTACCAATACAACGTGCGATTGACAACAAAAAGTATTGAGTTTGGAATAGTGTTCAGTTGGTATCTTGGAGTCCCTAGGCATCCCGGAGGCCCACAAGCTCGAAGCGCTTAACGCAACTGATAAATTGGTCAGCTACCTCACTAAAATCTGCGATGATCTTTTCGCACTCCTGATCCTCGTCGTCTTTGTACAACTGCTCCGCGAGGCCTAAAGCGTAGGCATCAAGAAAGCTTTTGGCCCACTTGAATCTGTCTAGGCCAGACCAGCGAATGAAACTCGTTAGCATAAATTGGACTATTTCATGGTCATGCGACTGGAGACTGGGATCTCTGCGCACCACCTCGAAGCTATCCGTCAAAATGGCCACAAACATGCTCAGCATAATGAAGATGATGAAGAGGGAGAAGGTCGCAAACACCACAGGACCGAGGATAGGCTCTCTTTCGTACATTCCCTTGACATCAAATTTTCCCAAGACGATCTGAAAACTCGTTTCCATGGAGGAAATCATGGTGCTGTACGCGGCCATAGTATCGAAGAAGAGAAGATAGAAGGTGACCACGAAAGAAAAGAAGATAATGGCGAAGACGATAAAGAAATACTTCATGTCACGATTTGCATATCTCAAAACAGAGCCCAGCAGACCGATGTTCTTATTGAAGCGGAGAATATGCATCAGCATAAGGATGGCAACGAAGGTGACGAGAGCAACTAAGTAGGAGAGGATTTCATTCCAATTAGCTACCATCTGGAAGTTGGCATAACCATTTCCGTTGGAACGATAGAACTCCAAAGTCAATCTTTTCACCTCCATTGTAATGTAACTGTAGATGGCGATTGCACCGAAGGAACAGGAGATGATGAACATCTGAGCCCAGGCTTGAAAAGTGGAGAAGTATCGAAGACGTTGGCGACACAGATTGCGAATCTCCTTTATCACCATAGTGACCAGTGCAATCACAAAGAGAATCTGTAAGGGGCGAAGAGCTTTCACCACGGGTTTCAATGCATGCGCTGCGCACAGTAAAGCATTAGGTAGAGAAATTGGCATTTGTAAAAGCTGAAGTTTTGAGTAAGCAAGACTGTTACACCGCAAAGAAATGATGAGACGATGAGAAATGTTTCGCAGAGAACGCAAGCAAAAGTAGAGGAGGTACCTGGCAGGCGAGTTCGAAAGCCTTAACACCGCTGGCAGAGAAGGAGAGAAGGTTAGCTGGTTCAATTCGAAAAGAAGGGAGCACACCGCCTGTACCGGACAGTTCAAACTTGATAACGGTGATTCCGAAAAGGTAACTTCCCGGATTGAAGGTGGTCATCTCCACAATGACTGCACGAGTCCGACGGTCGATCCATTGCTGTTTACGTAGGTTATGCATCTCCTCCATGAGCTGACTCGAACTGCCACGTAACTCGTGCACATAGCCACCGCCGGAGTAGAAGCCTAATTGGCCTTTTGTGAAGAAGCCATCGCGTTCCACAGCCCTTGTGTAGCGATACTCCAGAGGCAGGTCATCGTGTGCCAGCGCAGTTGGAATCCATCCAGGTTGGTAGTCCCCCTCATCCTGATCCCACAAGTGATACTGACCAAAACACTCGTTAAAAAGGGGTCTCATCGCCTGTTCTACAGTGCATGAACCTGAAAGCAAAGAAGTAAATTGTTCGGCGACCAGGTAAAGTCGATGAAGAGGAAATTTGTTTTGGCATGGGCTTGAAAGCAATCTACGTCCCCAGTAGAAAGGGACGTAGAATGTGTTCTGCATGGAGATGAGTTCTCATCCACACAGGCGCATAGTTTCTTTGTAGGAATATTGTGAGATATTTGAACCGAAAATTGCCTAACGCATACTGCCTTATCACACTTAAATTGGTGGTGATTCACTCACGCTTAAGACTGAAATAACATCAACTACTTGCGACTATCATTTGGAAGAGAGGAATGTATTGACACTTTGACTTTCGAGTATGACAAAATGCTGCTCCGGCACCTCTCCATAGGTCCGAGGGATGCCATTAGCTTCAAGCCGCCCCCCCCCCTAAGTCGATAAAGTGTATCATGCTTGAGTGTTGTGTCTTCTTTCGTCCCTAAGAAAGTCTCTGGGTGATGCTTTTGTGGAGGCGGAAAGCGACCCCATTTTAGAGCACAGCTATTCTGATTCCTCCTCCTGTGCGATATGCTTCAGCCGGGCGGACACAGGCTCAGTCCTGCAATCAGTAGGAATACTATTAATAAAGAAAGCAGCACTAACTGCTGCCGCCTAAGAAGCTACTTGCGAAGTCCCCACTGCACCTGCATGTGGCCTCTGGATGTTCCCTTGGCTGTCCTGCTAGCTTGATTAAACTCCGATATGGTTGAATAAACCTAGGGTGATAACAGAGTGGCAGATCACACCAATCTCTCATCTTATGAAAGCCTGTTAACCGCGATCCCTTCACAGCAGTATTTCTACGGTCAGCACACTCCTCCATCCACCAATTCGGTTCTCAGACAAGACGAGACTTCGAGTCTAGAGAAATTACTGAGCATGATCAGTGACATTCCAGTCCACTTGTCTTGCAGCACCGGCCGTAGCGTGATGACCGACGTAGAAGGTCGACCAAATGGATTAAAGAAGAGAAAAACTCAAATAGAAAGAGAAGGCATTTTGTCATTTGGTTGTTTGTTTGACCCTTAATTTTAGTAACGGGACACTTGAGCGCAAAGCCAGTGCCCTTCCCCCAATTGGACTGGCCTTCAACCTCCTCCGTAAATGTAAACACAATCTGTTCTGGCACTACTTTGCCTTTCCTACACAGAGAAGTCGTAGAGCGCTGTGGTAGTTATAAATGCTAATACACCCAAAATTTTACACTTGAAGCCTTCCCTTTAGTTTGTCTTAGCATTTAATTTTAGTAAAATAAATCCATCTAAGTATATACAAAAGTGGACGTTTGTACTTTCTCGAAGCACCATTTTGTGTGAGAACAGGACCCCATGTAAAGAAGGAATGTGGAATAAGGCCAAAGAAAATGAAAATTAAGGCTGTTTACATCTTTTGATTGCCTAAGTCAATGCCACTGCGACAAAAGCGAAGTAATAGTCGGAACTGAGTCAAAGAATAGTCGAGAGAAGAGAAAAGACTTGCCTTCCTTAACGCGAACTTGTCGCAACGTTGCGTAGCCCATGATTCGATTCTTGCGGTCACCAATGAAGCCTCGCTGTCCCAGAGGCGGAGCGCCATTGTACCAAGCTGAAGCTCGCAAATTGGGCAGCAAAGTTGTTTCAAACCAATCCCATATCCCGTCGATTGAATTTATCTACCCATGCATTGATTAAATGGGTTGGCATCATATAACTTTTCTTTTTCATCAATAAAACCAACTTCAACTTCGGGTCACTTCAAAGCAGGCATTAAATCGTCAATGTAGTTTCTGCTTGAGTAAAAGTAGACCGGTCTAGACAGTTCTTCTGACGGAGACCTACCGCTTTGAAGTCGTCGCCATTGAAGAAGAGGGAGGCGAGACTCTCACGCAGCCGCATTGCCAAAGGATCGCGGAAACCGTTAGAGACGATGACAAGGAGGGTGAAGAAGGTGAAGAAGAAGACTAACTCACGTAGGATATCGCACATCTGTCGTTGTTTCTGCCGATGCATTCGTGCCCGCTCCAGTGCCTCCTGATTGGGCGGACGTATCACGTAGCTCTCAAGCTTTCCGCGCACTTAACGCGGACGGGTGAAAGGAATGTGAAGGAGAGATGAAAAGGCAAACACAAGAAAATCCACTGTTTCTTAATTTTACCCTGCTGCCAACAGTCTCCGTGACCAAACGGCTTCATTTGCACTTTCACTACTTCAAAAGTGTCAATTTAGCAGACCATGAATGCACTTGCGGATAGCACAGACCAGGAAATTTGTAAGACCTTGTGGTGTTGCAGACTTACAAATTTCTTCATGCAGATATTCCTCACCAAAGTTTAGCCTATAACGGTGGCCGAGGGTATTCATTAGAGCCTCGTCTTCTTCAACAAAGTCAAAATCTGACGCGTCCACCTTTGATTTACAGATTACAGCGAAGAAGACCGCAAATAGCACAACCTAGAAGTAATCACGGAGACAGTAACGAAATTGTAAACGAAAGTAAGACGTGGCCCTATGACCAACGCAGCCAACCTTCACGGGTTGTGTCAAACAGAGATCTATGAAAAACGAGACGAACAGTGAAGAGAGCCACTGTTTGCAGGCTGCGTCACCGAAACTAATTCCATAGAAGGTGGTGAAGACAGCAGAGGCTGCGATCCCAGTGATGAGGAGAAACCATGCCAAAATGCGAGTTTGCCAGGGTAAAGCGAACTTCTTCCATTTTCTCCCATTTAACGTTTTCTTCTCCGACTTCCTTCTGGGGGATTCAGGGCCTTCGGAATATGGCGGAGGCTGATCGTCCTTCCAACTAAAAATACTCCACTTATATTTCCTGCTGCGACCATCAAAAACCAGTTAAGGCACATGCTTAGTACAGAGTGTTTGCCTAAAAGTTACGCTGATACAGTTACGCGTGTTTTGAAGACACTTACTCATCAAGAGTTGAACACGATTCCAGCGCTTTTTCAACAAAGGTCTGATCGTGGTCTTTGGCAACTTTGCAGCTGTTGTAGTCCAGCTCCTCATCCAAGTGATCCTCCACCACACCCCGAAGCAGTGCCAAATGGCTGGTGCGTAGCTTTGAGTTACGAAACAGCATTATAACGACTGTGACGGGCACAAATGTGATGAGGCAAGTCACGGTTCCCGTGTAAGCCTGGAAACAGAAATTCAAGTCTGTACGTTTCAGTTGATGCAATTAAGTTGTGCCAACAACAAGTAGACGTTTGATCCGAACCTGGAACAGAGGACTCCTCTAGAAAGTCTGCATAAATTTGAAGGGGCTAGTAGTCTCCAAGAGCGACAAAAGTGCTGGTATGCTATCAATGAATTTCCTAAATTTAACCTTCGCTTCTGCCTAGTTGGCAGAGTTTGTAACTTTTAATTGTCTCGGAGAAGAATGGGGATGCAGTTGCCGTTACCACTTAGTCCTGACAAATTAAAACTGCTATACCTCAGAGCACAAAGACAGTGTGGATTTAGAAGAGAAAAAAGCAATCGCCTGCGCCTACCACATAGGGTGTGAGAGCGAAGGGTCCAATGGTGAAATCAAAGTCAACCACAGCAGGTCCTTCGTTCTTGTAGAACATACAGGAAGAAACCATGGTGAGGAAAAGGACGAGGAGGCAACAGGCCACGCGCTCCACTCGGGTAAAGTTCGAGTGGGCGGGTCTTGTGAACACCGAGGCCCAGAGGTGTTTGTCACTTGTGTCACTTTTCACCTTCTGCGAGAACAGGTAGTAGAGACGCAGGCGGTCCAGCGAACTTGCCACTGGAATCACTCTGTCAATCTACACATACAAGCACACTACTCTGCGTCAACTAAAGCAACCAAGTTAATTGCAAAGTTTTAATGTGGTTAAGAATTGTGCGCTAGTTGTGTTGCTTGTGAAATGCACATCACAATGGGTAAATTGTTTACTTAAAGCTTGATTTCGGTGACGAGTCATTTGGGCACTTCGTTATTGTGCCACTGCAGGACGGCTTTGACTCTAAGTCACGCTAGTGATCCCTCAGTCCTACTCCGAGTCGACAATGCGTATTTTTTTTCCAGATTCATGACTTCTCCCGACGTTAGGGAAGTCGCAAAGAACTGCGTTAGTTTAAATTATCATTCACCTAAGATGCAGTTTTCACAACAGCGTGCCATTGCAGCTATCCTTAGACAATTTTCATTAGCCAAAGATTGAGACTCACCAGTCCGTCGCCCTCTTCGACGGCCAGCCACTTATCAACGATAAAGTTGTGCTTTACTTTGGTCTGCAAATCAACAATAGAGACGAAGTTGCAGTACCATGACGCTCCGTCCCCCTTCCCAGCATTGTCATGCCAAAGCCGCAGGAACTTCAGTTCTCCTAAAGGCCTAGAATACATATCTGAAGATCAGGAGATCCACGATCATTACCACCATTATTATTAGGAAATACTCGTGGACTAATAACCAGCATATGTTAACAATGAAATTTATTTGGCAAACTGAACAGTTTTAGTCGTTTTAGTAGTGCTAGTCGTGGCTGTCGCAGTGGTAACAGCTGTCCTTGCGGTGGTTATTTCAGTGTCACTTTTACTATCTGTTAATGTTTCCGATTCTGTCATTGAGTTTGTAGTTGATGCATTGCTTGATGATGTCTGAGCACTGTTATGCTCATTGTATTTGATTCGAGGTTCAGACTGGGATCGCCTCATTTTCTTCATTTTTCTTTCTTCTTCCTGAGGCACTGTAGGAAGCTTTGGTGAAGAATAGTCTTGACGGCTAAACGAGGTCATATCTTCAACAGTAATCGTTTCCTGCACTTGCTGAGCTGACTTCACTTTGGCTCTTAGTCTCTCCAGAGTAGCCTCATTCATACTCACTAAAGCTGTTTGTTCTGAAATTGAATTAAGTAGTATTTCAATCTTTATTTTAAGTAACTCTTGCTCCTTTTTGAGTTGAGAATTCGCCTTGCGAAGAATGAATATGTCATTTGAAGTAAAGTAGTGACACTCATCCTCGCAGACTAGCGAATCCAACGCAACAAGGCGCCAGCCAATGTCACCACCTTCCCATTCAACCTGAACATCACCAAGTCGACAACAGGGTTTTGGCAATTCCGTCACCTTCGCTTGAGAAGACAAGGTACGAAAATTGGTGTCGTAGGTTGAACCGCTGGAGAAAGTTTCAGTGTTGGAGATGCTCCGAGAGATCTCACTAGTAAGCTCCTCTACAGTGGATGTAATGGGTGTGCTTTCGCTACTCTGTTCACGGCGTTGTTGAAGTTTCTGCAACCTGTTCTGGGTGGCAGTCAAGACATTTGCCGCCTTGTGAATTGTTGAGGTTGCAGCTCGTATAACACGGTTAGGTGGTTTGAAAATCTCCTTGTGCTTAAGTGAATGGACGTTCATTCTCTCGTCGCTCCGCTCTTCCTGAGAAAGCGATCAGATAAACTCGGACCCCGTAGTCAATAAATTATCGATAAAATCGATTTCGATCAGTTACCATTGGCGCGGCTTCAGGATTTGCTCAGTTCACAAATCCCTTGAAGTATAGAGAGTTGATTTTGGTTGTTTTTACAGGCATCGGTTGTGATAAGGAGACTTCTTTGAATTGCTGATGTTGGAAATTTGTCGGAAAGGAAAGTCTGACAATGCACAGGTGGTGTCTTCGTCAGTCATGGCGAGAGATTCTGAGTTCTGCATTGATGGCAGAAGAAAGATGACCACATCTTTGTGGGCATTCTCTGCCTTCTGCTGATGGGTGATGAACCTTACAGTGATGAAGGAAGTGTGTGCGACGATCCATGAGAGAAAACACCCCTTGCCATGACCAGGGATAAAGTTTACAGCGAGAGTGGTGATAACTTTAACCTGTTTGGAAAACGTTCATTGTGCAGATGTCTATACTACCTGCACAAAAAATCATATATCTGGCCTCGGGACGTTGTCTTTACTTTTTTGCTACCTGAATAGAACTTGATAGGTATATCTAAGTAAATATTGCATGATAACTGTGTTAAAAGTGATTTCTTTTTTAGCAAACCTATAGTAAATCCATTTCTTTTTTTCCCGCAGGGTTCCTAAGACGAGCAGCGGCTAGAGCCCTTTCTCTCTTCCAACACGGTTTGCACTACAATTGCCAAGAGGTGTCGGTGACTTCGTAGTTAAGATTTTCCCGTTTGCCATGAAAATTCGATGACTGATGTACTTGGTTCGTGACCCTTTCATTGAGGCCTAGACTCCGTCATGATGGCCGACACAAAATGTTGAACAAGGGAAGCGACATAGACATTGCTCACAGGAGAGGGGAGGTAGGTAATGCGTTTAATCCTATTGAACTCTCGGTTACTTGGATGCCCCAACATCTTGTCTTTGGCTGGTAGATTGGCACCCGCTCCGCCTACAATTCATATTCTGGCCGATTTTATACCGTCAACCGCATTCAAAGAAGTCTGAAGATGCTGCACATCGGCGTTTGTCACCGACGACCCCAATGTACTAGACTAGCCGCTGTGTCGTAATCTACGATAAGTTAATATGTGAAGACTAGGTAAACTGACCTTGCGGTGGCAAGAAGGAAACGATCAACATTGCCACGCTGGAGGACCTTTCGATGTGGGTCGCGGAGGGTGAAGGGTGCAGTTCCACCTCTTTCTCCGTTCACTTGCATACAGACGGTAGATGTGGTACCAGCGTCCCTCCTTATGCCAGTGCACACAATCACCTCGTAAAGGTACTCATCAGCCGGATTGTTCTCAGCCAGTGGAGTTATTCCCAACTACAAGATCATATCCCTTCAATTAACCAGCTTGTTTACCTCTTTGAGGCGCAAAGAACAAGTATGGTACACTAACTTTCTGAATGTCTCGATTGTCCATTCGTCGAGCCCACATGAAAAGAAGGAGAAATATAATGGCGATTGTAATTTCCGTTGCGTAGAGAGTTGCGTTTCTTTCGAACTGGATGTTTCTGAAGACGTAGTTGAAGTCAATCTGATTGGGTGGAACCAACCACCCGGCACCGAAGGTGGTCAAATGATCGCAGACGCAGACTGTGGTGTGCGTTGTTGTCCTGCGGTCGACCTTTTGCAAAGTAGGCAGCCAATGAGGTCTGTGCATAGCTTCGTCTGTCCTATATAACTGTTTTGTTGCATTTACCAGGACGATTGACAATTTTAAGCATGCCACTTTCCTCACATTTATCTTACCCTAGGAGGGTCTTGCTAAAGTTATTGAGAACTAAGGCTTTAAGCCCACTCTTGAGAAGTGAACGATCGCTACCTTGTTATTTATCAAAGTGAGAATGATGGTCCCCTCAAAGAGGAGCGTTCAACTGTGACTCCAGTGCAAAAAATGATGTACCACACAGCCTTTGGTGCTCCACTCTGCCAAGTCCTTATCCAGAAAGTTGCAGGTGGTTGTGAAGCCTCGGTATTTGATTGTTGTGTTAATTTGATCAAAGAATGGGTAGGGTAGTGGAAGCATCTTCCAGTCGAGATTCCTTTCCACTATGCTCAGCTGTCTGAAGCCAACCCATAAGGTCTTCAGCACGGAGGCGCCTATCATTTGTCCGACAGTCGCATTCAGAGCCTCTTTCTTGTGCCTGGCGAAGTCAACATTGTTGATAAAGAAGGTGAAATTGGCCTCCTTCTCCTCAACAGTAATTGACTGATTGTCTAAAACAAAACGGTTTTCAGTGTAGCCTCGCTGATTTAGTGTAGACGCGTGTTAAAATGGGCAGAGGGATACACACCATATACGTCGAGGGTTGGTGGAACAAGAGCCCAAATAAGAGCCCATTTGCAGTCAACATTGGACAAATCAGGCGGGTTTACAAAGCTGCAAATGAAAGTACAATATGCTGAAGTCAGGGTAGGGATAAGGCTTCTTACTTATTTCCCATTTTTTCCCGGAAAATGGACCTTACTTTTCGAGTGATCAACTCAAATTTAACTTCCATCAGTACACTTACAGGATTGTCCAAAAATATTTAGGAAGAAAAAGGAATTGAAATTTGTTGAGTGCCTCACCTGGCAACGACGAGGTACTGTGGTTTCGCGTCAACGTCATCAGGTTCAATTTGAAAGCTGAAACTTACTGCCTCTTCGCCAATTTCAAAGCCAACCATCACCAGTTGCTGGTGGACAATAGATCCATCCACAGCAATAATGGGATCGGGCAGCTTCATTGGGCTTCCATCAAGAGTTCCTGATGTGAACGGGGGCAAGCTATCCTTTAGATCCTAGAGTAGGCAATGGAGAGTGCGTAGCTCTTATTAGCATGTTCAACTGAAAAAAAATGAAGATTCGACAAGTGATTTGAATAAAGGGCTGCTCACCATAGCGATTCTTACGGTAACTGAACCAGGCATTCCCTGGACTGAGAGCTCCTCCTCATTCTTGAAAACAGTCAGCTCCACAGCCATGGAGTGAGCTGCGACCAAAGTGTGTGCTGTATCCGCAAATCCAAAGAGACTCCCTCTGGCAACCATTGTCTGGCAATAATGCATTCAAATTGAGTCATCAGATTAGTCCCATCCGATAATGGAAGAGAGTTGATATTGGCAGACCAAATTGCAATTAACTCATAACCTCTTTGAAGTTTCTGACTTTTGCTAAGCTAACCTGTATAAGAATGTCGTCTGTATCGTTAAACAAGTCCTCCAGTCCTGCAAAGGTTATGGATGAGGAGGAGTAATCGCCATAGGATTCGGACAACCAATAATTCACACTTGATTTTGATACTTTGCGTAGGGAAATCTTTCCAAGGGGTGTTGAGATGGCAATGCCCTCATTATTCGTAAGCAGCGAACCAAGGCTTCTTGTTACCTCCATTTGCAACGTCACTAATTGTTGATAGAGTTCGGCACTCTAAATGAAGGCAAAAATAAATGAAAGAGTTAGTCATTAACGAGCAATTCGGCATGCAACAATGTTAAAAAGTACAACTTGCTTTTTTATCAACTATCTTTGCACTAGTAATAAAGACAACGGAAATAAGAGAGGTAGGAAGGAAAATGGGCGTTTGACATACAGAAGGACTGCGAGAGGACTACCGAGAGGGTGCAAAATCATGTCGATCAGGGCACATTAAGTGCTTCATAAGCCAAATAAAGGATTAAAAACCCACAAGATTAGGAATTCCGTGGCCACCAATACTGAGTTTTGAACATTAGATCGTGTATCTATAACCATACGGCGATAAATTAAACTAACCACAAGCTCCTGATTCATTCGGGTGTTGATAGCTGATAAAGAAGAATATTGCTCCTCTTCGGTGTCACCTTCAGGCTCTATAATTTGTATAATTGCAAAAAATATATAGAAAAATACGTCATGACCTTCACAGAGGAATAATGCTGAGTAATAAATTGCTTTAACGCACTTAGTATTCATATCAAGGCCACCGAGACAGCAGTGCGGTTTTTAAAAATTGCATATGGGAGGATCAAAGTTTCTGCTAATCGCATCCCTCTATAAGTCACAATGCAATGTACTTCACTTTCATGACGTTTCTCAACCTGAATCTATCACAAAGCTAGCATGATTCATTGTCCTATTATCAGATAGGTAAGATAAATAAAATTGTGGGAAATCCACTAGCTCAGAGAAACCCAGCAGTCAGGGTTGATCATAATGATTAAAATTTGGTTGTTAGGATGCTTTGACCCCTTTCGCAATTAATTTTGGTGGGTAAACATGAACCAAAAAAGGAAAATTAGTGATGAAAGAACAATCAACCGAAAACTGTCATCAAACGGGTGTACTAGTGGTTGTCAACATCACATTTGACTAAAAGGGGGAGACCCTACTTCTCGCCTATACAGTTATCATTGGTGATAAAAAATGGAGGTAAGATCTGTCATCTCAAGGTTATCTAAAGATAAACAGAACTAATTTCTTTGACCTATTCTCCTGCTTCATCTCAGCAGCGGATACAAATTTAATAACAAAACAGTTTTGATCCGATTTAAAGGGTTTGGATGCTAACTAAAAAACTTGAAGGTCAAAAGAATCCCTCTTATTTTGACTCACCGTAGTTGTCAATATCTGTGTCATATGTCATTGTTGAAGGTTTGGTCACAACATCCTCGAGGTGTGGCGAGATAAGCTGTGATTGAGTGCCCTAAAAAAGAGCATGGCGACTTGGATAAAACTTTGGAGCCAAAGATATTACTTGTCTAGCTGTTGCACGCTTACATTAAGCACATCAAAAAATGTGGAGAGAATCATAATTCCGATGTCAATCGAGTCCTCTTTTGAGGAGGACTGTGAAATGTCTTCAAAGTTCCTGATTACATTTTGAATGATAAAAGAGAGTTGAAGCTGCGCTGATTGCGTCATGTCACCTGAAATTGCCGCCACTGCACTCAGGGTGGAGACGGTCATTTGTAAGGCGTTTGTGTTGGTCACCTCGAGTCTCTTAGTAGCCTCCACTAATTGGGCGGCAATCTTGTCAACATTAAAGTAAAAAAGATGGCAATGTTCTAGTGCATTAGAGATATCATGTCATTAGCATCGACAGGCAACAAAATTATTCACGCTGCCTGCATAGTTGCAGGTGGTAATTAAACTCAAAATGGTCTCATGGACCATCATGCAATTGTTCATATCTCGAACAACACAATCTGTGAACAAATGTGGAAAAACGTTACTAGCAAGAAATAAAACTTACACTACTCCTTATGTTCGCTGTATAAATGGGGTCAATAACGTTATCCTATAGTAAACGAAAAAAGAGCCTCAGCATAGATCAAGTCACTTTTAATTTTTGAATGACAGTAGTTGTTTTATTGCTTACCCAATCCTCTGAAGGAAATTGAAGGCGTAAGGAGAAAAAAGGAAAGCGTTAAGATCGAGGTTATTGTGAACGTGCTGGTTCTACATCACTTAGGGTAATGGAGGATGCAGAAAGGGGAACGAGCGTGTGATTCATTTCAAATGAGCATTTCAAAACCTAAAGCCATTTAAACTTCCAAGTGACAAAATGTTTAGCTCCTCACTAGGATGCAGTGTTAGCTACAAGTAAATGCTGTATTCAAAGGACTATCGGTAAATGCACTTTTATAATTCCTCTTCAAATAGCCAAAAGTTGTGTGGTTACCGTGACAGCTAATACGTTCTAAAGGGAGCTTCTTCCAGTCTTTCAATAATCTAGAGAGGCTTTGTACAGTAACGGAGATTTGGTTCGGGTCTGACGATGTCAATGAATCGGAGAGTTCGTTATCGGTACAATTAAAAATGCCTTCCAACTTGGCATTGACATCAATGGGAGTTTCCACTTTGAACTACAAATTAACCGAGCATTGTGAAATGGTGTGACAATCATGATGTTGCTGTTGTAGAGGGTGTATTTGCTGATTTACACGAAGGCTGAGGAAGCAGCGCTCACTTAGCGAGCCCATATTGTCAGTCACACTGACACACAAATCAAAGTCGCCAGACACGTAGGGCACCCTCCCGCAGTATTTGGGCTCGCTTGAGGTTGCAAAGGTGAATTGCTTGCCATCAATCCCCTCTAAAAGGCATTACACGTAAAGGACGGTAACTTTGGCTATCCAATGCTGGAAATGCACTTCAACAGGCTTGAAATGGTTGAAAGTGCCCTTACGCTGAAACCTGTAAAGCACGGGTCTCTTATCCGAGCGCATTCCGTCGCAGGAAAGGCAAACAATCGTATCTCTGGCGATTTCACCAGTATGATCGACACGGCATTCGCCTAGCACAGGCGGTATCGCTGGATGAAATCGTTTGCATACTTCGGTTTTGAAGCCCAACACGGAGGTGTGAGAGAAGCAAACTAGGAGGATGTGCTTATTGTTCCACTGTGATAGAAACTTTGAATTGATGATGAGTAGTTTGTTGTCAAATTCTGCTAAGAAAAAGGCGGTTGTAATTTGTTCCCGTCAAATACGCCTCTGGCCTTTGAAGTTACACGAATAATTTTACCTTTCGACGCTTCCTTCAATTCCTCCTTTGTCAGCGGTATGACAGTACCGCAGTAGTCAAATTTTTTAATAGTCCACAGGAACGCGCCTTCACAGCTTCCTGTGCATGCGCCTTCCAGACCGAGGTCAGTTGTTTTACTCACACTGGTGATCCCCTCTAAGCAACAATCGAGGCCAAGTTCTGGTCGTACCATCCTTCCAAGAGAATGCGCAAAGTTAACTCCATCTTACACCTATCATAATACTTTGGTATGAATTCAAGTGCATGTAAATGAATCAGATTAAAAGTGATCCTTGAGAGGGTTACGTGATGCATGGAAGACTCACTTTATTTGGAGAGAGGGTAGGTCTCCAGCCGCAAAGGTGACCTGCAGATTTCCTACCCCAACGCTATGTCCATTGCTGATTCTAGCCTGAAAATGGTATACGTTGGTAAAGTTGAGGAGGCCTCTGTCAATGCAGAAGTCACCCAACTCCATTCCGGGAATCCTGGGCAGCTCACAGGATGTCACTGCACTGAAAGAACCATTTTCGCGTCGTGTACATGTCAGTTTCCAACCCTCTAGACCCTAGACGGATGAATGGAGAAGACGAAGTCAATTAGCACAAGTGATTTCAAAGAAACTGTGGTCATCCTGTAAAAAAGTTGATCACAAAGCTTATCAACAAAAAAGTGGTTAAGAAAGCAGACAAACCTCGCCCAATTTGGCATGGGGGATGTTGGGGTTGAAAGAGTACTTGGCAGGAGAGAGGCAAAGAGCAGTAATGCTCTCACTAATGGTGACCGCTTCTTCTCCATTCTTCTCAAACCTTACCACCGGAGCTAGTTCTGCTACCGCGATGAATGCACTAACCGCTGAATAAACCTCCACGTCATCCACCATACCGCTTAAATAGGCCTCATAGAGTCCAGGCTCGAGCAAGTGGGGCGGTATGTTGACCTGCAAGTTGCTTTTTGAAGGGAACTGAGGCAGGTCAATCCACTTTAGCCTTTCTGTAGTCGAATAGTTCAGTTTAAAGATCTGCCATTTGTACACCATCGGTGTGAACTGCGGACAAAGAGTTCCATTGCTTCGAGCAATTATGGTAAGTCTTTCTTCCACCTTTATCCCCACAGGTGTGTTGGGATTGGCAATTTCTGGTAACTCCAGCAGTATGGACGGTGCATAGCAGCCGACAGGACTGACAATCACTTTTAATTCCGCAGTTATGTGACTGACCGAAGCAGTGACTGTGAATGTGCCTGGAGAAGCATACACCACCGGAAGGATGAGCGATTTTCTGGTCAGTGTACGCGATGCAGTGGAGTAGTCGGAGCACTCTCCACACTTTGCACCTCCGACAGGTGGATAGGCGAGGTGTCTGCCATTGCCCAGATCAGCACAAACGCAGGCTCTGTCTGCGAGTCCAATAAATGAGAGACGAACTTCCCCTTGCTTCCAGGGATAAAGGTGTGGAGTTTGGAGCGATAAACGCATCCCTCGAACCTCTCCTTTAACGTGTATTGTCTTGGTAATCACATGAAAATTGATGGGATTACTGATATTTGCAATGATTTTGTAGGTTCCTTCCTAAAACAGAGATGTATGTCATGTATTTTGGAGTCGATTTGTAAAAGCAGAGGCCTATCATCAACTTGTAGGAGACCTGAAATAGCGGATTCACCGATTGACGATTGGTCCAACCTCCACTTTACTTCATCACCACAGTTCCTCCTTAAGTGTTACATCTTAATTCATCTCCAGAAGTGACAAGCTAGGAAAGGCCAATTTGATGAAATTAGTCAGTGCAGCCTCTCCTCCCAACAAGCTGGATGGTTTTCAGATTGGCACGCCTCGACAGCACAGAAGTGGACACAAAGTGGTCGAGAGAAACGGACTCAGCTGTTACATCAACACATAATCGCCTCTATTGCGTGACCCGCACTTTGAGTAAGTGAGCCCTTGGCTAACTTCTGACAATTTACGTTTTCCACTTCATTTCCCATGAACACGAGACCTCAGACCCAAAACAGATCGGCCATTAGCAGCGGCAACACTGCGATGGTTGATACGGGGCGGTGATCAAGAGGGACGCCAGGTTAAGCAGTTTAGAGATAGACGAGCAATGCACTCCTTTACTCAATGCGTCTCGATCCTCGTTTTGGTTTTGCGTGCATTTAATACACCCCGATGGCACTTTGTTCAGGCAGCACCCTGTCAGCAGTCACCTTCAGCCATTCCGTGTTGCCAATTTCCATCATCCGCCACAGTGATGTGCCTTCAATCTTCGTCTTTAAATGCACCACAAGTAGACGTGCAATGCTGTGAACCCACGGCCGAGGTAACCATTTCAGTTTATTTATTCAATTATCACTTTTGTCTAAACTTCTGGATGATACCTCAAAACAAAACATTGAATATCAAGGCATCAAAAAGGAGTTGACAATTAACTTGAAAAAATTTATGCTATAAAACTTTTGAAAAAACCTACAAAAGGCTGAATGAATTTGACTGTAAACCCACGATGGCACCAAATCTTCCCTTTTGGTGACAACTTACTGCTGTCATTTTGTAGACAATGGAGGGTGAGGTGTAGATCTCTTCGAAAATTGTGACTCCTTTATCAACCTCCTTGACTACAAGATGTGTGGCGTTGATGGCACCACCCTTGGTGACAGCCTCGAATCGGAGGGAATCATCAGTGGTGAAGCACTCGTGCTCTGGGCCGTAGCCAGGACTGTCTATCTCGTCAATTAGGATGTTCAGTTGGACTGAGATGATGGGTTTGAAGTAGCTAAACTAGAGGGACAACTCGGGTTCACACTAGGCCTCAGTGCAGTGTGGCTCTCCATCGTAGAAGAAGGTTGTGCTTACAGGAAGAAGAAGGCGTTGGCTAGAGACATTGTTTGATACCACTACTTCGAGCATGAGATTGCCGTCCTTGGACATACGATGAGTAAGACGAAGGTCATTCACAGAATCGGGCATTGATACGGTGGTGGAGGATTCGTTGGCCCAATTGACGCTCACTCGGACGCCGTGCGGCCGAGACAAGTCCATTCCAGTATAACGCACATGAAGGGCCAAATCCCCTTCGTGGCGGAGAAGTGCAGTTAGTTCGATTAACTTCGTTTTTAACAATGATTAAAAATATAAGCGGACTCGGAAGGCTTTTGATTTAGCAGCAATACCATTAAGCAAGTAAAGCATCGATGCATACGGTGATAAAAGTCACATTGAAACAGTGATAAGTCGGAGAAGTCACAGTCTACACATCGGTGACTGATCCAGTTAAAATCTCTTATGTATACATTGTGCACCAATTTCTTGCTTAGCTCTCAGCTTTTGGTAAGAAAGCTGCATTTTGGATTTGTCTGACAACCTCTAGCTGGCGTCGTGGCCCCCAAGTGGTGCGTGCACTCACCAGCTCCACCGTTCTTCGGCACTCTACTGCCTCTCCTGGTGTCACTGACCCTCACCCCCTCAGGCAAGGCTTATAACCCTACACTCCAATCCTGCAGACAAAATACCTTCATTCTTTCTGGTTGATGATCAAAATGGCGTGATGGTAGAAGATTTGATGCCTCAAATGGGAGAACACGTGGCCACCTCCAGTGGTAGGCTTGAACGCAAGGCCTCTCTCCGCCAACCACTTCAGCCTCAACTGCTGTAGGAAAGCTAGCAACAACCGGAGTGGCGCCACCAAGAAGTGGTTGACACATAGAAAGGTGTCAATGGAATGAGCGTGAGGTGAGCGTGGCATGAATGGGCAGCGATGGAGTGAGGACCAAGCAATAAGGAGAAGGGGAATACCAAACTCCCATTCCTACAGCTCTATGCTCAACCCTAACTTCTCCTACATATCTGAGCTTTGAGACAAATCTTCTTGAGACTAACAAGCCGCCGCATTTCTCCTCCTTCCAAATCTATTCTCATATGGAAAGAGGATAAAACAGTAGAGCTGTTTTGGGATGTCTTCTCAGATGCACTCTTGTTTGCTGGCAGGCGTGGATGGTTCATTGGTGCTGATCCTGCCAGCAGTCGTTGTGCTGTAATCGGCAAAGAGAGTGCAAGGAAAAGTCGCTTTTAAAGTGGTGGGACTGTGTACTGTGTTAAAACACTTTCGATAAACCTCACCAAGGAGAGGAAGGAAGAATGACGTCACATAAAAATTGGTTACCTTAGTTTCTAGCTGTACAAGAAAACTACTTCGAATGGTCGACTCCCTTTGCTGTCAAAGTTAGCTTTATATGTGGACAGGCACAGCCTCCTTTTTCCCCCTAATCCAAAGCTGGGACGCTTAAAAGCTAGAGGAAGGCGGTAAGAAGGAATGAACGCTCTCTTTAAGCTAGTCTTATACTCCACCTTTTATTGCATGATGATGTTGCGCTGTTTGTTCCTGCGAATAGACATAATCATGCAGAAGGATCCGCAAACAGAACGAAACTCCCAACGCGATGGAAGTGTCATGCGAAAATCGTAGACGTTTCAGTCAATTATCCTCTTCAGCATGTGTAACCGCGATAGTCGAATTGAGTTTATTTACCTCTCATTCTTCGCGATATTTTCGAAGAATTACTACGTGCTGAATGCCATGGAAGGCCGTTCTTCGGTCACCTAGCTCCAGCAGCTTCCTGTTTTTTTTGCATACACACTGACATGAAATGGTTTGTTACACAGGGAGTCATTCTTGCTTACCAGAAGATCTCGAGCTAGATCGCTCTAATTCCGCCTCAAAATCGTGGACGCGATACTGAGTCTCGACTTCAAGGGTGCACTGCCTCTTGAATAAGTTGTTTGACACCTCTATAGTGTACGACGAAACGCATTGAACAGATACTTTCTTTTTGCTTGACCACCTTGTTCCGGCTAAAAAAAGTGTAGATTTTGGGATTTATATTGTACGACGTAGGCATGTAGCTTCATCAGCCTACTGGAAGTGATTTGTGTAATTTAAGAATGTTGTCTGATAGCAATCCGCTTTCCAAATTCTTCACCTTACAATTAGAGTAATGGGAACCCTAAATATTACCATTTTCTCATTAACATATTAACACAGGACGCCTTGGTAACTATGGATACAAATGAGAAACAATCATTCTCATTACAATGTTTGACTGTATGCGTGTTGTCCTACTTATTTAACATAAGTAGCCATAACTTTGTGCAAATTACTACCAACGTCATGCCAATTTGTCTAACAGTCAGAAAGGACTAAAGAATATCTGATAAAGAAAAAGAGAAAAAGGACACACCTCTGACCAGCTGTCTTACAGTAGCTGGCATGCCATTTTCACTTAGCGTGATCATCACTTCTTCGTTACTTCTATAGACTGCAATAAGTTCGAACTCTTCGTCAACTTCACAGACCCCACTGGGCTGTACGAAGCATCCAAAGCCAAAAATGCCGACTCCCACTTCCACATTAAGATGATTCAGATTTTTTGTTTCTTTGTCCTGTTTTATCTTGGCTGTCACATCATAGTGACCACCTTTCGTGTAGGAATGCCCCACTGGAGTCCCTTCTTCGTAAAAAGTGAGGCTTTTTTGACTTCCATCTCCCCAGTCAACAATGACACTCAAGCAAGGACTTGCGAGTCCTTTAGTGCGATGAACGTGTACATAGTAATTCTCATATTGAGGAACTCTTTCTCCATCTGCTCGCAATTCGTAAGTACCTAAGGAGGGCATAACGACCACAATCTCATCATTGGTGAACGCACGGCCAGCGCATAGTAAGAGTCCATGAAAAGCGTAGACACCCGGATCGGGATAGCCTCCATGTTTGTGCGTGATCTCAGCAGGTACCACCTCATTGTGCCTTGTAATGTGTACGTCCTTGAAGATGTGATCATCGGAAACCTCGATTGTACCACCGGTGCAATTGCCTGTGATTTTTGATGTCAAAACGATATCGTCATTCACGTACACCTGTCTAGAAGATGTAAATGGAAGCGTTGGAGATGTGACGAGCGTCTAATGAATATTTTGGCCGAAAAAAGTTAGCTACCCCTCTACCCATTCGCTAAGCCATTGCATCAACCAGTTATTTGTTTGTAGCAGTAATTTGCGTCCGATGATTTGTCGATTTTTATCTATACTTTTGTAAGCAACTAAAACTTATTTCCCTCAATGTAACACATGAAGTGATTAGCCCAGCTTCAATGAAGAGGAATGAGGGACTTTAACGGGCTAACCTTGATTTGGCTTGTAAGAGGTAGTGGTTTGGCAGCTCCTCCACCCAAAAGTCAAAATTCTTCTGAACACTGTCTTGAGCACTGATTAACCTCACAGTTGCCTGACGCCTTCCAATGTCAGTGAAGAGGAGAGGAGGAGAATAGAGCGATCTGGACATGAGTTCAATAATCAGAGGGCTCCATGCTCCAGAGTCTATTGAAACTTCCCCACTCAGTGGAAGTCCATCGCAGTAGCCGAAGGTCAGATAAGATTCCAAACCAATTGGAATGCTATCACTTTCGAGAAAAATTGCTGAAATCGGCAAAAAGGAAACAAAAAAACTTCCCCCTTTAGTATGGAGCACTGCTGTGCCATGGAATGAGGAGCATAAAGTCATTCACTCCTGGCAAACGCCATCCTTGTAGCCTAACTAGCCAAACCCTCTGAAATCGACAGGAAACCTGGTCCAAGTGTCTTCTGCTCTACCTTTGACCCTTCTTTATGGGAAAATAGTAAAAGATGGTGTCTTCCCTTTCCAGTAGGGAAAGTTATGCTTGCCATTCTCCCAACCTAAAGCACCACAGCTTACCTTTAATGGGAGCCACAATTTCAATATCCACTTGTGCGTCCTGCCAGGTGATGCAGTTTGACGCGTTCAGGGTGACGGTGTAGTTTGCAGCCCGGTCGAAGGTGATGCTTGCCTTGGGTGTCGCAGTTTCCTGAATCAGCTCACCATCAACAAACCACTTAAAAGATATCTCCGAGCCTGTGATTACCGTGGCTAGGAAGTCGATAGGTTTTTGGGATTCAAAGACCCGGTTCGTTGGCTCCACAGTCAATGCTCCCAGGGAGACAGTCTCATAGACTTTGATAGGAAAAGTGTATGTTGCTGAATCGAAGGCATTTTTAACGCCGAAAGAGAGGGCGAGGAGGCCAATTCGTTGAAAGATGTGACGCACCTCACTCACAACACTTGTCTCCACCGGTGAACCGTCGCCAAAATCCCATAGGTAAGTAGCCTCACCACCTGACAGTGTATTTTGGGTTTTGGAGCACAATTTGTGTAAGTTCTTTTTTTATTTCTTAAAGACCTTAATGTTTTTCAAACCAACCTTGCTCCACGATGAGACAGAGAACTTCGGCTTTACCCAGGGTGAAAATGAATTGAGTCAACTGAGGCGCTTGGAGAGGGCCGACTACGTTAATGATACTGAGAAAAGTCCCCACTTGAGGCACTGCGGAATACGTGTCCATGTTGACAGTAGCCGTCACTTGCTTGACGCCTGATGTCTCGAAGCGACCTTTGAACAGCATGGCATCTGGAGCGGCCACAACGGCTGCAGATATCTGGACAAAATGCAGACATGAATGACGCTATTTCACGGTTTCCTTAGTAAAAATCGTTTTTTTTGTTCGTCTGTAGACATCAATGAATGCAAGAAAACTGTCTTTCCTTAGTTAGCCGGAAAAATGGCACCTTATAGCGTTTCCCATCCAGACGAATTAGTTTGGAAAATGTCGTTCCCTCTTCAATTGACACTGGCGAAGTTGATGAATACACAAGATCGGCAGGAGCAGTCTTTGTTGAGTGAGTGCAATCGACGGCTTCCAGGTTGGCTGGCAGCACTCCAATCCTATCACCGATCTCTACTCTGAATGGCTTTTGGAGCTGGAAGCTTTGCAAATCCAAATACTTGGCGTCTACGATCAGACTCTGTCATAAGAATGCAAAAGGGTAGCAGCACTTGGTCCACACGCACCAGGAAAGGAGGCAAACGAGACGTTACCTTCACTACAGTGTAAGGCACTGAGGTTGAGGCTTTTGGATTGTCCTGCTTGATGCCTCTCTTGTTGATCCTCTCTGATTCGGTCATAAATCTCTGCACGCAGGTGCGAAACAGTGGATTGTAGACTTCTTGATCAGTGCACTCAGTGCCTTCAAATCCTTCTGGTTGACAGGTGTCGGTGAAATAGTCGTAAATTAGACCTCGATCACACGTTGGACGCAAAATCTGGACAAAAATTTGCGGCAAAAATTTACAGATATCTAAATTAAATAATAATTGATGCATTAAGGGATTATTTTGAGTATTTGGCGCAATACTCATTGGTGGTTTTAAGTTGAATGACGCAGGCAGGCAGAAGACTCACAAATATTTGCATCGTGGTTGGAGCTGTGAGCTTGATGAAGACCTCATGAACTCTTCCAGCATACATGGCTTGAGTTCCGGTGACAACCATGCCATCGAGGGTGCATTTGGAGAGACTCGGTCCAGAGTACAAGTTCGGTGTGCCGATGTAGTCAAAATTGCTGCCTAAAGCATGAGGCAAGTAAAAAGCTCCACAAAGGGGCCAATTAGCATCGTTTTAAGCAAATGACGAGCAGTTTCGCATGACCCGTCTTCGCCGCTGCATCAACTGTAAACCACAGATGCCTTTACTTAATTGAAACGTTTATCGCAGACTATAGCTTAAAGCATTACAATTTATGCATTTCCCGAGTGCTTAATGCACTGGCAGTAGGAGCATACTTGGGAAAATGAAGTCTTCGCTGAATTGCTGATCCCATGTCACTTTTCCGCCAAATCCGTCAGTTACCTCGGCAATGAGTCTGCAGTCGAAAGATACACCTTTGAGTACTTGTTTTGGGCACTCAAAGAGTATCTTTTCCATTTGAACCGTTCGATTGAATGATATCCGAAGTGGAGTCACCGCAAACTGGAGGAGAGGAGAGGAGCTTCCATTTTTAGCAGCGGCGCAATAATGCACTCCTAACCTGTATACAAATTAACATGCAAGACTTACTCTCCTACTGTTGTATTTCAAGCCCAAGAGAACGTCTTGCGTAAGGGGAGTGGGTGAGATGAAGTCGATAGTTGACGGGGGAGGACTCCCCACTGGCTCCCAGCTGCTCTCCGGTAAAACACTTACCTCCAAATTCATACTAGAAATAGGTACAGGCAGGTACTCCTGGAGGGCTGAGTAGGATATACTTATCTCCTGAACGCCTCCCACCAATCCCGGCAGGGCCGAGTCAAGAGAGGTCTGACAAGAGTGAAAGCATGAAATCCCTTTTTTCGAAAAAAAGCTCAGTTCAGATTTCATGGGAGAAATGCAAATGCAGAATGTAATGGGACGATGACAATGCAACACAGCTCACTAGGCGCACCAGTGTATGCACCATTAAATCTCATGCCTGACACCAGCTAACAGCCTATAGGCATCTTTCTTAATGAACGTCTTAGAACGCAGCTTCATTAGTGATGGTCTACTTATAAATACAACAGTAGTATTCAAAACTGGTAAAGGTATTATAAAAGTTAATAGCAATTGGCGCATGGAGCTGTTTGCACCTTATCGCGAAAAAAGTTTACAAGGACTACTAATCCCCTGCGCGGATTAAAAAGGTTATACGGTGAGGTTATGATTGTCACATTCCTTACAGACATTATCACAGCCTGTAAGCAAATGTGTACCCATAGAATTAAACTAAAGTGAAAACTTTAATGACTTTCTCCCGGCTCAAATCTGTTCTCTTCCTCTTCCATTAACCCTTTAGATCTAGTTGGGTATAAGGGCGAATTAGAAGAGAGACGACAAAAGGCTTACATGGAGAAGGAGGAAAGTGTTGTTGGATGAGACGCAACGAATGTCAGTATGGCCGCCTGGACAGATGTAAACTGAATTTTTCATGTCAACAGGCCGGTCACCACACATACAAAAGTCCGTACCAGCTGTCACTGAGCACGTGTAGGCCATCTGCTGACACTGCGTGTTGCATGTCTCTGCGTCAAACTTGTAAAGGCAAAAGGCCAACAGGGTAAATCATCTTGGCTCTTCAGCTGCAAGTGTCACATCACAAGTCATAAGTCTATTTTTCACAATAAATCCCTCCGCAAATTGGTGCTAGTTGGTGTTAGACTGAGACTAATAGCTCTGGGTCATGAAGGTGCTGATGCGAGCTTAAAACAAGAAAACGTCTAGACAGAGATAGCAAGATTGCCTCTGAGCAGCCGAGTCATATTTCATCGATAAAATCATCATTATGACCACAATGCAAAACTTCTGGACGCCTTGAACGATTATCACAGATTGACATTTTGGAAAAAACGTAGGTGCAAAATGCAATCGAAGCTTACCCCTTGCTTTGGTATGTAGGGATTGAAGGTGAACAAATTGAGCATCGCCTCCCGGTCGCATACTTCCTTAAGCGTAAAAATTGCCTCCAGAACATGAACGTTCGAAAGCACCTATGAAAAAGTGAACAGTACTGAGACGCAAGTCCCACAAATACTTGTAAGTGTTCTATTAAACCGCAACATATCGTACTGGAAGAGTGAGACCTGTCACATCATCTCAGTTGCCGTTTTAAACTGAAGTCATAGATAAAGGGATTCAAATTATTGGTGCATTATTGTTGCGTGCTTTGGCGATTCCTTCATTCTATCTGGCCTTTTATTTGAATGCATGAAAATTAAAATTTGTGTGCGTAAAGCACGTTAAGAAATGCTTTAATTGACGATTAACTGTGTTGTCCGCCTCAATCACAGCCACCGGCAGAGGTGAGGTGAAAACAAGTAGGGATACAAAGTGACAACCCAAGCAATCGCGGAAATATTTCGAACGAAGCCTTTCAGAGAATTGTGAGCTTTAATGACCACCACGTGTGTGTATTGCGGAAATGATACTATTCTGAGCCCTTAATTGCAGTAAAGCACCAGCAAGAAATTTAACCAACATAATTCATTTGTGAAATGGACTTTAAACCTAATGCTTGAGTAAGGGTTTGAAAAGGATTCGTAGACTTTATACAGAGCTATCCGAAGTATTTAGTAGTACCTGAGACTGTAAAAGCAGAAGTGTAGGTCCCGCAAAAATTTTTTGAGTGGAAACAAAGCTTTTGGATCAATCGCAATTAAATTGCAAAAGGTAACTCATTTAGTTGCATAAAAGTGATCTGCTCAATATAATGTTTTTAGAGGAAGCATTACAGCTTCTGCAATTCACATCAAATGTCAAGGCCATAGAGAGGTTGGTATTTACCAGCGTAGATTAAGTGAACTAGTCGTACCCCTTCGTGAGTGCCTGAAACAAGGTCAAAGCTGCTACTCAACTAAACGCGCTTTATAACGCAGCAATTGAATGCCATATTTGTGCTAACAAGGTATAATGACGTAGAAGGCGGCCGGTAGAGTTAGTAGGAAAGATGGGCATTTCGGCTTTGGTTCTGGTTGTGAATGCAAAATAGCTGTCATGTGTCAGGAGAACATCTCTAACATTGCTTAGCACAGTTTTTAAACGATTTCAGAGTCTTGGAAAAGTCAACGTACCAGTAAACAAAGGTGTAAGGAAAGCATGTTTTCTTGAAGGGTTGTGCGAGTGACTGAAACGTTTGCTTACTGCTATAATTTAGGATACAATAGACAATTGTGTTGCCATGTTCACTAGATGCCAACATGGCAACAGGTAAGCACTGTTGCAAATGTCAATGGATTGTTCACATGGAGACCAAATTTGGACTCCAAATATGCACGTTTATTTTAAAAAATTGAAAGCTTGATAAGGGAGAATGATTTTAATGGGTAGTTCCAACTGCTATACTACTATAAAATTCACTAGCGAAGAGCGTAGAAGTGAAGCACTCGCCTTCCTCTCGATGAGACCGGTGGAGGGTTTATGCGTTCCTGTGTCAGTCTCGCTGTTACCTGAGATGCATTAAGCTCACAGGATACACTTTTAATAGTTTTAACTTGACTGTCAGGAATGGCCAGCCTATTGACATTTTCAAAAGTCGAATTTTTGTCTTTGACTAACTGCTGACCTCTTACAAAACCTGTAGTCAGTTTCTCATTCTTTTCTGAGTTGTGATCTGACCTAAGCCATCAATACCTCCAAAAAAGCGCTAGAGGAGGTTGGATAGACGGATTCCATGAAAGTTGGCATAAATCCAGTAATCGAGCGACGATTTTGATAAATTTAAAAGAACCACTTCGTTTTAAACTGCTACTAAGAAAACTTGTATGACTTTTAATACCACTCCTCATCTGACAAATAAGCATTTCACTTGCTATTTGAGTCAGTGCTCGACTCTTTCCACCTTGGATTTTGCCAATTTTAGACGTAAAATCAGACGTTAGCCGAAATCTTTCAACCGTAAAGGTTGAGAAACGCCTCAATTGGCACACAAAATTTAGGAAGTTATGTTGCCTACACACTTAAATTAATTGTTAAACTTTTGCCTTAAGAAACAGATACAAAGTCAAACGCCCCCGGACGATGTCATTAGCTCCGGCACTTCTGTACATTGTCAATGTGCCTTTCGCCTAAGCATTCCACCCTGCATGTAACTTCAAGGGAGTGCTGAACCGCTTCACTGGTGACAGTGAAAAGCAAACTGGTGGGAGAAAATTTAGTGCGGTGGGCAAAGGAGTTAAACCGCAAATGCAATAAGCTGTAATGACTCTAAAAAAGTAGCCAATAATGGCGCATATTACTGCTATCAACAGATAAAGCAGAACTTGTCATAAACTATCTTCAAAAATTCACCCTAGAACTACGTTCGGGTTCTGCATGGATTAAAAGTTAATGAACTCGATAAACCGCCTTCCAGGCCTTGCTAGTGGCTAAACAGATGCAGTAAAGCTAAGCATAAAAGCACTCAACAGCCAGCACGTACATCTTCCTCAAGCACAACTCCAAAAACCCTCAAGAACTCCACACCCAACACAGTTCTAAGGAGAGACAGTAACATTGCGGCACAGTGTCTCCTCACCAACTGGCTTTGTTGTTTTGTAGGGGCGAAAGAAGTTCACCAAGAGAGCGTTCAGGACAGCGTTTAAAAGGGCAAAAAGGACTTCGTACTACTTTGTTCATCCTTCCCTTTTGGTTGCATGAGTACTTTCGGCTATTTGTTTGCTCATCTGACAGTAGTTTAAAGGAGTTTTAAGCATGAATATAACTTTTTAGTTGCCACATTCCCTTTGCACAATGTAAAAGAAGCGTCTCTGTTAAAGGCAATTTAGAGTTCCCTATTAGTGTAGTCTGTGATGATAGTTTGAACAATGTTGCGTAGTGCATTGCATAATAATCAGGGGTGAAAACAATGAAAGCAACAAATCGTGATTACAATGTGTATACGAGAGGCCTTCTTAGGTTCCCTTGCTCTCCACTCTCCTGGTCCTGACTGCTCCTTAGTCGTCTTAATAGTCGCTTTTTGGGTGGTGTTTTCGTAGCTAGTTTCCTTTTACTGTCCTGTTCGCTCGGTGGAACCGCATTCTCCTTATCTGCATCAAGCACTTTAATAGCTTCACTTTTTTTGATATCATTCTCGACAATTTTATGCACCTCGGTAGTACCATCGGTCACCTTCGATTCCGTAGACGCCTCTATTAATTCTGTAGATTCTTCTGTGAGTAATTCCATTGCCAAGGTACTCTCTAACTGAATCTGTTCTGTCACTTCTTCCTTTTCTTCAATTTTATTAATCACTGGTACAACAGTTGTCACTGGTTCAGTAGCATCTATGCTGACTTGAGTGCTTCTCTGCTCATCCAAATCCTCCTCCTTCGTGCTATCACCTTGCCTGATCTTGATATTCACTTTTTTGGGCGCTCCCTTTGCGATTTTTGGATTCCTCACCTTCAGCTGTTTGGATCTTGGTGAGCACCTTGCGGTGGGCTTAATCCATCCCACATCGACACAGCCTCCACTTGAGCAGATGTAATGACAAGCGCCACCCGTACAACCATATCCATAGAAGCCGTTAACGGCACAACTCAAATCATGACATCCGTGGAAGATGAGGTTGGACATATCTTTCATCGGTCTGTCCACCAGACCATCTTGTCGACAGCCATATTCCGAACAAATATATCTGCAAATGCCTTTTTTACAATGAAAACCGTAGATTCCGTTCATACTGCAGATGGGGTCGTAGCAGTCCATAAAAATGTGGTACGAGTGCGTAGGGTAGGCAGCTGTCGAGACCACCGAGACAGCACCGAGGAGCAATAAGGCCACCGCCATTTGTCTCCGATGCGATTCTAAATGCTCCAGTAATTTATACTATCGGTCGTCAGCACAGTTTATTGACGGTATCGATAAGTGATGGGGTCAAGTGAATCGTAAGTGCATTGGTCTATGTTAATGCGCAGATTTTTGTAGTTTTAATGTATCATGGCCGTCAGATTGCTTATTTAACGAAATTTTTTGATAAGGAAGTAAATTATAGCCCTATTTAAAAGAGGAGGGTCAAGTAAGTCGTCTGTACAATTTTTGTGTCGACAGATAAAAATAACTGCAGATTCGTGCTTACAAAGCCTTTGTCCGCCCATATGTAATGCGTCAATAGTTTCGATGGTTCTTCAAGAGCTTCCCCGGTTATCCAATAGCTTGGATACCACTTCATTTACCGGCGGGGCAAATTGCGAAAAATAGGCAATACGGCAAAATTGGCTTGAACTTGACACCCAAAGTTTCATTGCCAGGTTTTAAAGCGATTATGCATGACATCTTGGGGCCAGCAGTTCTCCAAGCTACTACCGTTGTAATGATAACATGTATCCTAAGAACATATAATCGTATCACAAGGCGATCTGCTTTTATGATACCTTGTTCACTCGAATACCTACGTAGATGAAAGCCACTTTGGCACAAGTGATCAGCCCTACCCACTATCTTCTTTTATATAATGCGAAGCCTCAGAGAGTTAAATAACTAATTGTTTCAAGGTATGCTCTGAATGAGAGACAGGAAATTAATTTGGTCTTTGCTCTGACAGTGCTGGCACATATGGGTCACTCTTCAGATGTCTAACGTCAATGATTGCAGTGAATGTTTAGAATCTCGCATTCCTACACGAAATAAAAGAATAGAAAATGTAGATGATACAAGGACTTTCTAATTAATTCATAGACTAGTATTAATCGGAATTAGCGCCTTCATGAGTCGGCGATAATAGCCTCTTTGGAACAAAAATCCAACATTCCTGCATCATTAAGGGTCACAATGCTGCTTTTTAATATATATCGATAAAATCAAAATAAACTTATTGCCGTTTGCTGAAGAAGTGTTAAAAACTGCTTTTTGTTTACGTGACCACATGACGTTTGACGGCCACTTCAGGTTTTTTCTGGCCCTAGTGCACATGGGCTTACCTCCTGGCCATGCTCAGGTTCATTTACGCTGTCTCCTTCGGAATGCATTTATCCAGGCTCACTCACTGCCTTCGCTCACTTTAGAAGTCTCGGGACGCTATAATCGTGTCTTTAGGCCTTAGAAAAGAGCATAGTGATCGGTTGGATACCTGTGTTTGGTTAGAGTAGTGCGAGAAACGGCTTTGATACAGGGTACGATTTAGCGCCTCCATGTTTCCTGAGAAGAATTTATGTTATGCATAAAAAAGACTTGCCTTATATTTCCGCATGCAATTAGATAAGTGGCATCATAGAACATATTACATATAATTTTATTCTGTTGAATTATATTGTTGTTTATATTTACATGGGAGTGTGTAACTATTTGAGTAGTTGCGATGACGCCCAATGACCGCGAGCTCCGCTGATCGTGTCCTTGAATTTACGTTTTTGGACAAAAACGGGAAGGAGGATAAGATTCTGATAGCTTCATCGATCTCTGGTGAATATGCCTTTTACCCTTGGAGGTCCGCGAAATTGCTTTCGCAGTCTATATACCTCGGCCATGTCGATGTTTCTGGACGGCAGATACTGGAGGTGGTTTGGCCAATTTCGTTAATTTAGTAGCTTGGTGCCGGCACTGGTCTATGTGGGATATCTGCCCTCAAAAATGGGGCTTGTTGTGTAGTATTTACGGATCAAAATGATTCGTTGATAGAACAAAATATACGGAAGAATTGCTCACTGAACGGCATAACTGACTGTATTTTTGTACCCTGCGATTGGAATGATGTTCCTAATTTGGCTTTAGAAATGTCTTTTGATCTGATAATCGCCTCGGATTGCTTATTTGAAAGCAATGGTACATTTTTCTCGTTGTTTTTTACGGTGGTTTAGTCTTCAGACCCTTTGCAGAGACCCTGTCTTTGCTGCTTCATAAAAATTCAGACGCAGAGGCTTACATAGCTTATGAGGATCGTGGGTGAGGCTTGCATTTCTCTTTACAAATCTTTTTAGTTCAAATGCTGACCTGACGAGTATTTTCCAAAAGGTTGGATTAAGTCTCTCTCTTCATCCATGCAGTGCTTTTGACTCTACTACATTTTTCCTATTGAGAGCACTAGTTTCTCATCCATGAGGAAATTGTCTTACCTGCTTTGCGATGTCGATTCTCCTATTCTTCGTCGATCTTCAAACATTAGATTCTGCTGTTCAAGTCGATCTTTCCTCTTCTCAAAAGCCTCTCCTCCTCCAGTACCATGGTTTGTGCAACTTGTGAATGTGGTATTGAGCTCTCGGGTGTTCCTGATGCACAGCATTTGTCACTTTATGTACACTTTTTAAATCTCAGTAATGCTGAACTGTGCTTGTTACTTGATTAAATTTGCCATGGAAAGCTGACTGTTTTAATCCCCTCGTGACACTGGGACCACGCATATCGGCTACTAGTGAAATGTAAGTAGAAATTACAAAACGAGGTCTTGACAGCTGAATGTACCTATTTCTGTCTGCCGGTTCAGGTGCTTGTGGGAACCAATCTGAACCGTCTAATATTTGGGTTCTAGTATAGTCTTATAGCTACATCTCCTAGTTTGACTTCTTATTACCTATCATTTCTTCTATTTTCAAACTCAAAGAGATAAGGGAGGCTCCTAGTTGCCTGCAAATTATGGCCTCTATTGCTTGTTTATTGCATTTGGGTGGTTACTAATGCAATATTTTTCATCCACTACTATAAACTTACTGATACATCTAAACCGTCTCTTCGTTAATCTTAAATTTATATTGCCTTTCTACTCATATGAATGATATTGTGAAACACTCCATTAGACCACAACTGGGTCTTCATTCACGATTTCACTTTCTTCATCATGCTGAGCTCCTACACCGTTCCTCTATGTGGACATAGGCATGAGCCATCTAACTTGGTTGTGAAACCTCGGGCTCAAAGTCATCCCAAAAAAGGTGAATAGGTGACTTTGCGGGTGCTTTGTAGCGCAAGAATGCGTCAAATCACACCTGCGCATGAGTTGGCGCATCAGTCAAGACTATGTGGCAGTCAGTTGGTGTCGTGTTCTCGATGGTGCCTGCGCGCGCTTGCACATGCACACTAAATCACGAGACACAAAGTGAGTAAGGCCTTTCTGCGACATAATATGCAAATGCGCAAATTTTTGTGCAAAGATCGAGCTATTAACGATATAATTACATGAGGATGTTTCGTCACAACTATCCAATCACGCATTCTTTCACTACTTTTAAAGAAGCCAAATCACGATGTCGTCTCTTGTGGATTGTATTGTTTGGAAGATCCTCACAGCTTTAAGCCATTTATCTGCAGTCAATCTATTGTATTTTCGTACTCTTTTACCGTCTCGTGGTTTTGCTCCCCCGCTCCGACAGGCCAAATTTAGTGACAACTCAGTTTAGCTTTGTGTGCAGGCATGCCGCCACAGTTAACGTACAGAGTCTTCCAAATGCACCTTCCTGTGTATACAAACTGTGCTTGTCTAACGCACCTTCTTTACACAAAACACTTTCTCCACCCTCTCATATGTTCGCCGAGTCCTCAACCGCACCCAGCGCAACGTGGTTAACCCACCTTCCTCGGACCACCTATTGTCATCAACCGGAACTGGATGCCGTCTAGGCGCTCTCGCTAAACCCTCTTAAAGTGAGTATCAGACTAATACAATGGTGTTAACCCTGGTGACCACTGTTTACATCTCTCAACAAAAGGCGAGAATTAAGAAGGCAATTTAATTGGGTTTTAAGCAAGTATTAGCAGAACTGGGCTCCTTTCTACAGCAGTTTAATCATATTGGTATGAGCTGCCGACACCAACACCTGAAAGGTTAAAAAGGGAGCAAATTAAAGTGTGTAACGTGAGACCGTTTACAAGAGCCTGCATGCTGTGTGACACGGACAAGGCATTCGATATTTACAGTATTAGTCAGAACAACACCACACTTTCCCCAAAAACAACACGGAACAAAACTTGAGGTGGATGCCTCACTTAAGTCTTTGAACTGTTCTATCGAAGTCCTGCAAGAGGATGCATTAAAATGTTGATGTAGCAAAGCAAGGCAATGAAAATTCGTGATGCTCTGAACTGTGTGGAAGCAGGACTATTTCATCAACGTCAAGTGACTTTGCACACTCAAAGTGTTTATCCATCAGCATGGGGGAGCTCACGTTCTACGCCGTCTACCGTATTCAGCTGTACTGTATTGCACAGTTTCAGTGAAAGTGACCCGCCTTCAAGCAAGCCAATTTATGCAAGCAATTGCATTGTGTCACAGTGACTGCGGTGGCAATGCAGCAGTACGCCTCCTCTTCTCACATTCCCACTTCACTCTGTAGCCAAGGTCGTTGTGAAGAGCTCCTTGGAAGCAAAATAGTGGCTTTCCCTATACTCATTGTGAGTATGAGCGCTTGGAGGTGATAACTCGTGATGAGTGGTGCGGAGGCATTATCACTCTCTAATGCGAGTGATAACTGAAGTATAAGGAAGCCATTCTCAACCAGTCAAATGACAGAACTGTCAACTGCACGGTCTGTAGCTTAACATGTGAATTATGCAATGCAATGAAGTTGATCATTGGAAAAAGACTTTGACAAGAGTTGATGGGAGGTGGGGAGGGACGCTCACCCTTTGGTCCGAAGAGAGCCTGGTAGCAGGGCTTGTTGCAGTATGGCTTCCCCTCGTGCTAAAATTAATGGCACAAGATTTAAGACCTTTTAATAAGAACATGGAGACATGAAGATTCTGACACCTTGTCAAGACGTTTACTGCCTGGTGGTGGAGCAATGTACGTGTAGTGCTTTTGAGGAGTTAGCCCAATTAGCACTCAGAGTTAGGCGGCACTACATGAGGCAACTAAGTATGACGGTCAAAAGGACGGTAGTTGATGTTTTTATGAACCAAAAAAGATCATTTGTGATTTAAATGTGGGTGACTAGGCTGCCTGGGCTATTTAGGTGTGCCGGGTAAGTGCAAGCACTTGAGATTTAAAAAAAAACATCTTCTAACTTGCACGAAAGGGCTCTGAAGGTGGCAAGCAATTAAGAGCAATTAATCCGAATGTCTCCTTGACGGATTGTTAGCCTGGTCGTCGCATTAAAGCAAGCTTTCGGACGGCCAAAGGCATCTCATCTCCAGACAAGAGGCGAAACTAGTTCTCTTCACGAGAGAACAATGATGAAAATGTTGAAGAAGCATTTTGATGTTTTAAGGCTTGCGTTAAGCTGAATAACATGCGTCTTTTTCGTGGCTTAGATGCTAGCGGTCCGCAACAGATGAGGTTTTCTGCGTATCAAGGCCTGCATTTGCCAAAAAATAAAATAGCTGCGACATACATTATCGCATTTGAAAAGACTGACCTCAGCATGCTGACCAGGAGACAAAGTCTTGTCACACTTGGCACACCTTAGGCAGGGTCGGTGCCAGTCCTTACCCAGAGAGGTGACTCGCTCAGCTATAAAAAGATGAGAAAAATGAGGGATCAGCATAAGAATGGTATAGACTACCAAAATAGACCTCCTTTCCACAGTTGGGACACTTGGGCATGCTTGCTGTAGTGTGAGAAAGAATGAGAAATGGGCGTATCCACGGAGCAAATCAAGCGCGTATGTGAGGTAGACGCAGTGCCAACACGTAAATAATCGCCAATTGAGTAACGGCTATTTCATTGGCTAGCCACCAACCAATAGACAATGAGCAAGGACTGCGTATATGCCGGATGGCGCCAGCCAATAGGCACTGGCTCTGGTTGTTCATGTTTGGAGCTAGTCTGGAGGCACCACTGTCCTGTTGCATGTGTATGCACAACTCCTAACAAGGCTTTTTGATTTTTTTATTTATGCTTCTGCGGATTTTTTGGGGTTTAAATGTTGTTTTATAAAAATTTGCAGACCTGAATACATGGCGTTTCCTAACTTCCATTCAGTTTTATTATAAGCTTAATAATGGTCCGTTCGGTAGTGTTGTAGGATAGAATGAAAGTATGTAGTCATACATTTTAATCCAAGAGTCATCGCCTACCATTTTTTGCTTTCCCACCGTCTTTACCATCATCCCCTTAGTACAACTATTTATCCATCGTTATGCAAAGATCTTGTGCCTACATAGTTTGACCCATTTTATTGGCGTTTGAAAGCATTTTCAACTAAACGTGATATGTGGGGTGGAGATGGGGGAGAGTGATGAATGAGGCGCGTGTTTATGGTGATCTTTCGATGAGGTACGAACTATTACGGTTGAACTGGCAAAAGTGGATCCATCAAAATTGGGTCCACTTCCTTTTACACAACTTTATTCGATCATCAACCGAATCTCACGGTTGAAAGGAGGGTGGCAATTATTCGAAGAAGGCAAATTTTTTGCGTTCCCGGTGAATGTGGTGGTATTTAAGCCTGTCTGGTACAGCAGAATAATTTTTCGGTTAAGTTTTTAGCCACTTTGAAGAGCATTGCCGAAGAGACCGGTCCTTTAAAGCAAAACATCTGCAGCGCTGAGTCGTAGCATTCCATAAGTTCGTTTATTTCAGTCCTTATTCCATTCGTGGCAAGTTATACTCTGTGTAGGAAAAAGTAAGTGGTCATAGCTTTAGGAAATGCATGAGAAATCAGTTTGCGTGGCTTCCATCTGATAGGTGTAACATAAGTTTCTTTCACTTGTACTGACTTGGAGAGGTTGCGGAAGTGTTTGATGTCGCCCGAAGGAAGTAGGGAAATGGGTGGTCCTGTCAGCGTAAATCATCCAAACCAGCCAAAGAACAAGCATCCGACAGCAGCCTTACCACGATCTCTTCCTCCTTCTCTTCCTTCGCCTTGATAATTTTATCGGTGATACCATTTCCTGTTCAGGAAAAAATTTAAAAGGAGGAGAGATGTGGCGGCTTGTTAAACATGTACGAAGTTAATCTTGAGATGGTTTGTTTCAAAGTACAGACATGTAGGAGAAGATATGGTTGAGCATAGAGCTGTAGGAATGGGAGTTTGGCATTCCCCTTCTCCTTATTGCTTGGCCCTCACTCCATCGCTGCCCATTCATGCCACGCTCACCTCACGCTCATTCCATTGACACCTTTCTGTGTGTCAACCACTTCTTGGTGGCGCCACTCCGGTTTTTGCTAGCTTTCCCACAGCAGTTGAGGCTGAAGTGGTTGGCGGAGAGAGGCCTTGCGTTCAAGCCCACCGCTGGAGGTGGCCAAGTGTTCTCCCATTTGAGGCATCAAATCTTCTACCATCACGCCATTTTGATCATCAACCAGAAAGAATGAAGGTATTTTGTCTGCAGGATTGGAGTGTAGGGTTATAAGCCTTGCCTGAGGGGGTGAGGGTCAGTGACACCAGGAGAGGCAGTAGAGTGCCGAAGAACGGTGGAGCTGGTGAGTGCATGCACCACTTGGGGGCCACGAAGCTCATTGAAGTTTAAATGGCCGAGCTATGGGAGGGCGCCACATTCCCAAGGCGGGAGCACTGTACATGTTGGGACGAGTTCTTTTGTTTGATGAGCCAACTTTCCCCAATGGTCTGTTTCGGGGTCTGTGTTTGCATCACTACACTGGTATGCAAAGTAGGAATCGTCGCCAAAGTTAACAGTTGTAGTAAGTGCTCAAGTGCTCCAATTAAGTGGTAATTAGAACTTCACTTTCGGTCCCAAATCCGGTATGGACTACCAACGACAGTGAAAGGCATGTAAGAAAACAAAGTTTATTGTGTGTGTATGTGGTTTTTTCAAATAACGCTTTGTTTGTAGCGTCGAAGTGAAAACTGTGGCTCCACTATAAGCAACCAATCAAGCTTTTGACGAGTTTAATCTGCTCCCTCAGGATTGGAGAGACGCCAACTTTAAACATCTTTAAGTCCCTAGTCTTAGTCACAGAGTCAACTCATGCCCTTTGTGTGTCAGAGTTAAGATAGACGTACATCCTGTTCACCTTTTTGTCTTCGTGTTCCATTGTGATGGGTCATTGGCAGGAATGACAGACCACAACAAGGGTGTGCGCAAGTGGTGCAATAGTTATATGGAGAGGCCCTTTCTGGTTCTCATTTCTTCATACTCTGAAAGCCATACGGCATGGCCTTGCTAGTGTCTCCCAATCCGACTGTCCACTGTGAGTGTGCTGCTCAGAGTGTCTTTTAAACCTCCGATTTTGGCAAAGGAACCACTTGGGGGACTCATTATTGCTCTTGAGTTCTGAGTTTCTCACATCTCAGCTCAAACTACTGTGCCTCCCTTCGCCTTCTTTGGATAGGCCTCAAAGAAGCTCATTTTTATGCAACGATCAGTTCAAAATGTTTACGCCAGGCTCTCATTTGTCTGGCACCAGATTTTATGCTACCTCAATACCACTTCAAAGTTGATATGGGATCAGAAATGACAAAACACTTCTTGTTAAGTAACTGTAATTTTATCTGACGTTTCAAGGCGAAAATTGTTGCTAAAGTCTGCACAAAATGTAGTTTCGCCATGATGCTGTTGGCCTTGCCCCATGTAAACGATAAAAATTACTCAGTCACTTCAAGGCGCCAAATGTCAACTCCACATTCGCACTTACCTCTGAGGTCACAACTGTTCAGCTCGCGCTATCCGCTGCTTGAAACTAACCGATTTTGTTGCGATTTTCATCAAAAACACATTGATGGGGTGCGAGACGTAGGCAACTGTACTTTTTATCCGTTATGACGGCTTTAAATTCTGCCTCGTAACAATGACTGCCATTTGGACTCAAGACATGAAAGCGAAATCCCCTTTGGTATTTTAGCTCCTCATTTTTGACCACAATGCGGCGAATTAAATTCAGACTTTTGAGTTGTCAGTAGACCACGTGAATCCCCACGCACCCACTTTACCATCCTTTGATTCTCTTTTCGAGGCTACCTTGAAGAAGAATGAGAATAAGAATAAGAAGTTGTAGTGCACAATGTTCTGGCAGAATATGTATTATCAAAGCCTAGAAAGGCAGGACGGGGAAAAGAAGGTCACGGATAAGACCCGGGCGGCCAAGCCAACCGTTGGGACACAATCGCGGAGTTATAAAGCAACATTTTAAAATGTCCAAGGGTTTAAAAGAAAAATAAATTATAGTGTACACTTCTTGGCACTTTGTTGCATACTTAGAAGCTTAGAGATCACTTTAAAGCCTGATTATCCTAGACAAACTAAAGTCATGCCTAAGGTCGAGCTCTGCGACTTCGTACTAATGCGTGCGCCAGTTTAACTTGAACTGCACTTCAAAAAATATAAGGAATTTGTAGAGATGAACAGTATGGCAGCACCTGAAATTATTGAGATTATAAACCAGGCAACCATTTAAGGCATTGTTTATGATTAGTTAATGGCTCCATTTCTTGGCTTCCGAAGCTAATATCTTGCTCAGCACTTTATCATGAGGCCTTTTGTTAGTAGAATACTTAGCTTTTAAACAACTTCTGCCATTTTCCCCCTCTCTCATTTAAGTTTCATTCAGAAGAGCGGTTAGGTCCTAGTCTTGAGTCAAGCGGGAAGCATGCAGTATGAGGCGAAGAAATTCTATGCGCACTAGAAATCACTCTACTCATTCAACACAAGTAGCAAAGCAAGTTTTTCTAATATAAATAATTGTATAATTTTAGCATTATCACTTGCAAGACGAACTCAGGAGAACCAAGGCGTAAAAACGCATCGATTCGCCGCAGCACTGACAGCAAAAGAAAAGCCACATTCACGTGCTTCTCGTTTACCAATGCTTCCCTTTCCTCAAATGCATATTAAAATTCAAGTGATAATTCAAATGGATGTGGAACTTCTGCATTCATTCCCAAACCCTTTCATTACAATCACCGAAAAAATTGAGCAATGCATCGGCGGATGGGATTTACGCTACATCTTAGGTTTTCGATCTACCTTAGGTCACAGCAGCACGCCTTGGGCGAGTACTTTTAAAGCCTCTTAACCTCACCTCGGGCCTGATTGGTGGGGCTAGGAGGGCATATGTGCACTGGGTTGACGCTTGAACACCTTCCACGCAGTCGGCTGACATGCAGTCTTACGATTGGAACGAGCCGGTGGAGTGGATTGGAGCACTCGTGCTTGACACGCAGGGCCAGGTGTTGAGTCTGGCAGGTGATGTGGAGCGCTCAAGGTATATGATTGAAGAGTATGCTGCCGCCTACCAATTCGCTGTCTTCCATCTCTCCCGCGAGAGGTATCTCCAGTCCCATCCTAGTCTGCGTCAGCAGTTCTATCCTTATGGTTCACCAATTCAGCTCTCCAGCCGCGGACCCTTCGTCATCGTCAGAGTGCAGTATTTCTTCTACGCCATCGCTGTGCTCGAACATGTGATTTATATCAACAAGTGGAGGGTGCTACCTATAGTCTAGCATAGCTCTCATCATTTTTATATTTTGTCGCCATGTATTATATTAGTGTCTAAGTGCGCATTTCTTACACTTGTACTTATTTATGTAGTTTTTTTAATGTCAATATAAAATTCTTTAAAGACGTGGATGCACACCACACAATATGTGAAGATTCCCTACATTTTCTAACCGGACAGCTGCGAATTCTAGCTGGGGTCATGAGAGTATTCGATTCAAAATTTGCTGCCCTAAATACTTCATATATCCATCTAGACTCCAGTGTTGAGCAAATGAGAAATCTAGAAAGTTTTTGTAAAAACTGGCATACGAAATATTTGATCTATGACACCCACTTAGGTACAGGACTCAAAAGTATTAGTGCACTCTATTAAGTTGGACACATCCTTTTTAATCCTTGAAAAGGATTTGCCAGCTATGGATCTTCGATGGCGTTCCTCCCTTCCTACTTCAACATCCTATATTTATTGACGACATAATCTGCCAAACACTATACTTCATATGGAGCCATATCATGCCCTATAATATTGCTATGTATAGTAAACACTGCAACACTTGATTTATACGATCACCTGATGTCTGGCGGTTACTTTAGGACTCGTCTGTCCCTTGTATGCGGGGCTGGACTTCAGGCCAAGCTCAGATTTAATCAATTCGCCACTCTAGAATGCATGCATTCATTTCCAAATAATACCTTCTTTCATCCATTGAGGAGTCTTAAGACACTATAATTACGTTAGTTTTAACGTCATTTGGTCATTCACTGTGAGTGATGGTATAGGATCCATTAAATTCGCAATTGTATTTTAGGCGTTAAGTTCGCATAAACAAAGTTAAAATGATCTAGTTAAATTACAGTACGTCTAAAGTTTTATCGCTATCGCACGATGACATAAATAAGGTGGCATGCTCGTGCTCGCTTACTCGATTAATAGTACAAACAGGATTTTGTTTTAGTACATAAAAACTTGAAGTGCTCGTGTAAATTTGTGGGTGGTTTTCGTTCGTGCTTATTGTTCAGTTTGTGTCAGGCTTGTTTAGTAATGGTTGGCACCATTCGCCAAAACCCCATTATTTGTAACGGTCATACACGACCAGTCATTGACTTACAGTTCGTTGATGCGCCTGATTGCGGTCCCTTGCTGATAACCGCCTCAAAAGGTATATTTCTCTTCCCACTGAACTCGTTACAATAGAAGCCTCTTGTGGTCATCAAGTTCTTTTGATACTTTTTAGATGGAAAGGCTATGCTAAGAACGGGTGATACAGGTGATTGGATAGGTACTTTTAATGGGCATAAGGGGGCTGTATGGTGCTGCGCTTTGAACGCGAAGGGCACTCGTGCCGCAACTGGAGCGGCTGATTTTTCGGCAAAGTTTTGGAATGTTGACAATGGCATAGAGCTCTTATCCATTCCTCAAAGTCATATTGTTCGTGCTCTCGATCTTTCAAAAACTGATGGTGGAGGGCGACTCTTAACTGCGAACAACAAGCAGGAAGTCTTCATCTATGACTTGCACGCTCCAGAGACGCGTAAATGATTTATTATCTTTCGCTTTCACAGCGTTTTATATTTGTATGTTATTCATTGTTTTAGCTGTCTGCTCCTTCCCTGGTCATAAAAAAATCACCAGAAGATGCCTGTGGATGGACAGTGATAAGCGTGTACTAACCATCACAGACAATCAAGACATTAGGTTAGTTACTTATTATAATACATTTTCGATTCACCATTAAAGTCTTTCTATTGACTTTGTATGAATTTAAATAAGAAATTGAGGGATTCCATCAGTCATCGTACATTTTGACTGTCTTGGAAAACTTTGTTCTTACTACGTGTTTTTGTTAAGATTGTGGGACGTAGTAAGTGGGTCGGAAACTGCCGGACCCGTCTGGAAGGTTGCTCTGCACGACTGTCCAATGGACGCGTATGTTTGGTCGAGCGGCGCCACTTCTGTTAAGGTTATTGTGGCTTCGGGAAAGAATGTGTTTGTCTATGAATTTGACTTCCGATATTCCCTCTTTGATGCTTCGACATCTCCTTCTCTCACTTATACGCTCTCAGCTCCTGTCTGCAGTGCATCTCTGAATCCGTTGGGTGATATGCTTGTTTGTGGGTGCGAGGACTCTCTTATCCACCGTTTGGATATGACGTCAGGCAGCATCCTAGGTGAGCGTTTACATCGAAGTTGAGTGAGTCTTTTGTGTCATTTACATATAAGTACCTAACTTTCCACTCTCAATTTTCTGCTATTTCTGCCATTGTCCCCAAGACACTAATTTGTTAGCCTGTTGTTATTTTTCTACAATCTTTGCCGCCAAACACGGTTACAGGTCTGTCACCACTTGTTGAGTTCAGTAGATATAAATCCCTTTACCACGTTGTCGGTGAGGGTGCGGCATCTTAAAGTTGTACACTGATCAGTGACCAGTTATTTTTCCATTATCAGTACTTCAGAATTCCCCTTATTTCTACGAAGCTGACGGAGGATTGAGCAAAAGTTAGTTTTGGGGTGCTCAGCAATATTTTTCTCTCCTTCTCCAAATAGAAACTTGCCGTGGTCACTTTGGACCAGTGCATTGCGTTCGGTTCTCGCCTGATGGTCACCTATACGCCAGCGGCAGCGAGGATGGGACGGTGCGACTATGGCAGACAAAGGTTGGTGAGGTCTACGGACTTTGGCGCCTGGGGCGTTCAGCTCCTCCGGTCGGCTCCATCCTCCACTCGTGTTGAATACCTGTGCCTGTTCCATTTGCCTCAAATCAGTTTTGATATTATTATTACGCTTTCGTACTTGTTTCTTTCCCTCTCTACACCTGCCATGTAGTGCTGTTGTGGAATGCATTGTTAGTGCACTCTGTATCGAGGAGCAAATTTATAAAATTTGCAGATGTAACTTTTCCTCGGTGCCTGCAGCTTAGTCTTCGCCGGTGTGCTCATTTCTCATCGAAGGCTTCCTTCACATATTCGCGCTTTTGAGATACAGTAAAAACTGGCATCTGTTTCACTTCCTTATGTGTGATGCCATGCCTGCTCTTTGGGCTGCTTTGAGGCAGCATTTAATCATTTACTAATATTTTGGTGGTGGGTTTACGCGCTTACTGGGAAATCAAGGATCTGCAGGGTACACCGTTGCTTGAATAGCGGGTGTGGTTACAACTATCTCGGTAGTAGCAGGTCCCATTCCGGTTGCATGATATGGGCCGTGAACTGTTTAATTTGTCCATCTCCTTGCCATTTTGCTGTTAGAACCAATGTGATCCGACTCAACGTCGGGTGTTGTGCTATCTTTTTCGACTCCTGACATGGATGGCAGGCATTTTGGGGTCGTAATGCTTCCGCTTGGTGGGTTATCTTGGGGCCATGTCGACGACTATGGATATTTCGATGTTCAGCGTTTTCGACTCTGCCACAATAGCAATCATCTAGCCTCCAAAACCTTAGGGAATAATTCGATAGAACTTTAACTGTCCAAAGTGTTATCAAATGTCGTAAAGTTGAATATGGAGTAAAATATTTGTCAATGTATTCTTTATGAGTGCTTTGTATATGTGTGCATATTTGGGTTGACGTAAACTCCTAGGTGGCGTAGTCTTTTTGACAAATCCCCGTGGTTCTCACGTGTTTTAAAGTGTCAATCGACAGGCTAACTCCTAACCCTTTTATTACTATCACTGACTGGAGGTGGGATGTCGGAACATATTTACAGGCGCACCATAGGCGGATACGTGGCTCGCACGTGTCCACTCCAATCGGCTGATCCCGCACGACAACTCCGACCCAAATGCGATCGGTACGGCTGCCTCATTCCCTTGGTGCCCCAGTCTTCCGGTCTAAGAGCTCGGTCGATCACCAAACTTGGCTATGACTCTTGCCAGATGCCCATGATTTTGCGACAGCGATGCCCCTCCTGCACATATAGAGAGGTGCCAGATATGTGCTGCAAAAGGGTCTCTAAGTTCCCAAATCCCTGCCTATACGAAGAGATGGACAAGCATCACAAGAGGCTCTATGGAGAGCACATCTACCGCTTTGAAGGCGCCTGTCGGTTTTAATCCAACTCGAGGAACTGGCCGCACTTGAGATTTGGTACTCTCAGTTGAACCGTCATGCAATCAATGTGTCAACAATGTCTGTAGGATTGCGGAAATAGATTTCTTAATTTGAGGAGACTTTCAATTTTCGACTTGATCCATAGAATTGTAATGGTGGGAGCAAATGCACGAGTTATTAAACATTTAATCTGTCCTCTACCCTCGTCAAGCGAGTCAATACAAATATTTTGCAACTTTTTGACTCCTGTCATTGAAATTTAACCCAAGAGACAAAGCGGTGAAGTTAAGTACTGGTTGACTCTCCCCACATAACGACTGTGCTTCGAGCTCGCCCGCATAATTCAGTGGTGCGTAGCTGTAGGATTTGAGAAGCCGAATAGAGATTTTACCCACCAATTTAAAAACCGTTGTTTTTATAAGGCATCGAAGAGAGTGATTCCCACGCTGGGTGTGGGACTATCATCCCATGATTGCCCTTACAAATATGCGACGAAATAAGGAAGTTGTTGGGGTTAAGTAATATTTACTACTCTCCCAAACGCCTCGGCTTCAAATTGGACACTGCTTTATTGTTTCTTTTTGCCTTCTTTCGAGCTCTGCTTATGGGTCTGGAATTAGTGTCGGCGGCGCATTCAATACCTTCCCAGCTGTAGTCGTTCAAAGTGTCCAGGTCACTCGTCGCCAGAGTCTCTCCATCACTGAGGTTCTTATTTAGTAGGAGTGTGTCTACGTGGCGGATAGAGGGAGGCGAATTATCTGTGGGGAGGCTGTTCCGTGTACTAGAGTGCTTTTTCTTAACCTTTGCAAGCCGTCTATCTACTCTAGATCTGGCTCTGGACCAAAGCCTCTCGAAGTTCTCCTCACGCCTATTCTGCGTACTGATTCCAGCGTTAAGGAGCTGTAGATTGTCCAAGTAGTTTTGTCTTCTGCAATTCTTTGCCATTTTCTCCAATTCAGCTAAAAGACGCTTCTCATATTTTTCTACGACATCTTGAGACTCTTTTGTTTCCGACTGGGTCCCTGTTGACACAGAATTCGTCCCCGATGGGAGCTCACCTGCTGCTTTCCCTTGAGACGCTTTTGGTATTATCTTTGGCTTGATCAGAGGGCTAACGATTCGACGGAGCCACGATGACATCGAAGTTGACGCACGCCGGTCAAATGACCCACATCTGCGCGCCAATCAATCGCTAAACCGGTTTCTTTTGAAACAGCACCAGAACTAAATCGTAATGGTTGTAAAAAACAAGAGTCAAAGTGAAGCCTAAAATCAGTGTAACATTAGCATTTCGAGAGGTTAGGGACACTTATTTTTGCCAATAACGAAGACATTTTTGAGCGTCAACAGGTGAGTACGACAATGCTGAATGTAGGTACTATTGTCTCGAAGAAAACACATCGTAACGAAAAAATGCATAAATTAAACGCGTGCGTCCCGATAGACCTGATTCTACTCTGCCGGCCTAAGTGTCGTTTGGGCTTCAATTATCGTTGGAAAGTTGAACACCTTAAAGGCAAGTATCCAAAGCACGAATGTCATTCAAATGTGCTACTGGATGCTGTGGACAATTGTTTTGTATAAAAATAATTCATCACTTCATATGATATGCCTCTGAGTTTAAAAAGGAAAAAAATGAGGCAAATAATGTATTGTGGTAGCCTACTTAAAAGGAAATCAGTAAAACACCACATATAACAAAAAGACCATAAGATTGGTCATTATAAAGCAAACACAATGCTGACTTCGGCACCACTTCTACTAAAAACTTAAGCTCAATTCTTTTGGAAGCGCGGCAGGGAGTTGGAGGTCCTGCAGAGCCTTGTTTTGTGCTTTACGGGTGGCGCCGCCTTAATCAGCTGCTGGGGAGTTGTCGGTTTATGTACCCTCCTCGCGATATTTACATCAAATTTAATAAGACCTTTTGGAATCCTTTCACATTCTTGCGACTTAATTTTCCACAAACGATCAAGACGAGATTCTGATCCTGCACTGTATGTCCCACAGTTGTCTCGAACCACTAACAGCTCGCCATCTGGTGTTTCAACAGTGTAACTTTTCACTTCCTTCACAAATGTATTGCGCAAGCCTATTTGTTCCATGTTTACCACGATGATGAACCAGGCAGAAAGAGGGCTTATGTTGTAGCCTCGTGTCCTGTATTCCTTGTCCTTCTCAGCGTGACCTTTGAAAAGACGGCTCTTTCTACTGGTAGAGATCAATAAAGACGTGGATTTTGACCCTTAGCCTCTGTGGTCGGTGAAGATGATTCCAGCCAAGCCTATGCGCTTAAGACTACAGCCCTACCAGCACCGTTCAGTTACCTAGCTTTCAGTCCCTTCTTTGAGTGATAGGATTTATGTCATTACTTTTTCACTGCTAAAGGAAATGTGTTCACAATGCCTCTCTCTAAGCGCCGATTGCCTCCTGGAATTTTGCAAGTAACTGGACTGTGCATAAATATGTTCTCATTATCAACAATTCGGCTCTGAAGCACATACCCGACGCCAAACATCTTTGTTGTTTTGCCGCAAAAGAAGAAGAGAACGCAGAAATTAACAAATTAGCATTGTAATTAAGCAGAAACCAGCTTGTCAAGAAACAGCTTAGTAGTGATAAATGAAATCACATGACCTAAAAATCACAATGGCTAGAAATTAATCGTATCACACGTGACAAAACAAATCAAAGAACCTTGATAGCGTTGACATTAGTGTCGGCACGCCATGCGTCGAGAGCAGTAATGACTGCAGTTAGACTGAATGGGATGCGTGCCGGTCTTTGAGGAAATGGCAACGGAAGAAAGCATGTGGTCTCCAGCACGGCAAGAGGGTAAAGCATCAGATTTGGCTTCTGAGCGTGGAGACATGCTATTGGCTGATGTAGGCAGAGCAAAAGATTCAAAGTAGCTCGAGTAGAGTTTACTATCGTACGGAGAGCAGGGATCAAAAGCGCAACCATCACGTTTTACTTCGGAGATTTTGAACTCATCCAAGGGGTTCAGCCTACATCCACAACAGGGGCATCGCGGCCGCAGAGCTAAAGGCATCTGCTCGGCGTCGTAGCCCAGCTTTGTCACCTGAAAGTAAGGTGGTAGGCCTGCACAACAAGGCCTCATAAAGCTTCCACACGCACTGCAAACAGATTGTTGGCTTGTGCAGCTCTCCGAACAGACACTCATGCTGTGCCCGTCTTAGGAAGAAGAAGAAGAAGGAGAAAGAAAAGCGTTGGAAGCGCAGTTCCAGATCCTTTTGAGACAACCCAATATCCCTCGTGTTGCAATCGATCACAATGTCTGCAACATCTCCTGGATGAACAATCACGTGGTTTCTAGAGGCATTCTGCTAAGTCACGAGGGCAGTAATAACTCCTCCATAGAACGTTGTGACTCGCCTTCTGCATACTTAAAAGGTCGGTATGGGTGTTCTTCTCAAAAAGCGTGATGCAAATGATCACTTTTTGAGCTAAACCAGCCATACGGATACAGTGAATGAGGAAGAGTAATAACGTACAGAATTTAAGTTAAATTTTGCCATGGAAGGTATTGTCATATGCTAATGATTTCCGACAAAAGTGATCTGCTGGTAGGTGTCGCAAAACATTAAAGTACCAACATCAATTCATTGATTCAGTTAGTTGTGCCGTTTTTTGAATTCCATGTTAGGTTCTCCATCGCTCCAATTTTTTCGTGTAAGCGAGTTATTATCTAACTTTAATAACAGAATTCTAACCCCTCCCAAATTAGTAAATGGATTTGAAAATACCCTGTTATATTGATAGACTTAGCGATTCTGTCATGTGGATCCCATTGGGACCGCGTGGTTCCGGGGTCGTGCCATTTTAAATAGTCGATCGATCACTCCTGCCGCGCTTGGTGGTAGAAGAGAGCGCATTGCGTCGCGGATATCATAGAAAGTCGAGGGAGGATGTACAACGAGAGCAATGTCCCAAACAGGTGTGTATGCGACGCAGCCAAGATTCCAGAACCGGTGCCGCTCCCGATACGACCATGTTGTGATCCCTATGGGCGTTTGGTACCTTTGAACGTGCCCTACAGGAGACCTATTGATGGAAATTTGACCAAACTAGGCTATGATGCGTGTTTGTTGCCGGAAATCCAACGTCAGAAATGTCCCTGCTGCGGATTTCGACAGGCTCCTATTGAATGTTGTTCACGAGAGGATCGCACCGTCATGCCCTGCGGCTACGATCCCAAGAACAAGGAACACAAACGAATTTACGGAAGATACTTTGACACGTTCAACGATGTGTGTCCCCAGTACTGAAGAATAGGCGTAAACTTTAACAGGATTTTCTTTTATTGTTCGTTTGGGAGCATGACTCCTATGAACATTTTTATTTACCAAATTATGAGAAGACTACTTTTGCATGCGAATTCAAAGGCAAGCCATGGAAACTTGCCACGGGGCTTAAGAAGTTATGATGTCTCGAGATTGAATTATTGCAACAATTTTAGACCTTGGACAAATTCTAACATTTGCATTCTAAAGAATAAGGTAGTGATAATTTGGTCACCATGGGTGCAGATACTCGTACATTGTTCAATATGGGTGAACTTAAAGTGGCAGTGTTGCATTGTACTGTGAGGCAATCCTACCTATCTCTACCACTTGAGTTTAAGGAGCATTATTTTGTGGGAGATGGAAAGCAAACTACAATACCTAGTTTATTTTGTAACACCCTGAAAATTTCAATTGGGTGAAAAACGTATTAAGTTGGATAAAATACACGTGTTCTGGGGGAATGCAAAGGGCTTGGATCTTGACTTGGTCAGAGACCCGCTCACGAGCACAAGGATAAGACAAATACCGAAACACCCGCTAGGCATAAGGTGTGCACATCGAGGGAGTATTATCTATGCAACTACCTGCATACCCGGCGATTACTTCGATGTTTATCTTACTCCTGTACGCGTAAGCCGTGCTTCGGTTTAAGCCAAAGTATAATTCTCTCTTCCCTTTATCCCAACTTAGTACCACCTCAACGACTTCTTCTAACTAGTGGGAAGTTCCGGGGAGCTACATATGTGACTGGTTAAAGTGCAATTGGTAGCTTTGTTCCATAGGCACGATCAAACTTCCTTAAAATCAAGTTCAATTACTAAGACCCATGTTATAGTAAGCAAGTTCAAAGCCGAACCATGGCTCAGTAATGGAAATTAAAATCGTCTAATGTAGCGCCACCGTTTATTTCGACTATGCGTTTTGTTTAGATTCACCTAGGTCTCCTGAACCAAATCTGGTTAGATTGCTCCTTTGACCTCAGATGCTCCTTCTTTAAGCCATTTCAGCTCACATATAAGAGTACTACTCGATTTTACATAACTGTTTGAACCCGGAATTTATGTATTTTGCCCGTAACACCTTGTGAATAATTGAACTCAAATTGTATTCCACCTTTCTTGTGGTTCCGAATTGAGCCAATTCTCTTTCTTGTGACTAAATGTTGCCAGGCTACTTGAGCGTCCCTTGTTTATTAATATTTATGATATTTCTATATAGAAGTGGGCTTGGTTGCTTATATAACAATATTGTATTTTTAGTATTTGACGCTTGTTCCTGTCTAGAGCACAATGCTTTGGAAAGTATGAAATGTTCTCAGCCTCATCTTACTGTCCCTATATCTTTGGAAATGCTAGGCAATGAACTCGAGAGTGCTTAAGGAGCTTAAATCCACGGACACGGTGACAGTTATTTGGGACTCTAGCTCCACTGGGGATTCTCAAAACGAGGCTATGGAATCACTGGTCCAAAGTCTCAAAACCGTCGTACTCGATGGCAACGTTAATCTCGAGAACTTGAACATCTTTATCCATAGCGCTGTTTCCTCTGTGGGCTCAGTCATTATCACCGGGTGGCCGGAAGCCTTCCCTGCCGGCAAACACGACTTTGAATTCTTTTCAACTCTGGTCTCCAGAATGCCTATTGGTGGTCGGTTGATATCGCGCGAGGTTGTTGAAGGGGACTTGACCACATCTCTTGAGAGGATTCGTAAGGCTGCTTTGCTTAGCGGTCTGGTGGACATCAAATTTGTGAGTCGTTATGCTTGGCTATTTTCGTGCTGCTTGATCGGGCGTTTAATATGCATAAGGTGTGTTCCGAGACATTTATTTTGGTTTAAAACTCGTGATTCAAGAGATTCCTTGACGTATTAGTGGCTGATGAAGTACTTGGTCAGGTAAAATTGTCTTCATCGATTTGAAATGCGTCATATTTCTGCAGTTCCATATTTTATTACAATTTATGCAAGTTCTTGGCGGTAAGCACTTATTTAACTGTTTAGCAATTCAATTTAACGGGCAGTAACTACAATTTTCTGCTTAACTTTGAAGGGGCATTTTGGTTCATCATTTGCCTTCAACTCATTTTAACGCATAAGAATGTGTTCTCCATGTTTGTATGGGTTCTTTGGAGATGGTTTTATATTTACTTCGTTGAATTTACTGGACTGATGTTTAAGCAATATAATGCCGGGACAAATGTAGTTGGTATTTATACACCTACTGAGTCTCTAAAATGGTACTTGTAGACTAATGCACTAGACAAGTTAGGTGCTGAAACGTACATGTTATTTGGTTTACATGCCTCTGAATAGGTCGAATGTGAAAGTGGGTTTCTGTGCTTGAGCGCCTCGACTCCCTCCATTTATCAAAAGGGCGCGAGCGCTAAACTGCCTTGGGCAGCAGACACCATCTCAGACGATATATGGAACGCTGTGGAAGCAGAAGAGGGAGGTAATTTGATTAACACGGAGAAGCTGCTCCTTGAAAGCGACTTGAAGAAGCCCATCACCGCTCCTTGTGGCGAACCTTCGGTGGGCGGGGTAAAGAAGAAGCGTGCATGTAAAAACTGTACCTGTGGACTTGCTGAATTGGAGGCCGCTGAGGCTGAAAAGACTAACACTGCCGGTGTCAAATCCGCTTGTGGTAATGTAAGTCTGCTTGCTTGATTTTATGAATCGTATTTGCTCTTCCACACCGTTTACGGTACAGCATTCTCTTTCTTTGAACGCTGTTGGCTTTGTGAGAAGGTGGAAGTTGTATGGGTTAGATTGGGAGTGTTTTTGGTACTTTATCCCACGCATTGGTGAAAATCAGATTTTAGTAATTCTCTCAAGGTTCGGGCATATATAGGCTTAGTTTGAATAAACTAGGACCCTAAATTTTCGTTCTGAACGGACACTGACATCCCATAGTCCTCCATAGAGTTCACATTTTTAAGTATCCCAGGTGCGATATCAGCATAAATAACAGGAATGTGAGAAATGCGTATTTGCCTTCCTCCTATCGCACGGCGCATTGCGATGCTTGTTAATTGTAAGGCGCTTATCGTTATTGCCTATTCCTCATCGACTCGCTGAGAGGAGTCTGGTCAAGGCACCTTACCATTGAAGTTACTACTTTCGAGACGATGACAAGGTGGTCGTACTTCAAAACAATCACTTTCCAACTTCTACTTTTTAGTGTTACCTTGGAGATGCTTTCCGCTGCTCCTCCTGCCCCTACAAAGGCCTGCCACCCTTCAAGCCGGGCGAGCAAGTGGTCATCCCGGATGATATGCTTGCTGCAGATATCTGAGATGGCAATCATACTAATCTGATAGTCAATTCACGATCCTATATTCTGTGTCCAGCTTGTATTACTACGATTTCTCATTCCATTGTTCTCGACCATCAACACAGGTGTCATCGGGCTATAAATATAATGTGGCGAGAAAACACAGTTTGTCCCATTGACCGTGCTTTGACAGCTGAGGATACTGTCATACAAAACTCCACTCACATCGGGTCCTTTGTATCGTCAACTTTCCCAATCTAACAATATTTTCATTATTTTCAAGATGTCACTCCAACCTCAAGGGTAACTCAAGTATTCCAGCATGAACTCCCCGCAAAACAAGAGACCGTTCCTCATTACAAACAAGTCCACACGGACCCCTAAGGCATGAATTTATTAGCAGTAAAAAAGTGCATAAAAGTAAATCTCGGTCCAAGTTGATGCAGGTTTGATATGTCGAAGGGGAGAAGGGGTAGGTCATTGTTCACTTGCACTGGGGTTGGTAGCAGGAGAATGATGAGTCGTGGCGTGACGTCGATCACGAGGTTGGGCAGGTGGTGGCATCGCTGATTTCCGTCGCTGAGACGTGATGGGCGGTGGAGCACTCTCTTCGTCTCCCGTCTCAGTGAAGCGACGAGGCGGAGCGACGGAGAATCCTCCCAACGTCGCCAAACTGCTCATCGAGCTTGATGGTCGCAGAGAGCTACCAGAGCCAATTCCGCCTCCAAGGCTGCTATAAACAACGCCATTGCGAGTCGCTGCTTCTGCACTATAGCGAGCGTAGAATCCATTGAAATCCAACCTAAACTCACATAAGTATACACAAGTGAGTAGACGAACGAGAATTTGAACGGCCTGCACTAGTCCTCAAAGCAATACGACTAGAGCTCTTGGCAGGAAATCTTTGCAATCCGTTCTACGAATAAGTGACTTCCTTCCGTTTACATCACCGTTCATTGACAATCGCGAAGTGCATTGCAATCTCCCTTCCGCTAAGCATAGAACGATGAACGACCTCTCTGAATTTGCATCATTGTTAATGTACCTCCACAGAAGGTTCAGTGTAAGAAATTTCACGGCTTCCACACCTTTTGGTGCTAATGCGAGGGTCCTTCGTTAGTTTTCAAACCTCAAGGTGCCCATGCTGAGTCAAAAAACCGCAACAGAAACAGGAAAAATAAGTCAAGCTTTTCGGGAACACGTCCACCTATTCGAAAATATTAAGTTCTTGGTCTGTAGCATCATAGTGGTAACAAGACAAAACGCTTCGACAAATGCACACCTTTGAGAAATCCGTCAAACTAGCTAGAACAATTGGGGCAATTTAGCGATATGGCTTTAAAATATAGCGCATACTAGCAATTGACTTCGGGTTAAAAAGGCTCTGCCTTGAATGAATAGTAAGGAGTTCTTCTACGATTCTCTTGATTCTGCCGGGAATACTAGGCACACGTGGCTGCATCAACTTCCACGATAATAATAACGTGGAGTGAGGCTCTGACAACTGGACCTAAACAAAGCTGCCGTGTCAGCCGGAGGCGATAAGGTCACCATTTCCACTGGGCGAATATGGAGTTGGCGATTAACTCACCTAGCAGCGAGACTGAGTAATTTGTCTCTTTCACGATCCACTGGCCGACGAATTTTGACGAGCAAATCGACGATGAGAGTGTTAAACTTGAGGCCAAAATCCTCCACTGCAATGGCAAAACGTTCGTTTGATCCAACGATCCCCAAATCCGAGGCTGCAACCTAGAAGGCGAAAGTGGTCAAGCTGAAGGCATGGGCTGGCAGTGCACGCAGTAATGATGGAGAACAGAACTCAGTCCCAAACGAAGAAAAAATGCAGATCAAGCACTTGAGTGGCTTAAGTGGTCAGGTACGACATGTTTATCATCCATACAACTCCTTCGGGAGGACAAATAAACATTTGACATAGGATTAGTTGTCCACAATGCTTCATGACTCAAGTCAAAATGAATGAAAGTAACTTCCCACATGGTTCAAAGGTGAAAGGACAGGTGTTTAAGGGGAGAAACAACGCCCGTTTCAAGCTCCTCTGTGAAAAAATTTCACCTCAGACACAAAAACACATGCACCCAGCAATGTACCAGGCAGCTATTGAAAGCATTACCAATGTCACAGGAGAATAAGTTGGAATGATTTTACTCGAATTAAGTGACGCATCTTAGGTGCTAAAAAATTAAGTAAAAGAGACTAACATGCACCAACTGTACCAGAATGTCATTGGATTTGGTGTAAGTTGTTATTTACGGATGGAACGATGGAGAATTGAGGCAAAACAATGCAAATGTGCTACAATCATTGGAATCGACATTTAAGTAGAGCAGTACGAGCGTAAATGCAATAATTCTACGGAGCTTGATGAAGTAGATGAATCGGAGAAGTAGGGGGTAACCAAGAAGAGCACTTACCCGTCTACGCACATCAAGCGAGGACCCAGCGAGAGATGAAGCGGTGCTATCTCCAGCTTTAAAGAGGCTACCACCATCGCTACTGGCTATGGAGCCGCGACGGCGTCGATCGCCACGAAATGCGGCAGGCCCAGGAGTGACGGCGAGGTTAGTGAAAGAGGGCGAGGCGGAGACAGTGCCTGTTCTACCAGAGTCACCAGCAGCTCCCAGTCGGTGTTGCATAGAGGCGGCAGTGCTCATCGGTACGCTGTCCAGAGTGTCGTCCAAACTCGCATCAGCCAGGCGGTTGAGGCAGTTGGCAAATTGGATGCATACGGCGTTCAACTTGCCTACCAGCGCCAACAGATCTGGCGATGTGAGTAGGCAGTCATCCATACAGATCTCGAGACATCGTTCATGCGCCCTCAACACTTCATCCAAGTTGTCAGCCTACAAAGAGTGAGAGGGTCATGACTCCTACAGTCCCGTAAAGTTTAGTGGAATAAAATTCATGTTAAAAATTTGGTCACGAATTAAGCTTTAGATACCCTACATACACCGTTGGATAATGGATCCATTAACAAGTAACTCATAAAAGATTCCAATCTTAGCTACTGCAATGACACCACTTTGAAGTCACCAGATTGGCTGTTTAGAACAGAGGGAACTAAACAAATCTACATTCACAAAATGTAGAAGCTGAGCCAATTCACCTTGTCGAGGAATTGGAAGAAGCTGTTCCAATTAGGTTCGAGTACCTCAAAGGTCATGTAGTATTGGAGGTTTTGGATATAAGTTAACATCCGCTGGCCAAGAATAAAGGCGTTATTGAAGGCGAGGGCGCCAGCGGCTGTTGCTCGACGAGCTGCCTTCCGCATAGCCCAGGATCTGCGGGGAAAAAAAATAGCAGTAGTATCAAAAATCAAACAACAGGAAATGGACGCCGAATGATGCTTTAGAAAAGACGATTAAATTAGATGGAATTCCTAAATTCTACACTTTTACATTAAAATTTTCGTCTGGAGATTAACCAGTCTGGAAATCTATAATCTTCTACGAAGGTCGGAAGCATCGGGCATACCAATTGCGACGTCTTCAGGAAAGGCAAAAAATTGGTATTACCCGAAATTTCGTTTAAAAATGAAATAATAATAATTTTTCTGAGGAGGAGGGAGTGGGGACTTTTAACAATCGGAATGATTAACTGCAAGTTGTAAAACCTTCACAGTCAAGTATCACTACTTTTGGTGCAAGAGCAGTGTTGAAAAGGAGGCGTGAGCGACAAGAATGCAGTCAAGATGTGTCAAACCTAAATAGCCATTCCTTAAATTGTATCAATTCCAAAGGAAACTAAAGGAGGTGGACCATGAGGTGCCAATAGTTGTACACAGCATTAAAATGTGAAGAGGGGAATACGTACGTGGAGAGATGACGCTCAACATGACGGCAGTAGAAGAGGTGTCGAAAAAGCATTTGGTAACGATCTATGACGGGACGATTTATGACTAGAGCCGTCGGCCACTCCACTTTGTAGTCCAAAGAGAAGGCTTCTAATGCGCTTGGATCCATGTCAATTATGGTGTTAGCTACAACAACATCAAAAACACAATCCAACAAACACCACACATTGGCCTGCGATAAGTTCGTGATTTAGATTTAGAAACTGCATGCTTTAAGATCACTGCCATAGGGTGCGTGCAAATAGATGCCACCAATAATCCCCATTGACCAAATGGGCATATAGTGTGGAACAGAGATAGTTGATCTGAGCATGTGTGTCACGTAAAGTAGCTTAGTTACGAAATCATAGTGACTGCCATGTGACATGGAAGGAGGTTATTTTACGAGGCAGAAATCAGGTCAAATGTTATTGTATCAATAAGCTGCAAAAGCCACAGCTCAGCGTATTCCACCCTAAACAATCTCAAGGGTGGCACAATAGTTTGCCACAGGAGATGCAGACGTAACTCGGGGGTATTGGAAAAGTGGCCAGCTTACCATTGCTGCCGTCAGCGGCCACATGAAGGGTCAGCATTTGCGTGATCAAATCACAATTCGTACTTACCACCCTAAAAATTTAAAAAAATAATTCTCGCTGAAAAAGTACTATGGGAAATTTCATCATCCAAAATAAGCGAAAGACGTATCAAATGACAATAATGAGGAAAACCTTACTTCAAAATAGCCGAACTATTCAAATCGGTAAGCAGCAACAGTTGCATATATATGACAATCGCGACTTCCTTCTTCATCAAGACGAATAATAAAGCATCTGCTCTCATTTAAGCGAATATGAGAAATTCAATTGAAAGTCGCATACCTGAGGTTGTCTTTGTAGGGGTCACAGGCAGCTGAGCTGGTTTGCAGTACCCATTCGAGGAGGGAATTGAGTCCACTGATCGAAACTTCTGCAGTTCCAAAAGAGTGAAATCAGTTTCTACCACCATTTAAACTATTCAAGCATAATAAAACACGTACGGGATACTGGCTTCTTCAATTCTGCAGCAGCGGTGTCCATGAAATGGACAATGAAGTCACCTTGGTCCAGCAGGAAATAGCGTTTAATTGATCTATAAAATAAAAATAATTCATTATTAACGGCCAGCACATTTTCTAAACAGTGTGGGGCAAGTGAGAGTTGCAAGACAGATTAAATGGTATGAAGGGTAAAGGAACACGTAGTAAGTGGAAAGTCGAAGTTAAACAATTTCAGAATCAATGAATTAAAATTAAACCTAATATCCAAGATTGCCAGGCTCTACCAATGAAAGAGCATACATTCGAAAAGGGTAGATTGTCATAAGAGGAAAAAATGCAATTTGCGTGTGGAAGAAAATCGCTAGTCATCGTGGGGACCGATTGAGGGAAATAAAAACCTGTCCTGCTCGATAATTCATTTGAAAGGGGAGCGAGTACAAAATTAATGGAAAAGCCATACACCTTACAAGAGCTGCACAAAAGTTGACAAAGTTAATCATTTCGACCCGAAACCTTTCCGTTTTCCCATAGAGAAGTGAAATAACTAACTCCAACTGTGGGCTCATTTACATGGGGAAAAGCGTGTAACAAAAGAATCTAATGCTAGTGCTCGACAACAAGGTTCGCAAAAAGGAAAGATGACACTGACTTGAGAATGCCTTTGAGATCTTTTTGTTTGAGAATGAAATCCAGCAGAGTGCGACTAGCGAACGCGTGAGCCTTATCAATTTTTGACAGGAAGTCAATTTCTGTTTCACTAAAGACCAGATCCTCCGGTTCAGCCAGCTGCAGCGAACTGTCTACATGCAACAGAAAAAGAACTACAGAAATCTGGGAAGATGGCAACGCGTAGCATGCTAAATAGCTACTCAACAATGTGAAAACGAAAGAAAAGGGATTCATCATGCGCGAATCCAAAAGACGCATGTAAGACAGGCTAATAACTTAAAGCTAAAAGCATAAATCAATGGTATTCGCATACAGTAAGTTTTCAAATTGACAAAAAATAAATGAGTCGATTACAAAAATAAATCCGTGGTTTTTAGCAGTGCTGGAATGGGATAACTAACCACACTGCTGCACCACATTGAGATACTTTCCAGTAGCCAAAACTTTTTCTGCACGTGATTCCAAGAATCCAGGTAATTGAGTGGATAGAATGGAGTAGCTTCGCTCCCAATAATAAGCTGAATTGATATAATCCCTAGCCGTATCGTTCTCTTGGCTCGGTAGCGGTAGCGCTGAGGACTTCACGATAAAGAACTCGCCCCTCTCGGCATCGTCGGGTCGGAGGAAGCCACGGTAAATCCAGTAACTTAGGGATTCGAAGAAGGGTCGGCAGGAGGAGCGAAGAAGGTAGAACAGACAGTCGTGAACACGACTTATTACTGATACCTGACCTCGGAGACTCTCGTAGAGTAGAGAAAGCGTTGCACCACCCACACAACCACCAGTATTGATATTCGTTGCCAGCTGAGCAAGTTGACTGAATAGATGACCGGTGTCCTAGCCACGAACAATCATATGAGATGAAGCTGACATTAGCAGTGACTGAGTATAAAAGCAAAAGGTGGAAAAGTAGAAAGCTGAGATCACCTTTAAAAGTAGAAGAAGACGCGAAATTCCTAGTTGGTTAGCACGATACTGAGCTTCGAGCTGGCAAAGGAGCTTCCAGTACTCTTGCAGAAATTGCTCCATTGCTTCACATAATGCCTGATTCACACGACCATACTCATATCGGGATTTCTCTAAAAAAGGGTTAGCTAAGCCTTAAAAGAGCTCTCTGAGTCAGTCGCATACTTGGCATGTGGCATCTAAATCACAAAAGAATTGCAATCTAGTCCTGTACTTCAGCAAGAAAAATCGACAGCCATAAAATTTGAACAAAATTTGTTTAACTAAATTCAACTAAACCTTACGTGCCCTAATCGGTATGCGAGAAACAACATCAATGCATAAGAGAATTGCAATTATCAAAATCTGCCATAAAAACAAGGTAATCAATGAGAGAAGAATAGGATGTCTTGGTGATGCTTACCTTCAATGAACCTGACGATCAGGGAATATTGCGAAATCATGGGAACAACTTTGTTCACCGTATCCACGAGTGACGGGTCTGCCAGAAATCAAATTGTTTAAGTTTTTAAATGAGGGAATAGCGTACTAAAGATTATCCTTACGCATTTTTTTATCAATCGCAAAATTTCGTACTGCATGAGGATTTTTTATGTTCAGAGCTTTGATATAGACTCCGTCACTGCCCTATGAAAGAGCTTATTAAAAAGTGATTTAAGAAAGGAATAAAGTGAAGAAAGGCAACGCACCTGCAAACATGCCAAGAGATCCTGCACAACTAACTTCTCTTGAACATTCAATGGCAACGTTTCAAGCGGAAGAACAGGAGGTGTCTTAAAAGATTACAACCAGAGTAAGACTGCAAAATTCAATAAATAAAGCCTGTTTGTTTAAAATAAGCTTATTTTGAGATTAGACACCTCATTAAGTGGAAAGTTTATCTGTAATTACATCCTAATATTACCTTTGAAGTAAAAAGGTTTGCCGGTAGAAAATCTGCTGACAAGTAGAATGTTTCGTACATCCACCGGGGGAATTGACACGAAGCCTTTCGACACTGTGAGTTACTGTCCTTAGACTTCGATGTTGACTTTGTCCCCTCAGCTCTATCAGCAGTCGCAAAAGTGGCGTAATAGTGAGGAAGGTGATGGGAGTCACCAAGGCATCCCACGTTACCATGGGGCTGTTGAAGATTGTCATCAGCCTCAAAACCAGAAGAGTCTTCTGATCGCAGCGGTCCCAGAAGAGCATTCGTATTGCTGTTTTGAATTCGCATTTGCAGTTGGTCAAACGACTATCAGAAATGAAAACAGTAACATACACAAATAGATACAGATCAACAAGCAAGGCAAGGAAAACCGACCTCGTAATCGGGACCATCCGGAGTGTCATTACATTCTCCATTTAAATTACGAAGCGTTCTCGAAAGATCAGAGTCACACTTAATTTTTGCAAGAAGGTATACAAAAGGATCCAGTTCCCGAATGCTAGCAAATAGAACATGTTTATGACGAGGTACTTCTTCAGTTTGAGTTCGTTGTACTTCTCCAAGAATGCTTTCCCCTCCGGGTTTCCATCACAAATTATTTTCTTCGCTTGCTCAACATTCTTCTATAGCAGTATTAGCATTATTTGTAGGAAAAACCTGTGAACCTAAACGAGGAGTTATTGTTTTCATCAGCTGGTCAGCATAAGTGTTGACAACAGCTCGATCAACCGCCTGACCACTAAAAAATAGAATATATACTCAATGCTTACTAGATGGCCTGCAAAAGTTCATTCGTATCATGCAAAATCGCACTTTTCACAGCATCCATTCAAGGAATGAAACGCAACCAAGCAAAAACTAAACAACCGCTGCATCCCGCTATTTTAAATGAATCCACCTTGAAAGTTCATTAAGCAACACGCCGCAATCGCGCATTAATCGTATTAATTAGGTTAACTTTTTAAAAAAATACATAATAAAAAGGAAGGCTGTGCAGATTTATTGACTAATCGCGAAGCAATGCCTTTCACTGACTCAGAATTGTCGGATTCAAAACAAAAAATTTTTCACCAAGTCGCACATATTTAAAGCTAAAAGATTTATTATTGTTTGGCGATTTTATTTCTTGGACTTTGTCATTACATCCTTGACGCTTCTGCTTATACTGAATCTAACGTTTAAGGTCTAATCAACGTTATATTGGTCAGATACGAACGGATTATAACTCTTTTCACGCTTAACTGTATTCTCATTTGTGGATGTTTAATACGAAGTTTTTAGCGCTTTATGTCCGAATTCATGTACAACATTTAGTTAAGCTCTATTCATTTGGATTTTCCTAGATCTTACTATGGCCATTTGAAGCTTCTTGCTAAACAGTAAAAGTTAGGAGTGTAAGATAAATTTGCGCTCTGAGGTAGAATGAGTGAAAATGCGTCTTCGTCATGCACATTGACCACCTTAGTATTCGGGAGCAATGAGGACGTCGTAGTGATCACCACGTAGATAAGCTGTTAAATGTGCAAAGTATTACCGTACTACCATGTCCGAGCGACAGCATTATTTCGTTCCTGGCTATTTGGTGTATAACGATTGCTTTAGGGTTCGTTTGGCTCTTGTCCGCTTGGGCTAGCCTTCGAGCAAAACTCAGATCTAATCCCTTTGTTCTCCTTCAAATACATGTATTCAGCTTCATTTAACGCTTTATACTTAGTAGAAAGTCTTATGGCGGTACTATGTTGGCAGCAGGACGCGAACCCTACATTTTACCGTATCTATCCTAGTCTGTACTATGCGGTGCATGTACCTACGGTGGTGAGGAAATCTCCAAAGATTCTTCACAACTAATAGTTACGAATGATGTTTGTTTTGGTCTCGCCTTACTCCCGTGTTCCACAGACAAGCTATCGACCGTGAATCATCTAAAAGTTTCGCTATGGAATTCCCTTAACGTATGCGTTTATATATAGTGTGTGCAACCCCGTTTTCCCTGTAAGACCTCTGTTTTGGACCAGAGTTTCATTGCTTAATCCTGGAAACAATAGGTGGGTAGCATGGGAGGTCGCTCGTCCGGCTGTAAGACTGAACGTAATTTCAGGCTAGGCGGATCTGCTAAGAGGGAACAAGTACCGTTCCTCAATCCCATGGTAGCTAATGACTTGCATGGCTTCTCCGTGGGTTCCTCCCTGCAGCACTGAATATGCTGTGATGGGTGGTGCGGGAGCTGTACAAAGGAGGGCATTGAGGACGTCGCTCAAAAATGAAAGGAAAGTGTAGTACCTTGTTTCTTGGACCAGCTCATGTCTAACGTCTACTTTGAGGTTCGGCTGGCCATCATATTGAGTTTAGACCTGATTTTTTGTTCGCCTTGTGTGCATGTATTCAGCCCTACTCAATGTCTTCTGCTAACTTGGGGGAATCCCGGTATCGTGTACGATGGTATCATTCCTCTCCTCCTATGCTTAAACTGACGTTCGAGCCGCATTAAGACTCTATCAAATTTTGTTTTACCAAAATACATGCATTTTATCCGACTTTAATGAGTTCCCCCACCTATTGGGGAATCTTAAGACGCCACAATTGCACTTTTGGACACTATTATACTCATCATTTAAGTCCTTTCCGTTGCATGATGCGGTATAAAGTGCTTGATGGTAGCCGCTGCTTTAACTCTAAACCATCTTCAATTATTTCTATTGTGCCACCTTCGCTTTTTTACTTCTCACTAGGTAAGTTGCGCCATCTCTGCAATATATAATTTTTAAATATTTATAGATGCGTACGAATGTCTTACGACCTTCGTCATGCGTACTTAATCATTTGCTTGCGGAACCCGCTTGTTTTACACATTGCCCGGTGATGCTTTGAATAGGCTAAACTCGGTTGAACGCGGGTACATGGTACGGCAGTCTGGCTGATCGTGCTGTTTTTCGTCTCCCTCGCACGTCGCGTTGGTCGTCGGCCATGGCTACGGTCTCATTGATGGGTACCTACTGGATGCTGTTTGCTAACTCCCGGTGTTATGGACTTCCCTGATGCAGGATCAAGACTAACGAGTTTTCTGAGCAGTCAGTACGAGTTCGTAACCTTGATTCAGCCCTCAATCCGTCGTCACTACTATGCCAGAGGCAGTATGTTCTTTTTAACAGTAACATTTTACGATGATGCTACGAAGAGCCGTCTGCTCCATGTTGAATTCTCACAAACTGATGTGACCTAACTTTGCTATTTTTTACGTAGGAGGACGATTACCTGTGGCCATTGCATCAAATCGAAGACTACCTTGGAGGCACTTCTTTCACTCAGTTTTGTAATAAAATTCCCTCGCACAATTTTTGCTCCTACACTAAGCTTTTATGGAATGCCTGCTTCCAGATCGTTGGTATAACTTCTGTCAACGAGCATTCCAATATTGGTCCTCCGCGAGCGCATGCATGCAGAGGTACAACTAAATTAGTCTTACTATTGGGTGGACGCGGTACTAACAGTGGAGTGATGTCTATTTCAGCCTCTTGGTTTCGGCATAAGCCAATGCGCTCTCCAAGAAAATAAACGCCCTTGTGGTTTCTTGATGTAACTTTAGTTAATTGGATTGGCTCTGTTCTGCGGATACAGGTGGGGATCGCAGGCACTGCGGCCTTACACGAGGGTGTCATACTCAGTATGTTCTCGAGACATCCAGTCTTCAATTTCCTCAACAGTGCGTGGGACGTCAGAGAGTATCTCGCACCCGTCGTTTGTCACCAGAACGTCTTCCTCGATCCTAATCTATACGCAGTCAGTGTTATTTACGCATTAGTAGGTATACATACCCCACCAAAGTCTTTGAATCTGTCGATCGCCGTGGAGATCAAGAATTGGTTGAGGTTTGGCGAGCTCCGAGCATGTTCGATCAGCGGCTTGATGAAGTAGCAGCCCGGCTCAACTGTCAACACCATGTTAGGCTGGACGTGCCGCGCGGTTCGCAAGTTCTCCAGACCCGGCTCTGTTGACCTTGGGGGTGCACCCTTCAAATAAAGGGGAATTGGAGGCTTGTCATACTGATGACAGATTGGGACGAGTATTAGGGATGAGCAGCTTGGAGTGAATGTGATCACTCATACCTTGTTGTATCCTCCCACATCGTGAACGTCGCAGCCCATGAGGTGACCCAGACCGTGCGGCATGAAGATGGCGCCGAGATGAGCCGACATCATTGCATCTACACTACCTTGCACCAAGCCACCCGCCTGCAGGTGCTCCAATATTGTCCGTTCGGCCAATTTGTGCATCTCAACCCAACTCACACCGGGTCGAAGACGACTTGTGACTGCCCTTTAAGGGAGGAGAGACAACGCTCATGACATCAATTGAGCAGGCACATAGCAGCGCTCCAAACTAACCGGACGGCAGCTAAAACAGTTTCGTAAATGAGCCGCTGGTCGGACGTGAACTTTCCATTGGCAGGAAAAGAGCAAGTAATGTCGGAGCAGTAGCAGTAGTATTCTCCACCCATGTCGAAGAGGCACATATCCCCATCGCGGATCCTGTTGGCGTTAGGGGAGCCAGCGTGACCATAATGAAGGATGGCGCAATCACAGCCCCTGTCAAAGGAGATTAGGAGTAGTAATGGTGGTCTAGAGATTCAAACATCTTAGGGCACATTTTACGAGATTGAGCGCATGGTTAACGGGTTCGATAGTTTCTGCCTATCCTTGATTTGCTTAGTTTTTTACGGAAAAGGAAGAAGGAACCTACGTAGCAGCGATGCAGGTGTAGGCGACGTGGCGCATACTGCCATAGAAGTAGCAATAATGTCGGAAGATGCTCTCCGCCTGGAATTGGTACATACCGGGCTTCACCTTCCGCATAAGATGACGATGCGCTGCCGAACTCATCGACACTGCGTAGCGTATCACTTCCAGCTCCAGTGGACTCTTGATCAAGCGACTGCAGTGGAGCAATATCCAATCAGTACACATAGTTGTTTTGGCATGCTTTACCTATGAGTACTGGATGAAGCAGTCAAGGAGTTTAATGATCAGGTGCCATCTATGTGATTAAAGGAGATCAGAAGTCGAAGTTATTAAAGCGGTGCAGTACTGTGCATCAGCAGTGATGGAGTTCTGTGACCTACTACATAACAGCTGTAAAATAAGGATACAGTCGAATGTAGGCATAATGCCATACCCAAAAGGAGTGAATATGTGTTAATGGACTTTGCAAGATAAGTGAAATGGAAGAACCATGTGGCTAGGTCGTAATTCCTACGAGTTGACGTGCCATTAGATGACCTTTTGAAATGTTTATAAAGGTCTAAACACCGAGGCAAGAGCATATCCGAAACAAAGATAAACACGAAGTTACGGTGTATACAGGAATGATAAACTAAAAATTCGCGTTTTTTATGTAGGAGATATGACTAGAATAATGCACGAATAGGTTTTCTTGTCTACAAATTTGAACAGCATTAAGTCAATGATAATTCGCATGAGTAAAATTTAGAAATGAGTTCTAGAAATGAGGTCTAAGTAGGATGAAACAATAACAAAAATGGGGCTTACCATTCAGCTATTTCATTGTGGAGAATACTATTATCGACTTTGAACCTAAAGTGAAGCAAATACAAGTCCTTCCAGCACAATTCAGTTGTTTCATGACAAAAACATCTGTTCTTATTTTTCAATGGGTTAGTATTTAGGCTTGCATTTTTTACAACTCTCTTTGGCTACAGTAATCGGAAGAGATTTAGATAAAAGAAATGAAATGATGAGGAAAACAACACACTTATCGATCCCATTGAACAATGCCTCTAAAGTGTACTGGCCGTTGTCCGTATTGAGTCCGTGCTATGCAAAAAAATATGAATAATGAAGAATCTCATTAAACACAGCGGTAATCGACAGCATTCCGAGACATATTTTGACGAAACATTATCTACAACTTCAAGCTACAAACTTACCAAAGTCAAAAGCAAAGTAGGATTTTTTTCACAGAAGAACCTCTCGATCTAAAATCCAAACACATAAGAAATATGAGTGGACAGCGTCCTTTAAAAATCCCTTTAACGGAGGTTTTAAAATTACCCATATCATTAATTTAGGTCGGCTAGGGAATACATTGCTGCCCTTAGTATCAAAGTGTATTCGGTTTACAATATGTTCGCAATTCAGCCAGTGCAACAGTTCAAAAACTCGTGACCTAAGCACTTACTTCATGTGTATAATGCGCCTCATCTACACCATATCTCACAACTATATCACTCAATGACGGAAGCTCCCCCATGTAGATGGCGCTAGATTCCGAAATTTTTGAAACAAACAAGATGGCACGTTGAGTGGCAACTTCAATGGCTCCGTAACAATCTGGTTCTAGGACTCCAAAAGTCCAGTGGAAATAAGATTCCTGCAAGACGGAGTAAAGCGATGATAATAGAAACCTAAGAGAGACCAGCGATTTTTGAGACACAAAGATACCTGGCGGAAAACAGTCTCTACATCTGAGCCACCATGAAGAACATCGGACCCGCCTTGTAGGAGAACATACACGCCGTCCAATTCCGACAATGGAGCAGCACCAGATGACCACAGAGATCGAAGTCGTTCGCATAGCCTTGAACGATTCACTTTGTGGAGCTCCATCGGAACCGCTGGACCGAATTCACCAAGTTTGAACACTGGATCCATTTTGGGTGGATTACGTACAGAAATATACCTACAAGTTGCGTGCGCCCATCAAAATCCAGTCATTTAAAGCAGTTAAAAAGGAAGCTCAGAAGTAAAATAATTTACTCTTGGCAATAAATTTACAAATATAAAACTGCAAGATGTTCCATGCTAAACATGAGTGCAGTGAGAGTTGGTAGCGGGCTTTCTTTCTTCACGAAAAAGCGAAGTAAGTAGTGCGTTGTCGAATTCCAAACTCCGACAATAAATATCGTGGAGAAGACTGGAAGACTTTATTCGAAATACGCAGTACCTCACTTCAAGCGTTATTAAGCCCAACTGTTTCAAGTCACCGAGCGTTAAAAGAGATAGACAGTCATCTATGAGGAGAGAAACGATTTAAGCGAAAAAATACCAGTAACCGCGTTTTGCTGAAGGATCTGCGCAAAGTTGCAGTTCAACTGCGGAAACATGTTCTCATCTGTGAATAACTGCGTTACTGACCCCAAGCCCTTACCGCCTTCATAACTCAAATTGAGAGGATGCTGATCTAAACTAGACTCAGTTAACTATAAGCAAAGCATAGGTCAAATGATATTAATAAGCATATCGGTGCACAAAAAAGTTTCTTAATTGGTATGCGATTTGCATCTTAGCTCAGTCAGAAGTTGATGTCAACTATCGAAGTTAACTAACAATCTCTGGTTGCATTTGGCTTACCGATTCATGGCTTTCATTTCCTTCTCTAGGCTGGCTTTGCTACTTTGTCAATACATTTTACAATGGTCCGAAAAGGCTCGCGTTAGTGTACAACAACATTAGTACGTAACACATTCTATCTACTCGAAATTATCGAAGGGTCACTTATTAAGGATACCAAACCTGGGCGCCAAGAGATACATACACAAAAGTGAAAATTACACTGATTATGGGTGATGGTATGGTGGATTTCGTATACTACACATGTAGCACAGAATGACAAGCGAATTACATACCTTTCTTGAGGAAATCCATCTCTTTGATTTCGCAGTAAATGCTCGGATTTATTGTAGATGTGCTTATTTAAAGGTTAATGCATCTGCACCTAGTTCACTGGCTCGTTGTGTTTTAGTGCTCCGATTCCCTAGAATGCTACCAAGCTTGTTGATGGCCGTCGGTTCTCCCCGTGTATGTTTGTGACGGTGGTGGCTTTATTTTTACATGTTTTCCCGCTGGTTTTCGAATTTCAAATAAGAACGCGTCTGCCATTCTAGTATCCTCAAGTGACCCCTATTCGCCTTGCAATTTTTTTGTTTTGGAGTGCCACCCTAGGGTTTCGTAATATTTATTTGTAGTAGGTGGGGCTGTGTGCAAAGCCACTATTCGTGCCAAATTTGCTGTTTTTGTGCTAAATATGTTTGAGGTTTTTATCTCTCATAAAAGGTGATTGCACTAATCTAGCGATCGTTGCAATTCTTGAGTTTTAATCTGCCCTTCATTCCCATTTATTCGATTTACCTTGGGTCCTGTCTCAGTTCTCTTAAGGTCAATAAAATTCCTTAACATTCTTTTGCTATTAGGAAGTTTTTCTGGTAGTTGGGCGTGTAAGTGCGTTCCACATACGACTTTGTGGGCTGAATGGCGAACAACTTACTTATCCATGGGATGAGATAAAGGCGAATTCGAGGAGTTTGTCAGCAATGATGATTGTTGCTTGTTGACAAAGTCCAATGCGAAAAAGCCATTACTCTGATGGAATACGCCTGGCTTATTCCGCTTATTTTCTATGCTCCTTTTCTCAACTGTGCTTATTTTGACCTTTTAGGTGTGTTACTCGAATTCGGTGAGTCCGTTGATTAGAAGTAAAAGGTCTGACCGAGGGAGATTCGAGGCGACTTTTCTTTGTCAACTCAACTCCTTTTGTGCCTGAATTCAGCCTAAGCTGAGGATTTATTGGTCTACTCTTCAATTATTCCGTTAGATTTAAGATGAACCCCTCGAATGTGGTTACGAGTTGGGTGGATCTTGGACCGTGTCCTTTCTTTCCCCCCAACACGGTGAATACTTCATGCCTTCATCCAGGCGCACACTTTACTGGTTCCCAAATATCACGGTGCAAAAAGCATGCCGTTGATGTCAATTTTCTGGTAGGCATTTCTGTCATTTGATTGATTGGTTGCAGACAGTGGATTTGGCGGGAAAAACCCTTTGTGGTTTTCTAAAGGTTGACAAAACTAGCAATGATTCAGAGACCTTTGAAAATGGTGGGGATGGGAAAGCGGTTACGTCATTTTTTAATGGAGAAATTATAAGTCGACAGTTCCCGTTTATTACAGGGAAATGGGGCGCCTCGGTTGAAGCAGATACGAACCACTGGGTAAGGGTGTTTTCTTTTTACCCTGTATTCTTCTTCGGAAGACTGAGCTCAATGTGATGGCGCGTTTTCCCAACTACTACAGAGACAATTTTGACTACTCCCAATTGGAGAACTTTGATCACGTGTATATGCGATGGAAGGAGAAGTTTGTTTTGCCAGATGCAAACAAGACCTCTGATAAAAAGCCGCCCACCGGCTTTTACTATATATGTTTACAAAAGTCAACGGGAGAACTAACTGGCTACTTTTACAATAAGACCGAGAGGCTAGTCTATTCCATTTGTCTCATGCCCTGTTTTTAGGTTGCAACTCCTGGAGTTGAGGTACGATCCTCAGATAACTTCGACCGCCTTCCAGATACGCTAGATTCATCAATGCTTGATCTTCACAGGATGCTTATTTTCGTGCCTTATTTCCTTTCTTATTCATTTTGATAATAAAATTTTGGCATCTCTCATACCTCTCCCTCAGGACGCATTCGATCATGTCCTCTTTCGGAACGTGGGATTGGCTGGACCACACCTACGTCTTGCGTTCTGGCTGCTCTGCTGAAACAGCGCGTCGGCTCATGCTGGCTATGGGCTTAAGTGTTCCGAACGCATGTAGTAATCCATGCTTGAACCACTAACCGAATACAGTGCCCAGCTTTGTCGTGTTCCAAGTGGTTGGATGGGGCGACATGCCGCCAGTGAAATGTATGGAGCACACCTCTGTGCAAAAGGGTTGCGCTTATCAGTTTGGCCAGAATATGTGGCGGGGCGCGGGATTTTATGGGGTGTTTGATTGTGAGTGAGGGAAGTGCAGTGTATATTACTGGTTCTTAGTGCTACAATCATGGCCGTGTAGTGAGGCTTGGGATTTCTGCTCAGACGGAATTTGGACGAAGGAGATCTGCCATCGCAAAGCATACAACTAGTCAGTTTGTTAAAAACTTAACAGATAAATACTAACAGCTCGGCACCTCTTTATTGTCACAGACACCTCTTGATGCTAAATAGTAACTACTTGATGTCACAGAGGAGAGCGACGGACCTTTTGATCCAATGGTCTGGATTCTTTGAACAGCTCAGATCCAGCGATGTAACGTATGTGAGGTCGGTTCGTTTGGGTTTGCGATAAATAGGACAGGCATAAGGCGGCCGTCCCACCACAGTCTTCTTACCCTCCTGTACTGCGAACAGATGAATTACGGGCATGGGTTCGTAGAGGATCTTCGGACGAGCCTCGATCAACCGTCCAGACCTACGCTCCCAGGCGGCACCCTCGATGAAGAGGCCGTAAACAAAAACACCTTCAGGCGGTGGCTCTCGTACCTCGTCTACGCTGAGTTTGGTCACGTGGCTTGAAAGCACTGCAGAGTCCAGCGACCAACCCTCATGAGAACGACTTATCTCCTGGCGCATTGCAGTAAGGAAGCCCTGGGGATTGAAAAAACCTGTCATCCAGAAGTAGAGCGGACGGCCTTTCTCCAACCATGTTGAAAATTGGGTGTTCCGTTCCAAAAGCTCAGAGAACCAGAATCCGAGAGTTGAAGAATCCCAGGATGACTATTTTTGGGAAAAAATACCCGAGAAGCCACAATTTAAACAAGTTCAATTGGATTATGGCGTTTGTTTATGTACCTTTATCCAATATGCAGGAACTTGGGCATCATAGATGCAATCCAAAGCGTCTCGGAGATCCTCGTTCATCACAACAGTTCCATCAATAGCTAGCCGAAGATCTGTCAGGGTGGTGAGAACCAGTTTAATTACTTTATCCATTCTCTGAACCTCTTGGCGAAGGAAAATGTTTAAAGGTTTCAAGGCACCAAGAGCTTTCAATTGCTCAGCTACTTGGAAGGGTACATATGGCGGTGGAAGCTTCTTCAGGAGCTCAGTACAGATCCGGTGAACAATGGTTTCACGAGTCTCTACAGCCGGTTTATGAGTTCCACCAGTATCGCTATCATCCTCATCCTTTCCATCCCCTGAATCGCCGGAGTCATCTTTCGGTTGAATGGAGACAATGGTCGCCAAAATTCGACGCGTAGTTTGTGTCGAGTAGTTAATGTCAGCATTGGTGTGGAGACCGAACGCCTCGGGACTGTCCCTTGGAGGCAGGTCATTTTTTATGTAGTTGAGGTAATCAGTTACTGTTCCGAAGAGAGGAATGGGGTAATGTTCAACCATGGTATATTCCGGCAAAAACATCGCTTCTTGGAAGTTGTTACGAGTCAAACACTTAAGCAGTCGAAGATCAAAATCGTCGGTCACCCTTCCACCGTACTGTATCTCCGAAATCATGTAGCAGGTACATTTCCAATCGATTCCCTAAAAGACAGTGATTTAAAAACCTCATTGAAATCGTGCATGTCAGTTGCATCTGAATTGCAGTAATTGTGAGCAACAATCACTTTGTGACACTTAAAATGCCAAGGTTTGGTAATATTTGAACACCTCAGATAATAACAAAATCGGAGATGAACAGATTTGGTGCACATTTGCCGAGGACGTCGATAACATAAAAAAGTTCCCATTTTATGGTTCAAGAAGTCGTTCCACAGGACTGGAGTTTTTATAAACTCAATTGGCGATCCTCCATAGTCCTCCACACTGACCAACATATTGTGGGAACATACTCGAGATGTGCCAATAATTTTGACAAAGGTCAGGATGTCTGACTCCTTGTCCGACCTCGCCTTATCAACGCTGAAGACTTCGTTGCTGCAGCCCTATTTCCTAATTACTGCAATTTGGATCTACTCAAATACTTGAAGAATACAAAAATGACTGACGATATTGATATGCTTTGAGGGACGGTAAAAGAATACAACTTACGCTAATCTTCTGACCCTTCTTGAACTGCAAAGTGTCAAGATGATTTTGTAGAAACTGTACACTGGCATTGAAGTCAGATTGATTAAATTCGTAGGGGATGCACCAACCCAGAGGTCCATATTTGCGCCTCTCCTGAACCGTGCAGTGAAGGTAAGCCAAAGAGTACAGAATAATGCGCCAATGATTGGTGACACAAATCTCCAAAAAGTCCTGCGTGATACCAAGATAGGTGCGTGTAAGGTTCGCCTTGATGCCCTCTGGTGGTTCATTAGTGAACTTGATGGCAATCTGAAGGAGATTGATTGGGAATTTCTTGTGCTCCTCAGTAGTGATCCAGAGCCGAAACTGATCATGGACAAACCCTGATTTGGAAGGTGCTGACACAAAGGAATCCGGTGCACTGGGTCCGCTCCCACCGCCACCTCCTTCGTTCCCGCCTCCACCACCACCTGCCTCTCCTTGAACTCCAATGTCACCACCACCGGCTCCATCAGTTCCCTCTTTAGCCTTGCCTTTGGGATTGACATCACCCATACTGGTGAGCATCTCAAACAATTCCTGTACATATTCAATACAAAGATGACAATTCTGCAATAGCACCCAGGTGCCCTCAGTAACTGCTGTTTTTAGTAGCCGACGCGCATGAACCTCTTGTCCCTGGCCCATTGAAACCACTCCTAGGTTGATCCGAAGCTTACGAGCCGCGTGTTCAATAAAGGGAGTTGGATCAGCACCCATGCTAAGGAGACCGCATAGAGGCGTTCTTGCATCCGCTTCATTTGAAAGGCTGGCAAAAGAGCAAAATATCTTGAACATTTGTGGCGAATGAATTATAACCGTTACGAAAAACTAAATGCCTCACTCTATGATATTGACAGGGACATCCTCAATGTAGCTCTGGCCGAGAGAATGAACGATGTACTTCTTGGCCTGTTGAAGAGCTCTATCTGGACACCAAGAACGTATGAGCAGAAGGCGACGAAAGACGTCGAGTGTGTGCTCGTAGCCGCAAGGGATGGTCTCTTCTTCCGGAGCCTCCTTATCGAACCACTGGCGCCATTGCTTCTCTGTACTGGTTACCTGCTGAACGATATTACTGAATTCGGTAAGCTTTGAAAGGGCCACCAGATTCAACCATGTCAGATCAGTTATCCACTTTCCTGGCTTGGGCGGACACGTCTTGAGATCTAACGCAGATCCTCCCTGAAACAAATTCACGCGTAATGGCAACTACTCACAGGCTTTAGGTCCACTTTTAAATAATAACAACCCTTAAAAGCAGAAGTTGTGAGTACGGTGCTTTGAATAATCGCTTCGAATTCAACTATATTACCTGTATAAAGACCATAAATTCTTCGTGTCGAACGGCCTTTCTTTGGAGATCAATACGAAGCGCCAACATGAGTGTGGTCATCGTCTTGTCCAGCTTAAACATGCCCCGAACCGCAAAGGACCACACACTGTAGGTCATATATTCAATTATATTTATGATTCGTCGAGCAGTGACAACACACTTTTCAGAGAGCTCCATCGATTCATCAAAGAGCTTGAGGAATCGACCCAGACCTGTCTGATACATGGGATTCACCGCAGAGACTTCGCTAAGCAGGAAGTAGAGGAGAGAGCCTCGGGCAGCTACTGGACGGTATTCCTCTCTTGCAGCAGTTATCTCGGTCTCCGTTTCTTGTGCCAATGCAATCTGCTCCGAGACCTCGATAGAGGTCGACTTGGTGGTCTGAAGCACGTCCACAAGACCCTGGTCGTCTACTAGAGAGCCCTTAGTGCTTGCTAATCGCATCAATAAGTTGTCCTCCAAATCGAGAATGCGTCTCTTGTTTGCTGTCATCTGAGCGACCAGATTTATTCTCATCTGTTCAAGTTCCTGGGATCGAAAAAAAGTAAAGAGAATAAATAGCAGGAAATGTTAAAAAAGGGAATGAAAACGAAACGCGGGAAGAGTAACGTCCTCCCTTTTACCTCTTTTTCGGTTTGAATGACGCGAGCTAGTAGCTGGTCTTCAAGACCTTTGCTTGTGACTGTGAAGTCGATTAACGATGTTCGAGCAAATATCTCGGGGCTGTAGGCTGGATTAGGTAGCTTTGTGGTAATGTAAAGCGTGAAACCCGGGCTCATCTCCACCTCCTTGTCTCCGACCTTGACCTTCCATCCAGTGCCGGATTTAAGGAAATTCTTATCAAAGATGTTATCAAGAACGGGATCCAAATCCACACCGATATTCTCAATAAGAAGTGGACGTCCTTGTGATAAAGAGTCCTCCAAATGCGTTCTGAAGTACCGATGTTCAAGAGTAGTTACCTAAATTTAAAAAAAATTTAGAAAATGCATACTTCTATGAGATACTCAGCAGATACAGTGTAATACGATTTCAACGTACCAACATGTTGTGAGCAGCCTCGTGCCTTATGATCCAGTTCTTACCCTGACTCTGTGGATCAATTAATAGGGGATACCTTGTAGCCTGCGTGACGATGATCGCATTTTGAACTGATAAATCATCACTGGGAAGGCCCTCCAAGTTCCATTCGGCGATCTAAAATAAGCGACCAATTCTCAATACCGCTACTCAAAGTTGAGCTTTTCATTATGCAGCAATAGTAAATGCAGTCTAGCATGACAAGATAGCAGGCTTATTTGGGTTGAAATTTTGGTGCCCTTTTGGCGTGGAGATTCTTACCGTTGGACCTTCAGTTAGCATGTTGATGAGATCAAGATTGTGAGTATGAGGAATCTTCATTTTCAAGAGACTCTTCACCCAAGAGTTAATAATTCGATTCCTGAAGTCCTGGTTAAAACACCCACAGTACGATAGAAAGGCAGTGGCCATGAGAACATCTCCTACGAGCCGAATGACCTGATCTCCAAGAGTGCGAGTCTCCTCTGTCCAACGTACCTTCTCGCCTGAGAGTCCGTCGATTAGGGTAGTGGCCGTAGCTATGCGTTTCTGACAAGACTCAGCGTCCTCTGCCAGTTCTTTCTTTCTCAACATCGCCTTCTCAAATAGAGCACGCACAACTGCTAGCTGTCTCTCCTTCTCCTCCAAAACCGCTTCCGCCTTGGCTAAATCAGTCTTGGCAGCATTTAATTTGATTTCTTGTTTGGCCAGATTGTCTTTCAAGGGGATGACTTCCCGATTGATCCAATAAAACTTCTCCATAGCTGTTGTCCAAGAACACAGACCTGCTACGTTTCCGCATACCTTTTTTGCGGTTTCTAGATTGTAATCTTCTGCCATAAAATATGGTTCCATCAAATCAACCGTCTCTTCTGTTATATAGTCTCGGGGGAAATTCAGAAGGCTCTGGAGGAAGTTGGTATTCGCCATAAGTTTGAGCGAATCATTCCAAGAGGGCTTCATGCAACCATGGCGATCGGGATCCTCTTGAAACGGAAGGAGAGGACGTTGGAATAGGAGCAGTACACAGTCCATAATGCGCATGATAAGATGAGGCGGCTTGGCTAATTTCCTTACAGTAGCAATGTCGCCAGGCTTTATGGTATTAAGCGCCGCCTCAGCCTCTTCTAAAGCCGGTTTAGCATCTGCCAACTTCTCCTCCGCTATTAACTTTTCCGCTGCAATGCTACTAACAATTGTTTCACATTTATTCTTTACAACCAGCACTTTATTCTTCACTTGTTCAGCAGCTTGAGTCTGCTGCATCACATCCGCTAGAACAACTTCTGCTTCAGCGTTAGCTATCTGAAGTTCTTTCTTCTTTTCAACCAATTCAACACTCAACTTGGCAATCGACTCTTGGGCTTCATCAAGTTTTTGCAGACCAGATGATAGCCTGTTAATAAGAGACTGTATACTGGAGAGTTGTTGATCATATACCTTGCTGTAACCACTGAGAAAAGATATGTACGACTTGGGTGTCACATGAGCAGTGCGGCGATAGCGTTCAAAGTACTGCTCACACTTGACAGCGACGCCGTCGTGAACAGAAGCGACCAAATCAATGACATTCTCCTTTACCGAAGGCGAGCTTTCAATATTAAAACTGCCTAGGTACTGTTGTGCTACTGCCAAAAGAGCGTCTTTTGGCCACTTATGGAACCAGTCGATAGTGCAGCCTGAGATGAGACCAGGGAAGTATAGAGCCCAGGTGCGGAACCGTTTACCAATGGGCGAAAAGCAAAGACAGATGTGGAGATTCTTACGAATACGTTGGAAAAAGTAATCATTGAGAGTTTCGATATCCGGTGGACGACGAGGAAACTCCTTCTTCATAATGGGAATAAGAGCATTCAAGATGTCGTCAATATCATCTCGGCTGAAGAGACCTGAAACCTAATTAGGGGACATAGTTTAGGCGTTTGGAGGGTGGTATTGGCAGTGCCGATCTGACAGCGTTTGTGGAAAACTCACTGTCCCAGAAGTAAGCATATTGTTCATATACTCAAGAAAGGCCTCATCCTTTACGTCAGAATCCGTGAAAATAAAGGTTACCCCTTTTCCCTCCTGACCAGCTTTGCGATAAAGAGATCTCAAATCATCCAAGAAATCATTCACGTTGTAAGATCTACCAAAGGCAATGTGCAAAGGATGTAACCAAGTCTTCGGTAAGGTGAATCCAGCTTGAACATTTGCACTGCATAATTAGGGAAAGTACCTTGTAAGGACAATATTAAAGTCGACATATTCGGCGATGTAGGTTGCAAGACGCGTAACGGATCGTTTACCAGAGCCGCCAACTCCTACTAGGAGACAGTTTCCACGAGGTGTTCGGATGATTCTCGACACCTTCACCAGATGAATCACCGCATCTCTAAAGAAAACAATGTCCAACGGCGCTCCACGAACTGATTCATTGCGCTCCCTCAGGAAGTTGTTGAGGCGGTCCACCAGAACTCTTAGGTCAAATACCTAAAGAAAATGTGGGCAAGTATGTGAGAAAGTGCCTGACAGAATAAACTCTGTCTACTTAAGACCTGTGCAGTCCTTTTTAAAACGGCTGATTGTAGGCGTGAAGGAAATGATAAGCTACCTTACAGTCGATGACGAGTCAAGCCATTCAAAACTCTGAGGATCGAGTGACTCACGGGTTCATATATTTTCGGAGCAGAGAAATCGAAATCCTCACCCTCTTCACCTGTCGCCTCTGGTGGATCTCTACAAATTTTGATAAATATAGTGGGCACGAGACTGTGTGTTTAGCTCATGTAGGTCCATCTCCACAACTTGTGCAAAAATTCGTAATTTCTGGAGAAAACTTGTTACCCAACGGTGTTAGCCCCAGCTGATCATGTCTTTGTTTTAAGACATACCAAACATTCGTACTAATCAATCTTTAAGTATAATAAGTCGGGAGAATTGATGAGGGTGGGCCTCATTATCCGCGACAAAATAGGCATGAAAACTCTCAAGTGAATGCAATTCGATGAAATTGTTGATTATAAAGGAAAACCCTAGTTACTTCAATGCAAAACATTTAGTTTCACATAAAGTTGGTGAAAAGTTATCCTTAAAAATATATACCGCATTTTTTAATTAAAAAATGAGGATGTGAAGCGGAATGTGAAAATAAAGTACTTTTATAATAGCCCTTTCCTATCAATGAGGCAAGATATAAAAGCAAGATTACTGAATAACAGTTTGACAATTGCAATGGAAAAAAGATTGCTTTTTGCATAATCACTTGGCATGACTAGTGCAAAATCGCCCATATCCAAAACGCCACCAGTTGCTATGGCGTTTGTGGTGGTAGGAGAGTCAGTGTCCAAATACCTCAGTCAGACCCACACCTCAGACTGGACTGTGCTACCTTCAAACGGCAATGATGGTTTACAATAACTGCCTTTTTGACAATTGCCCTTCAATGCACACCTCATAAAGTCAACAAAGAAGACTTCATCTTGAGCATAAGCGACAACATCTTCGCTCATCATATCCTCCAGAGTACGGTTGAAGTTTTTGTCAAACCAAGCCAGATCCGTCGGATCAATGAAACGATCCGCGATGACTCGTGTCACCTCGTGCTTGCACAGTTTGATTAGCAAGTCTGGTGTTGTGAATACCTAAAAAAGTTGGTTACGTTTCCAAAGAGGTGAAAGAATGAACGAGTACTCATGAAAGTGTGAAAAGGCAAATAAACCAGTTGACGAATAGGCAAACTAAGTAAGTGTTTTTTGATTCCCTAGCCACATTCCAGAGTTGTGTGATAGCTAAAAAGCTCACAATAAAACTAGACACTCACTTCGCTGGTACCATAGATAATGCCTTGCCATATTCGACTGAGATCACGCAGGTTAAAAATGTAATGAAATTTAGCTGGTGTAGGAAGCATCTTGATTTTGGTTTGTTGCCAAACCCGCCGCACAAATGGGACCAGATCCCGCACCATATTTATCACTTCCTCAGTAAATCCACGCGCCCGACAGTAGTGACCCAAACCAATCGTGCTGAATATCTTGTCAATGGAGTTGTTACTTGGAAGGGTGCAATTGAAACAGGCGAACTGTCGCTTCAGACGTTCTGGTATGTCATTACGACCACCACCAGGGTGAATCATAGCTGCCAGAAACTAAAGGAAGCAACAGATAACAATTTGGAACAAGAAACCACGACAATAATGCTTCACAAATTCGCCTACTTGAACGTCAACAATGTTGGTGAATTCACCAGGTTTGTCTAGGCTGTAGAAACCTCTCATTTCCATAGTTTGGCGAACAATCTCATTCGCCACCTGATCACCCCATTCGTTGATCATTGGCATGCTGATGTCATCTACAAAGACAATCATCTTCTTCCCTGCTGGTGGACCAAACGTTGTACCCACGCGCTTCTCAACAAAACTTTCCATTGTTCTCTGAGGTAAGTAGGGTTGGTGATAGTTAAGTGTACCCGAATAAATACAATCATGGATTTTGTAAATAATGAACCTGAAAAAGTCCCGGCGTTGTAGCTGACGAGAAGTTCAAGGATTTAAAAGTATATGCGTCGTTTGGAAAACTAGTCATGTAGTTTGAAAGCATGACCGTTTTCGCCGTCCCCTGCTCACCAGTTAAGAGAACAGCCTTCTCCTGTTTGCCTACAAGTCGAATAAGGTAATCCGTTCGGATGTTGTCGACGTTTGGTACCAAAATACTAGAGAATTCAGGATCCTTGTCAGTCGGGTAGATGTATTCATCAATACGAGTTGACCAATGAACCCATTCACCTTTTAAACAAATCATTTGACTGAGTTGACAAGTCTTCAAAGCTTAGTGCGATGTAAAGTGAATAAGACCAACATACCATTGGGACCAACAAAGTACTCAAAAATGGTCTCGGATTTCGAGTCATCAACAGACGGAAGATCAAGTTTGACACTGAGTTCTGTTCTCCAGAACTTCTCCAAACGGCTTCGATCGTCCAATTCCAGCAAAGCTCCAATAGACCACATAAGTGCGAAAATATAGATGCGCTCCAAGTATTTATCTGTGTTGTTTTGCTATAGGGATAAAAAACACTCGTCAATCTCCGGACACATTTAGCAAACAGGTTGACCATGTATTCAACGCGCCTGGTTCTCAAGAACAAGCAATCCATCCAGCAATGTACAGAGTTGATGCACGAAGAAGGCTTCCAGGTACGGCATTTTTATGGAAAGGGTCTGAGAGACAAATCTATAACTATGTGCGAAGGAATTTCGAAAGAGTTCGTGGAACTTCCTCCTTTCGTGGTCTGGCCTATAATCTAGTCGAGCCTGAAGAAACAAAGATCAACGATTGAAAAACAGGGCAATGCATAGGAGGTAGTAGGGTTGACTCAATGAGGCTGTTTTACCTTAGATATTGGATCCCAATCCAACACAGAACTCGACATGAAAACCATGCCATTGCGAGAAACAGTGGCAGGAGAGGCATTATCAATATTATGCACCTCGAAGAGAATTTTGGTGTTAGGAGCCATAGGAATACGGTCGCCATTGGCCAGAGTCAAAGTCTTGTTGTCATCTAATACGGAATTGAGATTTTCGATCCAAATGGCGTCTACTGGTCCGTCTAAGATAAGCCAAATGTGTTCAGTGGGCTTCTTCTTCAGCGTCCGACGCCACAGAGTTGAGAAGATGCCGTCAGTCCAGTCATTTGTAGAGACGTCCAATCGACCAAACATTTCGGGAGCGGTGATGGCCTTGGGATTCATGCGCATCTCTCGATGCGGTTCCCAGAACTCCGTCATGGCCGCCATCAGAGTTCTAATGCAGGCCGTCTTACCAGCTCCCGAGGGTCCCAGCGCCATCATTCCATGACGTACATTCTGCGTCTCATAGAGCTGAAATTCAATCATTACCAAAAGCCTAGGTAGACATTTACGCTGCATATATCAAAGACGGAACCGTAGGACTCGGAATGGCAAGTTATACGCTGCACAGTCCCTTGCTTCATGACATTTTATTGCATTTACTGTTCCGAATGTGTTTTGCAAGTCTCAGCTGGCTACATTACATAAACACGGCAAATTATTTGAGACTTGCTAGGCACACGAATTCAGCCGAAATTCACAAAAGTCAGAGGATGCAAAACTTTGTAGGAACCGCCTTGAGTGTGAGCACAGCTCATGGAATCTGAGACAAGGGCGTCTTACTGCCTCTTGGTGTAGACAATGCGTTCCAGTATGAAGACGACTCAGTAAGGAAAGAGATCCCATTTAAATCCTTCCCATGAGTGTGCGAATTTGCGGTGATTCCTCACAAAAGTATCAAAGTGACTCTTCTAAATCCCATCTAGTATGCCCAGCAAAGTGACCAATTAGTGTTAGAAAATTTGACAACTTAAAACCTTTATTCCGAAAGCATCCAAGTGACCTACGCGAAGATACATGCAGTTCACTAATGAAAGTTACAGCAGCCACGTTTTCAGGTTCATGACAGAAAACCGCAATTGACTTTTCTTTTACTTCTCCGAAGAGTCTAATGATTATTATTCTTAGTTCGATGGAGGCTTTTGATTCACAAATTACTAAAGGAAAAATACTGAACTAAAGGATACCTTGGTAATGTTTTATTGCGCCTTCACCTACAAGGTGTAATTAGTTTTTATGATTAGTACGTCTTTATTAGACCCAATCTTCAAAATGCGCGCATACATTCGCAACCCATATTTGATAATAGATTTTCTTCAACTCTGGATCGGCCTCTACGTCTGTTTGTTAAAACCTCGAGTAGCAATACAGAGAAATTGAGCTCAATATCAGGTGCGTTTGTTCCGGTCACTTCGCTCATATCTGTGTTCGCATGCCATTGAGTTACAAAATTAAGAGGATTTATGAAAAGGCGTCGTTACGAGTGGGTCGCCAATTAGCGCGTCTTAGCCCACCATCTTAGCCAACAATAAGTCGACTAAAAGGGTTCAGCCGAAAAGAAATGACAACTGAGAGCACAGGGTTACCTGAACAACTTTAAGGTTCCAGGCAGGATGGTTAACGAGTTTAAACTGCGAGGTTGCATTTTCAATGGCTCTTTGGAGCTCAGGATAAGTGGCTTTCTCAAGTACAGTCCCAGGGAAGAGATCATCGATGAGGGAGCTGAAGAGCGGTTCGTCCTGGTCCACCAACTTTGAGAGATTCATGTCGCGCAGTCCACGCATCACCGTGCGATCCTCACTATCTGTCGGGTTCTTGCGACGTGCTGCGCCCAAAGTACGCAACACCGAGAGGATGTTCCGCAAGCCAAAGTCGTAGTGAACCTTGAAGCAACCACACATTTAGTGGAACTAAGCTAGTGTTGCAATAGGAAAACAGCCGGAAAGTACGAGCATCAATAAAAAGCCTTTTATACCCACAGCAGTAAAAAACCTCTCGGCAGTAATCACATTACATCCTAATTTCAAAGTATGACTGGAGCCTTTCAGAGGATTAATAAACGACTTGTGAGGTTCGAAATTCTCCACTCTTATTCAAGGATTAAGATGGAGTGATGGGATTGCATAGGATTGAATTGATTGATAAATTAATCAAGTTACTTAAAAGAATTCCAGCTCAGTCTTAAAAAGAATCCCGAAGCAATGTGTATTAAGAGACGCCAACATAGCAATTTCATCGAAAGCCCACTGACCTGCTTTGTAAGTTGCTCCTCACAGAGTTTGTAAAGCACAAAAAATTTTCGCGATAGAATAATGTTATCCACAAAGCCACAGGCAGCTAGCTTCACACGAATAATGATTTGGCGATCTGGCACCATCATAGCCACACTACGAAAGTTAATTTTCAGGTTTTCTGGAAGTTCTTGACGCCCAGCATAACCCGGATTCTTTCAGGGGTAAATATACATTGTATTAAATAATGGAGATTTCGGAGGAGGGTACACAAGAAAAGCGCACACCATAGTCAAGAAGATGCCAAACTCAGGGTCCAGGGAAACTTCGTCGCCATCTGTGAAAACGAAGCTGGTCATACCATCTCGCTTAGCACTGAGGACAATGGCAATCTGCTGTGCAGCAACTGACAATACAGGCAGCTCAATTCGATTGAACTCGTCAAAGCAGCCCCATGAACCAGATTGCGCCAAACCCTTGTAAATACGACCCAGACCACGAAAGTCCATTTGATCAGAACAGTTGAAGACAACCACATACTTGCCCAGACATCGTCCCATATCCTTCAGTAAAGTGGACAAAAGAAATTAATGCGTCCGCATTCATGGAAGAGATCATTACTGAGGATGAAGGAGAGGGAGGACACCTCACCTTGGTTGTCTCCGTCTTACCCGTACCAGCAGGACCTGCAGGCGCACCACCGAGATGCATGTTGAGGGCCTGACTGAGGGTAATGTAGCACCGATCCGTGAGTGGAGTGATAACCAACCGCTCGGTGCAACCGAGGAACTCGTTTTGGTAAGCAAAGTTGACGTCAGTAATCGATACAACACAGGCATCTACTTCTTCGTTGAAGTAAGTACGAGTCTGCTTGGTCCATTCAAAATCGTCGGGTGATTTAATACCCTGTTTGACCTGAATTTGTGCACTCTCATTAATAATTGGCTAAGATGTTTACAACAATTCAATGATGCAAGCGAACTTGAAATGTCTGGTAAGTGTGCGATATCAACAAGACACCTCATGTTAAAACAAAGAAGCGTTGCCGACCTCAAGCAGCCTCATGATCGATGCCTCACCGACTGATACTCACTAGTACACTGAAAGTAAGTTCATGTATTCAGCAAATGAATTAATGAATGAGTCTAAAAGTCTCTTGAATGAGATTTGTATGGTATGGTATGGTGCTTCAATTGAAATGGTGCAACTTAACTTACATCTCAAATGCTCAAAATTATTGCAATTAGTTGAGGCTGAATAAATGTGATGTAGATCCGTCCAAACTTGCCAAGTCTTCGAAGATATCTCTCTGATGGACCATGATAGTGATGAGGGTCTCAAACTTAGTTCGCTGGAGAGAATTTAAGTCCTTTGTAGTTTCGTTTATAAGGAGATTTAGAAGGTCTAAGAAGTGCTTGTTTGTTTTGACCATGGCTTTCGGTTCCAACTTGGCCTCCTTGAGCGCTTCGGTGGCATCCATGGTCCAAATAATCTGCAAACCTATTATGCCAATTTGTGCCAGCTGAGCGGTGAAGAACTCAATGAGTTCACAGGCAGGATCTGTGATCAAAAAACTGGCCTTTTGGATGCTGAGGTGGAGCGAGAGGCGACTGGTAATAAGGAGAGTATTCAACCAACTCTCCACCTGGCCCTCGCACTTGACCGGGACGAACATCTACAACACAGGAAGGATGTCTGTAGTCAAGAAAACACTTAAAAGTGCAAAAAATATGGAGACTGGCAAAACTGTCTTGGGGTAAGTAATATCTAGTGGAAATGGTTTGTGCTAACTTCCTAAAACACTACAGCGTTACTTACATCCAGCCTTTCACCTTCACTCGAAAACGCTGCTAGAATATCAGGAGCCTTCTCTGAGAAGAGCACGCTCTTGGTATTGTCAAATATGGCCAGCAGATGAGGCTGGATGGCGGTGGGATCGGAAGCCTGACCCAGGATCTCCAGCAGCACTGGGTCGGAGACGAAAAAGAAGCGTGGAAACTTAAGGCGCTTCTTCTCCAAATAGCCGGAGAGTGACTTCTGGCAAACCTCCAGCTGATTTAATAGACGTGGTAGGATCTCCGTCAGTGAGCCATCGCCGGCACAGCAAGCGACAACATTAGGGTTGTCGCGAGCCCGATCCATCACCTTCACCCATGCCTTGTCAACAGTCTGAAAGCGCTTTGCCTCTTGTGGCAGCTGCTTCGCGATGTCACCACCAACAAACACCGCTTCTAGGTACACCCAAAGGTTCTGAACTCGCATCCAGTTCTCTAGTACCTCACTGGTAACGCTGAGCTTTTGCACCCACTCCTGGATAGGCTTCCTGAATGGCACATTATACCTAGGGGAAAATAAGACAGGCCCTTCAAAAACTCAAATACTTGAACTCTTCCTGTTAGTAATCATTGTAAATGTTTGATTTAAAAATTTTACATGCAGTCAATCAAATTATCTAAACGTAGTACCCGTAGTTCAATAGTCAAGAGAATAGGTTGTCTCGAATGCGCTTGTCGTTCCCGCTCGTATTGGAATGCTAGCAGGGAATTAATTTAACGAATCCTTAGAGTTTTTTTACCGAAATTTACAAATGACTTGCTGTGACTCCCAATGATGCAATCGCATGTGTTTATTCTTAGGAGATCCCGCTAATGGTAAGACTTGTTATCAGAGACTATCAGCAATTTGCCCTACAAGTCCTGATTAATAAGTGGGAGTGTTGACTATTGATGTCATCTGGCACATTATCACCCCTTTAGAAATTGTAGAGCAGTCACAAACCGGCTTAAATGCCATATGCTGCTATTATGACAGACTAATGCATTTGAGCTTTACCTAAATGAAGGATTAAGCAAACCTGTTACTCATTAGAGAGCCAAGAATCATGAGGGAATCTTCAAGCATGGGAATGATTTCAGATACTCGATCCCCCTTAAGAAGCAGTTCACCACGTGTCTTAAATGCCGCGAGCTTCAGCTCTTGGTGGGTCCAATCTCCGATAACACCGGAGAGTTTTGCTTCAATATCCTTTTCACGCACTGCGGAGATACAGATGTCTTCTACATCGTCCTTCGACTCTAGCAACGGAGCGTCTAACATAGTCTTCAACATAAAGCTCTCCGACTCCACATCAAAGTTGTAGTTAGTGAGAGCTGCCAGACGCTGCCAATGACGCGGCTTCATCGCCTTGTTGGTCATCATCTCTAGCAGTGGCACTTTCTCGTTGAAGTCATTTATAATCTTCTCCAAGTCTGTATAGGCTGGCCAATTTTTGAGAGCCTTCGGCAAACGCTTGCATCTGAAATTACATGAAACTTTGACTTTCTGATTAATTGCAGGCATAATTAAACACATGCTTCATCACTGACGTCTGCTTGTGTTTATGGCCAAGTTCAGGTAGCAAATACGCTGAAAGTCGTTAACTTCTTCTCAACAATCCACAACAAGGGGAGGATATTTGAGTCACCGTTTAACAGTTCTTCCGTCAAATTTATTACTACTACAGTTTCTTCGGTGGCTAAAACGCGGTCAGGACACCGGAAAAAAGGGATGGTAGAGAAGAGCCAAAGCAATGTGAACAATGGTCTGCTACATTTGAACTATCCCAGATTCAGGTAGTGCATGAATAAGGTTACAATGCCTGTGCACTTCATTTCTTAGTCTTAATATTTAAAGTCTACCGCAGCACTAGGAAGGTCCCACTTGCAGGGCACGGCTCTAGTTACAATGCAGCCAGCAAAGTCGAAGATCCGCCCATTGTATTGCCCTCATTGAAAAGGGTTGGACTAAGGGAAAGTGACTCACTTCTTTTGGAATTCTTCCAAATCGGCTGCGATTTTTTCCATATTCACATCACGCCAGATGATGTCGTAGTAGCCACTGACAGTTTTATTTACTTCATTATAGAGACCATAAAGCCGCTGCAGAAGGTCCAACTCCTTGCCAATTCCTCCCAAACGTGAGTAGTCGGTAATAGGCAGACCAAAGAGTTCCTCACCTTTGCGAGCCGTCAGCATCTTGCGTGTTAAGTTATCATAGCGATTTTTGAACTGAACCTGTCTGTCCAATGCAATTTGTGGTGGTAGACCTGACACCATGGGTCCTTTCTATGGACAAGAAGATGATCCCACTCGTGAAGTTAACTTTATTGAGTTGCACAGAATTCTGTGGGACTAATTTTTGGTAGTTCAAGGCAACGACGATGGTCGATGCAAATGGACTTTAGTGGGAACAAAGCCATAGAAATTAATAGCTGGTAGTAGTCATTCGACTTAGTCGCCAAATCAACGTCTATCAAAAGTACGTTTTACTGTAAAGGCGCGCAACATTCTACATCATGGCACTTGCAATAATTGAAATAAAATCACAAACCTCATCATAATCCGTTTCAAATTCTGAAACTAATTCTTTTAGAGCTGCAATGCCCTCAAGAAGACCGTCTCTATACCCAGCTTGGATACTAAGGATGTAGTCAAGCTTTTGCAGCGCCTTTTCTTTAATCCGAAAGTACGCATATCGACACGACTCCACACGGTCTGCGAGTTCTTTTGGGAAAGGCATGTTGTACTTAGAGATGAGGTTTGTTGCGTCCTAAGTTAAAGAAGGAAAGGTGGTGTCCTCTAATCAAGGGAAAAGGTAAGCACCAATCTATGTATGGAACACGTGGCTTACCTCACACTGCATGAGCGTCATGTCCTGCTTAATGTCCTTCTCTCGGATATCAGCTAGGATGTCCATGACGAAGGCAATGTCATCAAGATTTGCTACACCTTTTGCGAGATTTCGATCCCACTCCTCGATCTGGTTTTGAACTTCGTCCAGTGGGGAAATAAACTTACTGACGAAGGCTTGCACATAATTCTACAAATTTAACCGACCAAGTTGCATTTTTATTCGGTGGGCCGTGAAAAATAGGTTGTTATAAACGTCAAAGGGACAAGATATCGTAAGCCCTGAATAAGGGCAATCAACGATTCGCAATTCATAACTCTCAGAAGGCCTAAAAACATTTCTTCCATGAGGAGCTGTGTAGACATTTGCCTGAGGCTCTACGAGTTAAAAACTCGTAGATTTAACTCTTGATTAAGATACTTTGGCCAAAGTAATGAAGACAAAGCCAACAACGCATCAAGGGTAGTATGCGATCTAGAGGAGCAATACAGCTTGCCTTCTTTAACACATTGAGAATAATTCTTATTTTGCGCTTGAAGTCATCCAAGCAAACGTAGAGGGCACCGACAACATAGTGGTCGGGTTCCCGCTCCACCTGCTCTTCGTATTTTTGTAAATCTGAGAATTTCATCTGAAATTCGTGCATGCCAGGTTCTGCCCCAAGAAAGGCCTCCAACTCAGCGTCAACGTCACACTTGTAGATATGACTAAATTGTTCCAAGTAGGAGGTGAGAGACTCGGCCTCGTAGATAATTCCTAAATAGCAGTGAAAATATTTGTACTCCAAAAACCGGCTTGTATGACGACAACATGGCGTAGTTCTATCGGTGGCATCCAGCCAGCAATCGATCATGAGCTGTTTACGGCGAAGGAAATCATGGAAAAGCGCAGCTGTGAGCAGATGAGAACTTGCGAAAGTAAACGATTTTTATCTCCTAACAGTAACATCTTGACCATATCTGATCAACTACTTTCTTGAGATAGCATATTTTAAGTCCTCGAAGGCACTGTTGAAGCCTTGTTTTTTGCTTCACTTACCATCATGTTGAAAAACTATCTTCTTCATTTGTTGCAAGCCGGAGGAAATGAAGTTGCGTAGACGATAAATCTCCCTATCGCCATGAACCTCCTTGTACGTGTTAAAGCGAAGGGTTATATCAGTCTCTAACACTAAATTCAAATGGAACGTTGAATAGTCCCCCTCTATGCAATGCCAACAGCACTAAAGTCGTTTAAATAAACTCACTTCCAGTAATTTGTTTAGCTAACAACGTGTTTCTCGAGCTCCGCATCTTTCTCTAATAATAAAAAATTGTATTAGTTTAATTTTATTCAATAGTCTATGCTTATCTTCAATAAAAATATGAATAACTGTAAAAGTACGGCTAAATATGGATGGTTGTCGTAAACATGACAATCCAGTTCACTTTCGCACTTTAGCACTTAAAATATATTACTTTGTAACAAATATAGCGACGTATAAAAGAATGCTTTACCGAATTGCTGTCGGAATTGGTGCCTCCGCCAGAACCTGGGATGCCCTGAGTGTCGGCGTTTGCACCCCCCTCCTCCTCAACGCCCCACGTCGACCCCGAGGGGACTGGGGGTCCCGACGGCGATAATGAACTGCCCGTTTCCCCAGCTTCTGTCCGCGTACTGCTATTGGAGCTCGGCACAAACAGGCTTGCGTGCTTCTCATCTGCTGCTGTTAAAAATAGGTAAAATGCTTCCAAAGCACCTATTGCCTTATCTATGCACTGTTTACATTTATCTACTTATGTACAAAGCCGAAAGCCTGTATTTGTGTGCTGTCGTGAGCTTCTTTTTTAGAGACTTTAGTTAGCAAAATACTAATCTTGAAGGTTAGAAACTTTAGACACTTGAGGTATGGTAAAATATTCCACAGTAATTTTGATGTCAGTAAAGTAAGAACACCACAGAGGCAACTTCTTTTGCACCCTCCGTGGAGGGGTAATTAGCGTATAGGCCTAAAACAGATTCGGTGAATCTGCGAAATCTCCAAAAATATCTGGTTTATTTTTAGAACGATGAAAACAAGCACAAAGTCACAAAGATGACAAAACACTAAAGAACAAGTAAACGTCAAGTGAGATTTACAAGTCTGGGAATTACTGCCTGCCGTGACAGAGGTGCCATCATGCGCCAGCTCGGTGCCAACCGGACCAGCAGTGAGAGCCTTCTCGTTGATATCTCGCTTGCGTCCATCCATGCCCCATGCAAGAACACCTTTGCAGCTGCCCTCTATGCCACCCACAATACTACGCAGCGCTGCCTGGATCTCCGCTGGCCGCGGCCAAATGTCTACTTGGGTCCCCACCAATCGCGCGTAGCACCGTACCAAGGGCTGCGGCCGCGTACCCTCTATCAGCGCACAATGTAGCCAGATTTGAGCTCTAATCTAGTAGCAACACCCTCTTTCCACCTCAAAACAAACTCTAATTGTCCATGCCACCATCGAAAGACCTTGATTATACTTTCAAGCTACGCCTCTGCGTCTAAGGTTCTTACCTGCTTTGACTTTCATCCCCAAAGGCATGTCCTTGAGAATGCTTGCAGCCTCTTTAACGGCGAGACAGTTCCAAATGGAATCAAGCGCAGAACGCACAGACTGACAAACAGCCTCGGTGGCGCGGCTACCAAGACTCATCATCATCTCATCCGCTGCAAGGGCCACTTGCACTGCGGTTTTAAGGGAGACTTGTACCTCTGGAGGCAACTTGGTCTCCTCCTTCGCTTGCGTCGCAGTTTGCGACTCTGCTCCGCTATTACCCTTCGTCACCACTGTGGATTTACCTGTTGTGTCTGCCTCTAGGTCTGCAACTTTCGTTCGGTTCGGGCTGCCTGTAAGGCAAAAAAGTTGTATTACTTAGCGATATACCATTTCCACTCGCATTAGCCTTCGAGATTTAAAAATATATCAACTAAGTCTCCATCCTCCCGTATTGTAACAGTAGCCAAATGGCCTTATAATGCTCTCCAAATGAGTCATACGACATATTGGTGCTAAATTTGTAATAGCACAGAGAAGTTAGACGTGAGTAGCCCATTTTAAAGCCTACCTCCATTTGGTTCCTGGTTTTCCATATGTGCATAACGGATTTGCACTTCATCGGCAATAATCTTTTCCAGGTTATTCTCATCCACAAACTTGTCGTAGTCCTCCAGAAGAATATTTAGCATTTCAACGGTAGCTTTGAGTACAGTGATTGTTAGAGCGTTCATGGTGTCTGCAGCCGCAAGAATCTGTCCCTTTGCAAGGCGAACGAGATCAAAAATCTCTAAAGCTGGATCATCTGGACCTGGCAATGAGAGTATTGTCGTCTGACCTAGCTCTGACAACACAAGGTCAATTCGATTGACGGAGATGTCGTCGATCTGCTTTAACAGCCTCTCAAAGTCTGTCAGTGTGCTTAGAACATTCTGGAAGAATGAACAGCCTCATCAATGTCTGCATACATACAGTAATTGTAACTGTTAAGAAAGCACCATTAAAAATGCTACTTCCAAACCAGTAACTGAATTTGACTGTGTACGAGAATTGTGCATTCCTCCCACATACATTTACGTAATTCATAGTTGTAATGCTGTTCCAATTGTGCAGGTACATTCCAGGTTCAAGCGCTCGGTTGATCCTCATCATGAAAGGTATAACCAGGACGTGATATTTCTCAGGAACGAAACTGGTGACTTGAACATATCTGCTGCACATGTACTAGAGATGTCTCCTTATTTTTTTCAAAAATGAAGCTTACCTTTAGTTGCTCATAGTGATATTTGATGTATTTGGCCTTGAGAAGAGTTTCCTTAGCAAATGATGGGATCGGACATTGAAGTTTGTCCAGCACAAAAATCTCACGAAGGAGACCAATAACATCAGGATCCAAATTTACGAAGGGTCTACCGAATGGCGCAGGCTGATGACTGTAGACGATTAGCGGGGCCGAGAGACCATTTAGCTTTTTAAGAATCTGAAAAATACGCTCCAAAGTCAGTCTTTTCAAAACCGCTTCACTGGATTACACTAACCCTTTCAGTGCTATAACATTTCTTTTTTTACTCTAAAGGTCGATTATCATATGAAATAGCTAATACCTGCATTTTGCGTCCTATTTACAGCTTGTTTTACTAAGTGAATCACAATGGGAATGAAAGTTGAGACGGCATTATATATAACATCGAAGTTCAAAAAGAGAGGGTTGCATCAGAGCTTGTGGATCTAGATTTCTCGATCGTGTTCCGACCACAAGATGCAATATTCCGAATTAGTCCATAGATATAGTAAACAAAAAGGGGAAGAGTGATCGTACCAGTTTAGTCCATGTTTGATAGACGGCAATCTCATACCCGACAATCTTTGCTGTAACTTCGTTGTATGCCGAGACGAGATCTTGACCCTCCGGTGAGATGAGGGCTTTGGGGGCCTTTGTGCAGATGGCATTCATTGGCTCTTCTAGACGCCTATAGAAGTTCCTCGCCCATGCTATTCGGCCTCCAAAGTGAGGCATATTGCGGCCCAAGGGAGGCGATGCAAAATTTGTCTGGAATTGATCCATTATGGTGTTAATCTCCTGCATCAACTTGTCGCACAATTGGCGGTATCGAGTGCCGTGGTCGAGTCCCGGAATGTTGATAGTCTCTAGACGCTCCTGTAGCCTAACTGCATTCATCAAACTGCTCGGTTTGGTAAAATTAACACTAATGATGTTCAGCAACATGTCCTACGGAATGAGTGAGACAACGAAGTGAGTTACATTGTGTGCACACAAAATAAACACAACAGTGATTGTCTTACGTGAATTTCGGAAATCCGTTCTTTGAATTCATCGTAGTCTGACTCAAACATGGAATTTCGGTGATCAAGATAATCGTAAGGCCTTGATATGATCATCGACTTGAGGCGATCGAATTTAACTATCAGCGGTTCTTTACCTGTCGAAAAGACAATGTCCATCGTAGGGTAAAGTTGCATTGTTCAAGCCACTATTTAAAATCATTGTATCTCAAAGGGAACTGGAACGAAGCCTGGATGAAACACCTTCATCAGTGCTTTTAAATCTGGTTGCTCTAAAAAAGTATTTTGATAGTCTCGCCATTAATCTCGATTGAAAACTGTATTCGCTAAAAATAACTTACTCGTTTGTAGCCGCTAGGTTCGAGTAGACCAACAGCAAACGACTTCTCTCCATAAGTAATTGCGTTACCTGTCCCATTTAAAGTGATCCCACAACATGTCATAGTTACTGTTAACGGTTCTATGGTTCAATTGCTTTAATAATCCTTGCTCTTAAATTTTAACCTGTAATTTCTTTTTAAGGACGACAATTGGGATGATAATAAACTGCAACGAACCTTCAAGAACGAAGTCGTGAAGAACAGAATACTGCTTCAGAGTTTTGAGTACTCGTGTCAAGTAGTCGAGACGCTGAGTAAAAAGGTTCATGTTACCAAATATCTGGACCTCGGAGAAGTTAAAGGCACGCTTTTCGTTGGCATCGATCATCTCCTGCCGTGTCACTCGGTAGGCTGTTTGATATGCCAAGTTCACCCCAATACAGTCAGTCATTCGGGCCACCATTTCGTCGCTCTCCTGCTCCCATATCGACTTTGTTCCATTGTGTGTCAAATAACGCTTACAGGTGAAGATTATTTGGTTGGTAATCTGCAAAAAGAAAAATCAAAAGTAACGCTCCAATAGCTGAATGCTGCTGAAAAGAATGGATTTTCCCCACTGTTTCATGTAGACAATATCGTCTCATTCACTCTTAATTGATGTTTGCATTAAAAGTATTAACGAACAGGGGTTCGAAAATATCACCTTTACTAAAAGGACGGTCATGTGGGAATGGGTATTGTAGAATGGTGAGCACTGGAAGAGCAGCTTAAGCGATTTCATGAGATTTGGCATCCACGAAATGATTTTTTTCTAAAATATAAACTTGAGTTATTTGTTATACTGCACAACGTTAGGAGTTCAAGCTGTATTTTCAAAGTGTAACCCACAAGGTCTGTGACGACAAGCGGAGCGCACAATTTCTCGATGGTGCTGAGGTACTTGACGTTTCCCGCAGCCTCAGCATTGGCATACTTCACTTTCTTGTCCAACAGCACCCAAGTCTAGAAGGTTAAGTCAGCCCTCAGAGAGGGAGAGAGACGAGAAGCATCAAAGTCCATTTAGCATAAAACCCACAGGTATGATTCCTGACTTGGCTTGTTCGAGTACAGAAATCACATTTTTGATATCGGGCCGAGATAATTCTTGCACCAAGGAATTCATCCGTGTCATTTGACATTTCCAAAATCGAAACTCCCCATCTGGCCCTGTCTGATTTATCTCTACATGAATCAGCTCCACTGCCTTAGTTTCCTAAAACGAGGTCCAAGCCCAAATGGAAGCGCACGCAAAGCATTATTGTTAAACAAATTAATTTACTTGTTTAAAATTGTTCCAGCCAAGAACGTACCTCATATATCTTTTTCATCCAGGCACTGGCGTTCTCCTCTATGAGGCTCAGCCCCTCTGGTGTTTTTGAGAGCGCAATGAGGCCCTCCATATCATTAAAGTGGACTTGCTCATAAAGCATGTAGGGTGGCAATGTGACGTGCTCCTGTGAGCAGGCGATGACAGCTTAAGGAATGCGGAAGTCAACGCATCAAATGACAGCCCAACAGATAGGTGCATCCCCAAACAGACAATACCTACTTTCAAGGCTGTTAATGTAGTTGTCCAAGTAGTCACAGTAGTCGTCATGCTGTTGAGGCGTAAGTTGATGCATGTTGGCTGCCTGCACTTGAACTCCCGGAAGGATGAACTTTTTCAGGTACTCAAACATTGGTATCACAAATCCAGCTGCTGGATCAAGCTTGCATGTAAGTGTTTCCTAAATAATTTGAAAGCTTGTTCGCCACAATGAACCTGATGGTTTGCGCGATAGGAAGGGTGGTGCCAATTTGAATGTTTTGTAAATGTTTCCCCAAAAATGTTGTAGTCACAAATGCGTCCGAGGGTTAATCGCAGTGATGAAAACCTACCGTGTTGAGATTGTTAGTAGTCAATGCACCATCGAAGAAGACACGCATGAAAACACAAGTCTCCGTTTTGAGTGGGAGTTGACCATTGTGGAAGAAGTACCGCTTGGTTCCTCGAAGATTCTTTTTCTGAATCTTGAAGGCTTCCTCTGAGGGAGTGAAAGGCAAAATAGCTTGAATAAAATCTGCAGAGAGGTGTGATTAAAGCGACCTACTCTTTGAAATCTAGGCAACGAATTGACTAAATGAAGAGACTTTAAGGTAAGAGCCTGCTCCAGAGCTCATGCCCAAAATGCAATTGTTGACATTTTCGGAGTTACGCAATTTACCCCCTACAGCGTTTGAGAACTGGTGTCGCCCGCATTGATGGCTTAAGGATAGAAACGTACCCGATTACTACCCGATTACCCACATCTTTCAGGATTTAAAGTGGTCACTCGTTTAGCAAAAATATCTACTGCTCAAAATAATCGAGAGTTTGTAGACACAAGTTTTACTTGACGTACCAAATAGATTTTTTAAAAATTACTTCGTCATGGAAGAACCACAACTAATGATTAATTTTTTGGTTTACAAACCCGATTTTTATGCTAAAATTAATCACAGCAGAGTTTATATGACAGTAGGATGCCGTACGACTGAGAAAAAAAATTTAGAATACCAGCATTTTGGATCAATTTTGCAATATTGAAGGGCCAGCTTACTAGCAGTGCTGTGAACGTTAAAGTTTTGGTCTGCAAAAGCAACCATGAGAACCTTGGCGCTGTTAGGCTCGAAGAAGGCATTTAAGGCCTCGAGTTGGCCATAGTCCAAAAGCCACTCGGAGGCTATCTGTGGTTCAACGCCGAACACCCTTTCCAAACGCACAATAATGTTCATGTGTCGATCGTCGATAAGGGCGCGCCGATTCTCACGCATCCCTCGAATCCTCTCCTGTTAATTGGTTAGTTTTAAAGCATTTATGCCTCCCTTGAGTGATTATCGACCCCTTAGACTTTACAGTGGATACAATGACTTAAGCAAACATTCCATCCTTTTAATAAGTGTGACCTTAGAGATGCGTGTCGCATGAATCACCGATGGATACACACTTCTTGCCCATTGGACTCTCCAAGGTTGCAGCGTTGACAACCAAGGTATTTGAGTCCAAACTCAGTGAATCTGTTTGAATCGATACATGCAACGCACTTTGTTCAACTTAGAGTTGATTTACCACAACTATTAGCCCTGGAAGGATTCGAAACTCGTATGATGGTGCTAAAATCCACAGCCGATTCCCATTACCTTGCTGATCTGATTATTTACGAATTCGCAATGACATATAAAACGTGTTTTTAATACTTATGCATGAAGTATGCCATCAACTATAATTAACATCATAAAGATGAATACCAAAAGTCACTAAAGGATGAGAACGAGAGCACTGACACTATAGGGACAATCCTGTAAATTTAAAAAGTCAAACAAAACGACTGCTTTGATATCTATTGTATACAACAACATGAAAAACATGAAGCCTATCGTTATAAGGCTCGCCTGTTTTTGTTTTATATCTTCATCCGTTAGCATTGCGCCGCTGATGACCCAGACTCACAACAATCCCTCCAGCTTGCAGCAGTTCAAATGCGTACGCATCGATTACCCCGATGAGCACGTGACCATGTCTCTAATCGATAGTTTTAGCCTCACAGGCCAGCAACAACATCGAATTCGCGTCAATCTAAGCCTCTGCGTCTAAACCCGGTCAGCTGGCGACAGCTATTCTCAAATCAGGCATCTTTCCTGAACTCCCCCGTTCACCAAGCGCAGGCTGGCTTGCGGCATAAAACAGGAATAATGAAAACTCCTTTTCTTAGAAATAGAGCAAAACTGATTTGTGTATGGTATTGTAGTCACTCAGATGGAGGCAGGAAGGGAGAGGGGGAGCGGCAGGAGGCAGGCCTAAGGAGTCAAATAATAGTCACTCCGACGGGTATTTCCTTTTACAGGCTGGGGTAGATAACACAGGAGGGCCTGAGAATTGCTGACCCTAAGAAAAAGAAGTCATATAATCGTTAAGAATAAATGGCTAAGATATCCGGCAATTAAATGTCACTTTTCAAGTTATCCAATGATAAATCTGTACAGGTATAATGTGGAATAAAGAGTAGTAAACTTTGTTAAAAAAAGTAAAAATGAATAACCCAAATGCGACGAAGTACTGAGGTGAGCTTACGGTTTTATAGAGTAGAGCAGATGTATCGCAAGACGTCGCAATTTGACACACTAAAGCTAAAATCATTATTCTGCGTTGTACATTTCATTAATTTACTGATAAATATTGTGGAAAAATAGTGATAATGCACGATAAAACCAGAAGGAAAGTTGGATAATACTTTGAAATACGTTCTGACTATAGGGTAAAAGCCGGTCATCTGGTCCCAAAATCAAGCAAGCAGCGGGTATGGCAACAGGACTTACGGAGTCGTCTAAAACACTGATCGTTGTCTCCTCTGACAGTATCCGCCTCAACGTCGTGTCATAATTCATTGTCGCCTTTAGCTACAGAAAAAAAGGCAAACATTATCGCCAAAAGGCATTTTAGAACCTAGCAGGAGCAATATAAATTTAGCATAACTACCATTTATAGAAGAATGACACAACAGCAGACCAGACTCACCTTTTGGACGAGCGAGTCCAACACTTCAAGAGACTCATACCTCTCAGGATTGTCAAGAAAACGAACACATCCATTTCTTTGATCAATCTTCACAAATATTGACTTTGAGCCAGCCTAGAAATCGAAATTTCACAAAACAAAAGTAAAAATCTTTCAGACACAGACCTCAAAAGGACGTTACAACATTACCATATCGAGAAGTTGTGTTTCAGCAGTTTCGAGGGAATCTAAATGTGCCCGAGCTGCTAAATCCCTCACCGATAGCGACATGAAGGTCTACAGAATGGAGTATTTTTGCGGTAGAGTGATAATTTGCCCAAGTACTTTTGAGTAAACAAACGAGTGAAAATTGATTTGTCGACTAGTAAATATATCCCGGAGGAAATTTGTCGTTAGAAAATTGAGCAATGCTTACACGTCTCACAATGCGTAAGTAAGAGAAATGAGTATTGCCCTCAGCAAAATTCCCATAAAAGTCTCATGGGAGACCTCGTAAAGAGTCATAACGGGTAGGATTAAAAAGTTCGCAGACGTGTACCTTTGTTAAGTTTCGAATCCTGTACTTGGTATGACAATCAATCAGTTGCATGACAAGGCCAGAATTACGGTCCTAAAAGATAATGATGAATCTCTTGTTATCGATTATTTTAGAAGCGCGGAAACAATATTCCTTTCTTTCCACCTACGACAAAAAGCCATGGGATTAAGAGATTAAAGCCAGTAATATCAAAGAAACTCATATTTCAAGTACCGTAGCAAATATCGATAAATTTTTCTCAATAACCTCGCGAAGATCAGCTGGGTTGGACGTCAAAAATGCCTCCTCCAACTTCATGTACGGCTCAAGAGAATACTGAAAAGATGTCGTGATATTGAATAGACAATGTACATTGGACTCGAAATACACGTGGTTTAAGAGGAAACAATTAAGTTGCAGTGCAATTCATAAATAAAACTTAGCGGCTGCGTACTTTCCATCTGCGGAAGAGAGGATACTCCGACGCGTTAAACTAAATCAAAAGGAGAAGCCAACAATGAACACAATTAGCGGGACCAGTACCTTAAACGCTCAAATAACATTACAGGGACTGAAGAAGCTCATCCCTCAAGAACATACCTCTCCTTTGTAAATAATAGAAACAATGACAAGCCTTTTTGCCGCTGCCAGCAACAATGATGAGCAGGAAGGCGTCGGTATCGAACAAGCCTGGAAGCGGTAAGGTTGAGTATTGAAACTATTACCATAGTGAAGAATTTGAAACTTCGCTCCCACATCTTTAGAGCTGCGTAGATCATACCGCCATAGTAAAAATACAAAATGGCATCTTTGATACAATATGCTTTTTTCTAAAATAACCCAGTCATAGAAAAGGTAAACGCACATCACTATCTACATCGAGGAGATCTGCGTCCAGAAACGGAAGAAGTGGGTTGAAAAACTTTGCAGAAAGTGCTAGCTTTTGAAAAATAAGAATAAGAAGCTATATACTTGGCAAAGGTACACATGCAGAGAGGTCAGGTGGTTTGCAGTTTCTTGCATTTTTCTAATAGCTGCAATTAAGACAGGAATGCCAGATATCGCAATCGACTGAGATATCAGCTTTTTAGTTAAAATTCTGCCAATAGCACGGACTAAGCAACCGAGTGTGAGCAAAAGAAAGCAAAATACCTATAGGCTTAACCAGATGTAACTGCTTCGAATCAGAGGCTTCAAAGAATGTTCGAGTTTCTATTAAGTGTGTGGGCTCAATCGATGCAGCCGCCGTAAGCTTAGCTCGACTAAAGATAAAGGCAATAGCTTTGTTACATCACAGCTGAATAGAGGCATGTCCATTGCTCTGTTTCATAGCGCACCAAATGCTGGTCAAGGGATGACACATTCTTTGTTAAAAAATCGGAATGTCTCTCGAGAACTGAAACAATCTCGGGCCCATTATCTATAACATTTGCAAAAATCCAACCCACTAACCTCCCGCCTTCTTAACACTCGCAATTAGCTGCTCCATTGATCAAACAACCATAGGACAGTGAACAATCAGGCCAGGCCTTAAAACGCATAGGCTAGCATGAGGGAATGCTGCGAAGTTGTTTATAGCCTCATCCAAAAAAAGAAATAAGTTTAGTTTTTCTGCTGCATTTTATGCGAGAGCTTATTTTGTTACTTGGCAATTAGCTTAAACTAATACATATTAAACCCTTGATGTAAGGCTATCCATTCTCATGTTGTCTCAAAAATAATTTGGATCTAAAAGTGCAACGGGTTATAGTTAGTGTATTAATTTGAAGTCTTGTACTCCGGTTGTAGTGTTTTGATTATGCGATCGTCTGATGCATGGCTGCTACTTCGATAATTTAGTGGTTCTCGTACACGCGGGCTGGCTTTAGGGCCTGGCCAGTGTCTAATGCCTTCCTCTTCCACTAGGCTCAACTTAATGCCTTCTTGTACTCCGTGAGACGTTTCAGGACGCTGCACTGGTCATGATTATTTTGTATCTGGAACTAAGCGCATTAGTCGGAATCTTGTGTTTGCTTTCCATTATATTATTTTACATTATCCCGTAAGTAATGAAACGATCCCTTCAAACCGTATCTAGGCGCCTTGAGATTTCCTGTCAGGTAGAAGAAGGCGCAATGTTGGCCAGAATACATATCTTCCCAGAAAGTAGGAGTAGGGCTTTAGCATGGTTCAAAGGCCAATTCACGTGTACGGGGGCCAGACGAATACCAAAGTAACCGCCAGATATCAGGTGTTCACATAGCAAAGTATTACGTTCTTAGCTAAAGCACTTAAGTGAAGATACCTAGAACCAAGTACAGCAGATATTTGATGTCGGATGGAAGTAAAGAGGAATTCTTTGTTTCGTAATGCTGTACTTGGCATTAACTGAGCGGTGATGAAACAACAATCCGAAACATCATCAATCTGATACAGAATCACTATCGCATCAATTATTTGGTAACTGTATGTTTTAGCAACAGTCTTAGCTATTGCTGGATTTTCTTGAAAGCAGCCAAGTCTGTAGAGCTTGCAGCTGGAGGCGCTCGTGGATGCTTTGACTCCTGGTTTATCCTTACGGTTAAGGATTCCTAGTCGCAAATGCTGCTGCAAGAGGAGAAATACAGGACCCATAAAAGTGTACAAAAATAGGCAAAGTACTCAGCCCGATAGACTTCTATTTGTGCACACCAAATTGCAGTGCTCAGTATCTACTGAGTAAGACTTTTATTTAGCATATAACTTATAAAACTTACTTCAATGCCTCAGCAACTCAACGAAGTCCTTCGAGGAGACCCTTCTGGCCAAATAAACGTAAGCCATTAGAGTCGGTATTTTCACTTCGCACGGACAGTGCCCGTACTTGGAATGGCAAAACATGAGGCTACCATGGAGAAAACAAGCGATTTTGAGCAAAGCACGAAGTATTGAACTAAAATGAAGGGATGAGGAATCCCAGCGGAATACGACAATCAGATTAGCGCCCATTTCAGCGCTTCATTCCGTAATGTAGCACCAAATGATCACCACCGCAAAGCCTTAAACTTTGACCAATGAATGGACTACTATAAAACCATCATTTCACAAGATAAGCAACAACCAAATCCTGCATCATCTCCAAATACTCCCAGGTTTGGCAAAGGGTGGTACAGTGAATACAATCTGAAGTGATTACTTTAAGCACTTCCCATATTTATTTATTATAGGTATTAATTTGAGCTATTATACACTGAAGGAAGGATGAAGAATACACCGAATAACAAGCGTACAGTGAAGGGAGGAAAAGAGTTGTTATTGAGCACAAGAACAGGAAGGCCTACTCCGCGTCCGCCTCGGTAGCCATGTGCCCGTGCACGCGCAGGCGGTAGACGCATGTGTATTCCGGATGGCCGTGGTTACTGGTGATGACCAGCTCAACGAATAATGTCGGCTTGCCATCAGAACGGGCCTTCAGTGGAAAAAAAGAGGAATCAAAGGCTAGTATAGCCGAATTAAACGGGAGCAACTCGACAGCATTTAGTAGAATCACGTTAACGTTAAACAACGGTCAGGTTTAGCAACCAAATGGACGGACAATGAAAGGGAATTAATTGAAAGACATCAGATCAAATGTGATGAATAGATGTACATAAGAAGTATTTGCACGACCCAATGCCCAGCATCGAAGGAGAGTGAGCTTAACAAACAAAATTGATAGCAAAACACCTGACTAAACTAGATGGATCAGATTTGCTGGGTCGTATCTTTTCTATACGCGGAGTGTCCAATTTTAACGATACACGATAGAGTAAACGTGTAGAATAGAGGTGTGTCATTCATAAATTGGAAGCAAAACTATGCTAAACAGCGATTCTACTTAGCCATTAACCAAGTTCCGAAAGAGAAAAGGTGTAGAATGGATAGGTGCGCACCATGACAGGGAAATACTGAATTGGTTTGCCATCTTCGTTGTAAATAAAGGAGCCAAGGATCTCGCCATCCTCCGCAGAGTCCGATTCCAGAGCTTTGATAAGAAATTCCCGTGGAGCTGAGTCGATGCGCCCAGTGTGTGCCAAGGCCTTGGGAATGTGTTCCAGGGAAACTCCAGTCACGTGGACCGGCACCGCCAATCGCACTATCGCCTGACCCGTGCTACCATGGAAGCACCAGCACTCACCAGGATGGTTGCTTGGCTGGAGAATCTCACTGAAAAACCAAAGCATAGTTTGATGCCTTAGCAGATGACCAGACATACTAGTCTATTGAATTAAACCATTCCAACAATCCAATTACGAACACTCTGAGTAAAGATGTTTAGACTTCAGCTTTGATCAAACGTCGAGCATCGTTAAAACTTAATCTATCTAGACGGATTTGAGGCAGGTAACCTCACTCATTACGTACCACTTTGAAAGCAACTTCCATTCACTCTTATGAGACTATTTGAAGCGATTACATGAGCGCGTCGTCAATTGCCTCCGCCTACATTAGAGTCGGCAGATGATGGGAATAGCCTGTCAAATCCTTTTGACAGCCACGGATTACCCAACACGGGCTCATTCTCGCCTCGTCTTCTAGCCATTTTAGTGAAGTGATGAGACAGCACTGCAGTGGATACGGACAGCCAACAGTGGCTGATTGTTAACGCACGTGTGCAAGTGACAAAATGATAAAACCGAGCTTTACGACTGTTCATTGAATTGATGACGTGTTACACAAAAGCACTCCCCACTCCACTTCCCTTCTCTTGCCAAACAGCACACTCGGAAGGCAATGAGACTTTGACACATCTCTACAAGCACAATTTTTTTACCCCCCATTACAGAGTATTACCTTTCCCTCAGCCTTGATTATAATGCCAATGTGTCTAGGCTGTGTATTAAAGGGAAATCAAAATGTGGTGTAAGCCTTTCAATACCCACAAAATAATTTACACAGGGTCACATGCGCTAACTCTTCAATGTTTCATAAAGCTAGCCCACACTTGGCATAAAGCATTCTCATTACTGGAGAGTATATAAACAGCCCAAACCTTATTCGCCAAATGTTGGTACAAAGGGGTCGCAACGCCGACGTACACAATAGTTACTTTAGCATGGTGCTCCATCGTCAAAAGAAAGATCCCAGTTTGATCCTTCCGACATCCCCTTTATTGACTATCCTTACGATTGCTCGAGGGTTTGAAGAGAAACCCAACGGACCAAAGCACATACTCAAGCGTGTAGGCGTCTCTGTCACTGCGCTCTCAGCTACTCCCTCGGTAGATTGATGTTTTAATCATGTCATTATTTTAAGCGGCCCACTGAACCTTACGCACATTAGCAGTAAAATGCCATACGAATTCTCAATCGCATGCAAGGTTAAGGAGAACTCAGGCAGCACAGCACATTCACGATAAATGAGAAGCGACTTACTTAGGGGAGCGCGACCAATAAGCCAAAGTGATACCGAAGAGGGAGACAGCCGACTTAAAACTGGTGTAGGTGCGAGTGCACCTCGTGGAAACCACCGTTCCGCCGGCCGACTCGAGAGCAAAATCCGCCTTACCTGTGCCATCTGCCATAAACGCCTCAAAAATAGAATCTATGTAGGCCAACACCCCGGCTGGAATGTTTTCTGTCGTCGATTGCGGTGCGTCTATGGAGATCAAAATCAAAGATCATAGAGGCAATTAGCAAGTGAGCTAAAGAAGGTCCCCTTAAGAATCATTGTAAAAGCGCACTTGCAAAAGTCTCTCTTAGTCTTTCGTCAACAGTACTCCTAATGAGGTCGATCAACTTCGTCTGTGTAAGTGGTCCTGATTCGGTCGTTTGAGCAAGCTCTCCTATAATTTTCTGTAGGAGGGAGAAACATAAATTTGAACTGAAGTGTAGAATAATTGAGCAAATTCATATTTACTCTAAGCATTAAAAAGGGGTTACCTTTTTGAGATCAAGGGCAATTTGCTCTGAGAAAGTGTTCTTCATTTCATCAATCACCTCGCCAAGGCGCACCTTGGAGACTGATTGCTGTGACGTCTCAGCTTCCCGTAGGGAGGCCAATTCTGCGGTTCACAAACGCAGGTTTTAAGCAATAATGTACGCCTCTAAGAAAACGTTGACCTATTCGATCTAAACTGAGTGATTTCGACAACAGTTCTTAAACCAAAATCCACCTATAACCTTAACAAGACGTTCAACGTAAGTCATCCGTACTCATTATGGGCGACTTCAAAACAATTTTTTCTTAGCGAATTTCCGAGCATTACATTACATTAAGTTCACTGAAAACAATGCCTTACCAGAGATAAGCTTTTGAAGAGCCTGCTCTAGTTCATGGATGAGACGCTCCACGGAACCAACACGAGCGGAGATCTTCTCAACATCAGCAACAAGTCGCTGTTCCAATGAAAACAAGTTACTGCGTGACTCTGCAGCAGTGGAGACGATATCTCCAGAGATTTTGGCGTTTAAGGCCTCCAGCGAGGCGGTCTTCTCCTCCTTGTAAGCCTCAAACTCCTGCCTCAGGGACTTAAGCTGCAAACAATCCAAGATAGGACCCAAGGAGGTACTCAAAGCGATACAAAGCATCTCAGACAACAAAGACTAACTTTGGTCTCCATTTCGGACTTCTGTGTCATCACGAGTGCTCCTAACTCCCTTAGAGCCTTCTCAAATCTCGTAATTCGCTCAGTTTGTTGATCACCACCTTGAACAGTCGAATCGGTGGCGCCGCCACTAATTACCGCTTCCAGCTGCTTTCTCAGCTCCTGCAAACGAGCATCCAATGAGGCCGTCGAAACAAATGCTGCCTGTTTGATTAGATCATCAAGAATTTGCTGTCGACGCTGTTCATAACCGTCTTCATCAGTCACCTTGTCAGCAATAAGAGTGATCTGCTGTTTAAGTGAAGCAATGGCCGCTTCCAGCCGGTTGACATCGGTGCTAATAACACCATACTCCTTGGTGTAGGCGTCCAACCGATCCCGGTTGGCTTGCTTCAACTCTGCTACTTGTCTAAAGTAGTTAGAACAACAATAATAGCTTAGAGCGATGAAAAAGAACACGGCTACGCTAAATAACTAGGGTGATGGTTGAATTACTATCACCGACAAACCCACCAGATTAGGGTCGGGGTAGGCGAAATCAACAAACAAACCTATTGAGGTCAGTCATTCCTGTGTCTATCACTTGGAGTCGCTTCAGTAAATTGTCAATTCCTTCCAAGGATGTAATCGGTTGATGGTGTTCTAAATGGCAGAAAACAAATGCTAGAACTGTAATACGAATCCCGTTTAGCTAATTTCTCATTATAGATAAATAAGTAAGCATATAGGATATAAATAGCGAAAACGCAAACCAGAACACTATTGGGGCAAATTCGACTTTGCTGTCAGTAAATGTGAATGCTGCCCTATGCCCCACGCAGTGAACTGGATGGAGACTGGCCTATTTCTGTCACTTACTATTACAATGAGTTTTGGGATCAAATGGACTAACCCTGCTCCAGTTGCGAAGATGTAAAACCAGAAGAGTTGAACACAAAAAGACTTTGCACCCAATTCCACCAAACGGAGGACTGCTGTTTTAACGTAGCAACACTGGGTTCCCAAAGACTCCATAAGAGGCAGTTCCAACGGATGTTATGCGGAGCATGAAACATGCCTGCCTCGGCATCATCGATGTAGGAATGAGCGTTGGCAAATGCAAGGCGAATACACTGCGCATCCGAGGGGAGCAGACCAAAGAAGAAAGGAGTCTCGTCCGATGCCGGATTGACCTCTGCAAAAGTGTTCACAAATACATGAGACAGCTGAGAAATCACAGAGCTCCAAAAGAGGAAACAAATAACCGTTCCTGGCCAACAAAGGAAGCAGGTCAATTTAGATGACGGTGCCCGCAAAATCACTCATACAAACGTTGGCCTTGGTAACAGAAAGGCGTCGCGCAAGTCATTAGAATAGTGTGCAAACGTGGGTGAACATGAAAATCATCCATGATTGCAGTGCACCTTAATCATCAACAGCAAGGCAGCAATTACGACCATGACTCACGACTTAGAAGACTATTAGCAAACAGTGAGGCATTATTTAAATAGGAAAGCTGGAAGGAGTGAGTTAAAAGAACAAAACCCATATATGAACCACCAAATGAAGGTGATGTTGTGGCGATTCCGCATTCTACCAGCTTACCCGCCGGTCGAAAGAGAAATCCGGTTAAAGTAGCCAGTAAGAGGAGGAGAAGGAACAGAGGACAACAATAACTTGGAGTTGTCCCACAGCACAATGAAGAATTACTGTCCTGAGAACGATGACCACGACGGCCAGAGCCTTTGGAATAATTTGGGCTGTAACATTGAAAGAAGGGAAAAGACACAAGAATCTTAAAACAAAACAAACTAGCTGAAGCGAAAATAACACACGTGTACTTTGTTCAGCAATAGAAGCTGAAGTTACCTGGTTGGATATATAACTGGCCTACTATTCCCAAAAGACGTAACCACTACTAATAAGGTTGCAGCACTTTCGGCAACTTTATGGACACTTGATGCGACCGATCGGACTTGTTTATTACGCTGCAAAAATCTGGCATGGGCAGTAATAAGACCGCCAAGGGAATATCATTTGGCGGTTCATTAACGCATAGAAGAGAACTGGAGTCAGTGTACGAGGCCAAGTATAAAACACACCAAACAGATTAAATAAAGGACTGTAGAATGGAGCAGCACGAAACCATGCAGTCTATCCGGAGCACTAGACAAAGACCAACAACAATCGCCTATGAAACTTTAATACCCAAACTGAATTACCAACCACTTCATTACTCACGCGTAGGTAAGACCGAGCTCATCAGACGAGATTCGCCTGCATGTTCTTGTGTGATGCGTTGAGCTACTACTACTACCTCTGCCATTGATAACTCTGTGGTAGAGACTAGACAGGACGGAGGCTGTGGTCTTTCCAGCTGTGGTGACGACGACTGAGAGGTAATGTAAAAGCACCAGAGGAATTGCGATAAGGTTAAGGAGGCAAGAGTACAGTCGATGCCTCAAAGATGAGGTAGGATACGAGGTGCGGTGGGAGGAGGAGGTAGTGTCAGTGGTGGTAGGGCGGCGACGTTGTTCCTCTTCAGCGTGGAGTGATGGACTGCGGTAGGATGGCTCTGCAGACAAACCTAAAATGGGCAGTAAAGGGCCTGAACGGCTACCCAAATTAAACACCACTCCTTTGGAACTAAGCATGAGTTTAAACTCTCCAATTAAGCATGCAGATGTGGCATTCGAGTTACAAACCAACATTCAAAGCTAAATTATCTAAATTACTACCTCAAAGCAGGAAAGTGAAGCGTGGTTCATCTACCTTAGAGCTATTCATTGTAGCCGAAGAAAATTGCGGTATTAACAGTCTTACGACCAACAGGTATGGCGCAATATTGCGAACTCATTCACGGGTACTGAAGTAATGAAAACAAACACTTACCCAACATGCTGGATAGATGCCATGGACGATTTGTCAGTGCATTCACACCGCCACCGTATTGACTGAAAAAGAAAATATAGCTTAAGCAGGAAAACGTTAGCACGTCTACGTCCTCCCCTCCCACCTTAGCATTTCAAGAACATACGGTGCGAGGTCATATCGCTATTGCTAGTGGAAAGCCAAAACACGAAACCGATAATTCCGCGTGCATAAAAGATAAGGACTTATTATTCCTTCTGCAATCTTCTTTTCGGATGCGAGTGAGTGGGCAACGAGTATATTACCAAAATGGATGCCAAGGCCCCTAATCGGAAGTAACCTTACCAGGTCATTTAGTAATGAAGATTGACCATCGTTGAAAATAGAAACAAAAGCATGATCATGTGACACATAAGTACCCTGGCCTTGACAGGAACGGGAATTCGAAAAGTTAGACAAGAGAGCAGTGAAAATATAAGGATAAGAGCCAAGAGGTATTCACGGTCGTGGAGATTGCACCAACGATGGTGCTCGACCACCATCGAGGGGCGTGACCTTGATATCGAGGGAGGGATGGCGTCCCTCCATCTCACTTTTGGCGGTGCGACGTCTAAAAGTGGTCTGACGATTTTGAGAATCCAGTGCCACAGAGGTGACTCCTCCTCGCTCCTCCTCCTCCTCCTCCCCCTCCTCCAGATCCACTATAGGTGGAGCTTTCGACTCCTTTTCAATGGCATAGTTCATACTTCGATGTAGTATACTCGAACCCTGGTGGAAGAAAGAATAAGTAACCAAATGGGACCACAGAAACGTGACACACCATTTGGAGTGGCAAAACTGACCCTTCGGTTTTGCGACCGAAGCACGCGATCTGTGGGTTCGACAACCGAGACCCGAGTTCTACGACGAGTTGAAGATGATAAACTGCTTCTAAAAAGAGGATGATAATTAGTCTTTACGTCCAAGGTACCTACTTACTTGCACTGATGAAACTTATTACCGTTACAGTGTACGCTTTTGATCGGCAAAAATAAGCCATTAGTTTAAGGTTTCCCATTAAGTTATAAATAATTGAGATTTGAATATTCTGAAAACTATCTTTTAAAATCTGCATTTTCAAGATCCCATTCCGACTACTCTCGTAACAATACGCAGCTGAGCTGTTACAGCTTTGTAATAATCGTCAGCAAGGTTCCTATTGGAAGAAAGAGCAGTTTACGAACACCGTACCACGGCCTACAGTTCAGGAAAAGTTTCAATCAAGAGGATGTTAACCCTGAACTTGGATTGCGTGATGAATTAATACCGGTAATGCAACGAAGACTGTAGTGGAGGAAGAAACACTACAATATTCTTATATCATCGAATCGGAACGCGTAGAATGAATTAACTTAATAATGGAAATGAGCGGTTCCGACACCTGACTTTGATGGCCAAGTGCCAAAAGTAGCTTAAAAACCTGCACTATTTAGTCATCATTTCATGAAGACCGAACACCTCCGCATAGTAAATTACTATTGGTTCTCTTCCAAGACCAGCCATTTGTCATTGATATCGAGAAAGTGACGCCAAGATAGCAAAACTCTTTTAGATGCAGTTAAAGTGCACCGGTTCTTGTCAGAGGCCAAGGTAAGACATCTGAATTTTGGAATAATTCAACAACTCACTCCGTGGATAACTTTTCATCACTAGCTGTTTTGGAACACTCCTCCATTCCAACTGTAAGAGGTTTGCGTAGACCAATGGAGACGTCCCCACGGGCATCAACTACACTGGTAGAGCCGGTAAGGGGTCGGACTATACGGTACTCGGCAGTCTCTTGGTAATCGATGCGCCGTCGCACCAGTTGTGCATTCGGCACCGCGTACTCACCCGCCATGACGTAAGCTGAAAATTCCCGAGGAAAATGGAATGGAATGGACATTTTCGACGCCTGTGGTACAAGACTAGTCGCGCAAAGCTACGCACGCAAACGAACTGACGTTAGAAATGCGCAATATACAGATCACACTCTTTTAATTCGAAGGTGATCGATTCCTTCGAGAATCCACAATGAGGGAGGAAACTGGGTTGAGATGGGAGAGAGCAAATCAGTATTGCAAAGGAGACTAGTGACAATTTGGATATGTGAAAGGAAAAAAGTGCAATTAGCGAGCAGAAATATTGAGCCGGTGTGCTATCACCATCGATCCAGCATTTGAATTTTCCCCAAGAAGTAGGTTAAACCACAAAAAAATGAAAAATGAGACATCCCTAGGATCAAAGACATGGTCAGAGAAATACGCTCTGAAGTGTGCAATTGATGGAGATTGCCTTGGCTTGGGCATTCTTAAATGTGCCTGAGTTTCTTCACATGATAATCTGCAACCTTCACACATACAAACCCTGACACATGGATTGTGATGCTGACTTTTGCAACGTGAAAAAAAGCATGCATAGACGTTTAACACTGGTAGCTATGATATGATAATACCAAGTGAACGCATCTCGATTGGTTTATATTTTGCAGAATGCATTAGATGATGCCATTGTTGTTGGCTGCTCGCATTTTACCCAGTTTTCATGAACAATTTCCCAAATTTTACTCGCATAAAAGCAGTAAGGGTACCTTCAAAGGCAGGTAGGTACGAAGCAAAGCGTAACGAGGATAAAACTGAACAAAACTCGGAGAATTCCTCCCTCCCCTCCCCCCTCAAAAAAAAGAAGACAACAGACACTAAGTGATCCAGCGACGCAGCTACTGTCACCCACATACACGCAAATGTGAAGTTGACGGAATGACGAGGTAATATACTAGCCTTATCATAATGTGTACCTCCTCTTCTGCCTCTTGCCCCCTTCCAAATCAGCTTACAGAGGTGATCTCACGACACTACCAAAGTACACATTTACTGTGCTATATGAGCAAGCCATGACAAGTCGCTGCCTTCCATGTGTCGAGTTGAAGCATGCAAACACATCTTCGAGAAAGGAGAAACGAAGACAGTAAATTCGTTCGTTTAAACAGAGAAAAGCCTTCACATTAAAAGAACTGGAGCGAGGCGATTACTCGATTCCATCTTGTAGCGAGGATGGATGAGAGATTAACCTAATACATTGTTAGCCACACCACCCACCAACTCCGGCTCATTAAAAGACAATAAAGTGACTAAGCTAAACATGTTAATGAGCCTGCATTATGTCACTTGGATGTAGAGTGAATATCACGTGCTGTTCGGCTAGCAATGAGCAGGGGGATGAGGGTTGAGATTACAAAGCGGGCCTATTGTGGCCACTTACACCATATTCCGCCGCCAAGGCCTGAACCAACCTTCATGTAAAGCAAGTCAATAATCATTGTAATTATGAGTAGTGAAAAGGATCGTGTAGAGCCGAGACTCAAACAAAGCAGCATTTTCCTTAGTAGACATCGTCCAGACATAAATGACGTTTGAGAGTGGAAAATATAATTTGAAGGATGGAAAACTTAGGAAAAATGGTGTTAACCCATGCAACTTGTGATAACGGTCATTGACAACCTTCTCTAGCAACGCCCACAACAATCATTAAGTAAACTAGCATCAAAAGGTGACCTAAAGTATGAGAATCCACAGCAGCACAAGAAATAAATTCAGTTAGAAACAGTAGTCATCAAGCAAAAGCTTGATAAAACTGGAACTGAAATACAGTAGGATTTAATAACAGCCCTTGCAATCGGGAAAAGAAGTAAGAGAGTAATGCATTTAACAGCGATTGACTGTCAAAGGCTATGGCAATAAGCAATACTTTTACTATCCGCCAATAGATGCTACGATGGGCATTAAGTACAAGAATCTAATCACGATTTAAAACTTCTGGACATCGTGACTGATATTTCCAAAGTAGCATCGACTTAAGCAATATTAAGAGTCCATATAAAGCTGATATAATGTTAAAAGAGAAATTATTCCCAGAATGATCCAGCTGATTCAGGAATAGTATAACGCACAACGAAACTGGCATTTTGGAGATGTCGAGATATGCACACTTCAGCTAACCCTCCAAGAGACAGACTTACAAGGAAGGTTTTTTGGCATAGCTATGATGTTGGGCGATTCTCGAGGCACGCTAAGGGTCGAGACCTGATGAGATCTAAAAACAAAGCCAAAATAAAGCCAATTCTCTGAACGTTTTAAGACCGTATTGTGTAGCGTAGAGATACTTAATCAAAAAAAGGAAACGAAGCAAGAGGTATAAGCTCAGGCGTCCCATAGTCAAATGAGACACCTAATTTAAAGCACTTTATTTCTGAACAATTGTGCACAATTATGCAGGTGTGACTTCACTTTCAGTCTTTGAAAGAATGAGGTAAAGATAGCATAAATTGTGGCTGATGAATGAACCCTCACAACATAATCACTCACTTCTGGGATGGTAGGGGAGTATCGAAATATTCCTCCCGAGAATAAATAAATATTGGTTTTAAAGTTTGCCCTGAAGAGGTGTGCTCCTCAATCACAACTGTTTCATTCTCACTCATCTGCTAAATGAAAGGGTGAAACAGATATATACATTAGAAAGATATGAGAGCTTTACATAGCAGCGAAGTCAAAACAATTATTTCAATGGCAACGTTGGATTTCGTCAAAAAAGTTGACAGACGCGCATAAACACAAGCGGAATAGATGAATTGGTTCGCTTGATGCTTAATCTCTCCATGAGGTTGGCATATACAGTGGGGTGGGCATCGCTCAGGGTCCCCAACGACTTCTTTAGAGACACCACATCCTCAGTCAAACACGCCGCGGCAAATTCCACCACGACACTCGCTATACACTCCGCCTGCTTCAGACTCGGTTGTCGATCCCCCACAATTTGAACCAAGTCAATTTCTGGTAGGGCAACAGTCCCAGTCCACTCACTAAGAAGAAGGAAGCTTGCACAATCCATTAAATAATTCATTTCTTTCTGAGTAGGCAGCGCGGCCTTCCACTGAGCCAAAAAACGCCCACACTCCTCCTCGATACTCAAATTCGCTGCGTAAGTGATGCAGTAGTAGGCCAACTTGAAGATCATTGGCAAGTTATTAGGAAGGATGGTGGAAGCAGTCCAGAGTGCAACGATGTGGTCGAGAGGAGGATCAGAAGCAGCAGCTGAGCTGCGCACCGCTGCAACGGCCCGATCTGTCTGTCCTGCGGCAAGGAAAGCGAGCGCAGAGTAGGGTAGTCCGTTGTAAGCCAAGCGTCCAGCAAGGAGGTTAAGGCATTTAGTCTGGAGATCAAGATTTGCCTCAGGATTGAGACGCAGTCGGAGGAGAAGGAGGGCCTCTTTGGCACGGCCACATTGCAGGAGGAGGCGCACCGCCTCTGCAGTTTGACCCGCGCATACCAATAGAGTCGAGGCCCAGGTGTATTCGTTTGAGACACTCAACTGAATGATCTATTCAAAAACCAGTGATGATAAATTCAGCTCAACTATAGAGATTTAGGCAATAAAGGCGAAGCGAATTGGAACGCAGTGAAAACCTCACCTTATGCTTTAGAAAGTCGTCGGGCGCATTATTCATCTGTGGCGTTCCACTCTCCACAAGGCAACCAACGCCTGTGCGAGGAGCAGAGCCCTTCAACATCATCTCCAAGGCCCACATCAACCAGAAAGGCATGTGCTGCACTTCCACACACTTCTTAGCCACATATTCAGCCCTGCCCAGCCATAGAAGAAGACTGAAGTAGGCATCAAGTCGGGACTGCCTGTTAGGACCACTAGAAGCGGCAGACAAGTGTTTCAGTGCCTCCGTTTCGGTGAATCGAACTAAGCGCCGACGACTCAAAGCTCCACCACTACGAAGCAAATCAAACTCCGGCAAAACCCGATCCTCGGGAAATAACGACGGATCTTCTAAATAGGAGACAAAGTCGAGTACAACGGAGAAACGAGACTGTATTATGATTGGGGGCGAATGTTCTAGCTTTGGGACGGAACAGTCGGTGACACTTGAAGTGGCAAAGAGATCAGGTAGAAGAGAAGGCTTTTTGCCCACAAAGGGCTCAAGTCGTTTCTGAGAGGCAGGAGCCGCCAAATCAGGTTCTGGTTGAGTATCTTTTTCGACTTCCTCCTGAACAATGACCTGGGGACAGGCTGGAATTTTGTTACAAGGATTACGATGCTTGCGGTAGGAGGGCGGAGCTGTGACTCTTTGAGCACTCGGACGCCAACCAACAAGGTACCCATATTCTTCACCAGTGAAAACAAAATCCGAGTCGTGAGGAGACCAAGCACAGGCAAATACACGGGATAGATGATTACGGTAGTTGGCAATCGCAGCAGAAGTTCCCAATCCTACTCGCCAAACCGTGGCTGTACAGTCATAGGACCCTGAGAGTAGCAAGTCGACATCGCACGGAGACCACTCGAGAGATGAAATACGAGTCCCATGTCCTTGTAGCACGGCAAAACAACTGGTGAACTGAGCACATTGGGGTCCCGGATCTTTGTTTTCTGCTTGTTCAGTGGCATCAATGATAGTGATATAGGATTCCGATGATCCCACTGCAAGCAAGTACTGACTACTATGGTGTGACCAAACCATAGAATTGATGCACTTTTTATGTATGTCTACACGAGAAAGGGACACTATCATTCCGTTATTCCGCAGAAGGCCAAAAATATTGACGGCTCCGTTCACACTACCCAGTCCGATCAGCCAGGAAAACTTAACATCTTTTTGTTCTGCCAGATGGAGGAAGGCGATATCAGCCAATTTCCGATCGGATGAGTCGACCAAGAGCGGAGTAAACTTAGGTCCTAAGTCTACAAGGGGCTTCTTCAAAGAGAGTAGCAGAAAGACGGACCCGTTTGCGACTGCGTAGACGAGTAATCGCTCCTCTTCTTCTGTGTCCTCATTTTCTTCCTCATTCGTTTTTGCAAATCCAAACAGGGAAGGACCCCAAACAACACGGTAGACACAACCTTCCAACTGGTTGAAGTTTCTCCCTCGTCTTTGGTGCTTTCTAACATCTACAATATCAACGTGTCCTTTGCTGCTTCCAATCGCCAAGAGATACTCATATTGAGCTTCCGGGTGCCATGCCAGAGCGGATATGCCAACGACAGCTCCAGAGGGTGGAAGAGGTGACAGTCGAGTCATTGATGTGAACGAGTTTGGCGTGGGCGGTTGAACATTGCCGAGAATCAGTAAGTTGCCGTCCGAGAGGCCAACAGCTAGAGGGCTGCAAAACCCAGGTCCTTGACTCAAAGAGTTGATTTTCGAAGAGAGACAGACATGATTTGCTACAGCGGTCAGGTTTAGCCAGTCATTATGGTTATTCTTCCATACAATTATCTGTGAATCCATGCCGAAGGATATAAAGAGGCTCGGGGAGTTGGGAATCGCAAGGAACGAAAAAACAAGTCCATTGTGGCGTGGTAGCGAGACGGAGTCGCATTGCAGTGGTTTTTCTATGCAGCTGAAGGTGTGCAAATTACCCTTAGGATCAAATGCTAAAAATTGTGGGGCATTGTGTGAAGAAATGCGTGTCGGAGCCAGAGAAATCCAAGCCTTGCCCTGTGAAGTCACCGGTTCCTGTGGATTCGAACTTGACTTCTGGTATGTCCGGAAATGGTACGAATACTTACACTGGTAATCATCAAGGAACCAAAGCTAAAACGGAAGACATGTCAGTCTAACAGTGCAATTACTCGAAAAGCCGCTACAAGTAATTAAGATGGATCGACCGTCCACATTGCTAAGGGATAAGAAAATTAAGGTTTTGCGAAGATGAAAACAAAAATCCTGACTAATCCTGACCGAAGATTCTACTATTCGCAAAAAAATGTGCAAAATTTCAAAATTTGGCATGAGCCAACCACATAAAACGGGACACAATAAAATGACAGGATAAAACATACTCTGACGTCGGCATCGCGCCCAGCACTGGCAAAGCATTGGCGATCGTCTTCAGGACCACTAGCTACTATAAGACTGCAGATATCAAAACGATGAGCTGATTTGCGAAAAAGGACACATAGAGGATTCTTATTCGCAGGGTCAGTGGGATCGTAGGAATAACCACATATGTCGCCACTTTCATAGCCGACGATAGCAACGAGTTTCGTAGTATCAGTAGCAGACAACATCCAGACGCAGCTAGAAGCAATGTCCTTTTTGAACTTCTTCACCAAAGGTTTCAGGCCTAAATGGGGACTCAATGGCTCCCATATTATAACATGACCAGTGAGACTGGCGGATAAAATGTACAGAGACCCAGCTACACTACAAGCTGCACAAGTGTTTGGGATCGTGTCTTGTCCCAGTTGAATCCCTTTATCTAAAGCATAGGTAGTCGAAGAGGCAGACCATATTCTTATGCAGCGGTCGTTACCACATGTAATGAAACACTTTTCGAGGGGAGGTCCGGAAAATTGTACAGGAAAGGAAACGGAGTGAACATTCTGATCGTGAGCTTTAAAGTGATCCAGAAAAGTAAAAAAATAGCCATCCCCCGATTCGGACGTGCCATAACACACTCTATAAATGCACAAGAATTCGTAGCTTATGAAAGCCACATCACAACCCTCATCCTCAGACCAGGGTGAACATGCAGCCGGTGATGATTTAAACCATGTTAAGGAGTGAGGGATCACAAGAGATGCGGTAGATGAATCAGATCTTTCGTGAATATCTCCCATTCGTGCACACCATGCAGAAAATACAAAACGCGTGGTCCGGCATCTCGCCAATCAAAAGAGAGGAGCTCTAAATATATTTCATAAATTAAAACGAAAACAAGTGCTAAAAATAAGTTTTCGTACATCAATTCACAATATTCTAAATTATGCTTGCAAAACTTGTAAACAGTCAAATTTGATTTTGATTTACCCGTTGGCTTCGAGTTGTCTTGGGCGCTCCACTATCTCTTTATGGATGTTGGAAAGCATAGAAAACGGCTGTATATGTTGTCAGATGAAAAGCGAGGTGACTAAGCCTTTGCTTAGCTGTCTATACAGTAGTGAGAGGAAATAGCATGGTAAAAACTATAACAGAGAGAAAGAATGGTGTGGGTTTCAGCATGGCCGGGAGGCCAGCACACGTATTTTGAGCAATGGCACAGGCTCACTTTTCAGCACACTTCCTTACCAGCTACCATAGTGCATTAGATGGTATGAGAAAAGAAATTCAAACCAACTAAATTAGTCATCAATTATTATGAGTATGTATAACTGTACTTGACCACATCAGCAATTCCTCCTGAATTTTAAGTTGCGCTCGACTTAAAATGCAGGATATATGACAAGATGCTTTTTTGGCCATCAGCTACCCTTAAAATCACGTTGGGATCAAAAGTATTTACAATAGAGTAAAAAGGTTCGAGCAAAATTTAGTAGGGAAAGGGATCTAGTGTAATGACATCGGCAACATCTCCCACGGTTATGACAGTTTAAACTCCGACGCAAAACGTGTAAGAGCCGCCTGCCTGCCCTCTTGCCCCTGAACCTCAGACTTCAAGAGAGGGTTGATTGCGGATGATTTATTTGGCATTTGTTACAGGAAGAATGGGGATTGGGATGCAGATGAGCCGAATAGGAGGTATCAAATAGAAGGAGACTCCTCGCCCTCTTCGCACACGTGATTTGCGTTCCTAATTGGTGCCAGCCTTTAAACTACAAAAGTTCACTTATTACAAAACGATTTCCAAGTTTTCCAAGGCAGTGTTATTTCAGGTGCTAGAAACTTGTCTGTGGAATGCAGGAATGGAGTAGATGTCAAACATGAACGCAGTCTTTGGCTCTTCTGCTCACACTTGATGAGTACAGAAGTTTGCCACAGGAGCCAGAAATTAAAATGGAGGTTGCAATATTGGTAAACTCAAATTTTTCTTTTGCTTCAGCAATGCTTCGAGACTTCCTATCTGGTAGTGTAGGGCAATGGGCAGGACAGCATACATATATTTCGAGAAAAATAAAAGAGATTGGACTTTGACTTGATCCAAATATCAACACGCACATTAAGGAGCAGGATGAGTGATAAGGTGACCGCCGTTCCACAGGTGTTCAAATAAGCAAAGTTTTGCGCCCATCTTCTGTAGCTTCCCATGACTGCCCATAGGGTGGAAGAAGGCATAAGTGAGGTTGAATACATGTATTTCGAAGACGACAGGGTAATTGGGGCCTGAGTGAGGCCCGAAGGCCAGCCCACATGTACAGGGGCCAGACAAATTCTAAAGTGATCGCCAAACGTCAGATAGTCACATAAGCAAAGCAGTACATCCCCTATTCCTTCCCTCCCCAGCAGCTGTGAAATCGTGAGCACATTGGAATCCGCGCTACTCTCACTTAACTTTGGCTGTGCTTTATGTTGTTGGCTGCCGCCGGTGTTCGGAGTGCTGGTAGTCTCGGACCTTTGCAAGACCTTTGATGGCTGCCTTAAAGGCATTTTTGCCTTCTTCCTCTTAGAACTTCAGAGTGTCCATTAGTTTGTTAATTACCGTCAGTTAAAACTTTAAAGCACAGGGAGAAGCTTTGTAATTGTGTAATTTGTTTCCTGAAACGCGACTGCAGAAGCACTTAGTATTGAGGAAAACATTGCATTAAGAAGTTAATGATTTACTATTTTTGATATAGCTTTGTCTGCAAAAAATCCAGATGTGGGAGCTTTAACAATAAATAAGCTGCGAAATCAGATGTGTAGTTTTAACTACAAATTTCAAACATAGCATTGTTGAAAAGACTACTCTTACATCGATATGCTCTTTATGGGACCTCTAAACTTCTTTGTTGGTATAAGAAGGTTTTGTAATTTGGTAGAATGCTTATTGTCCATAGTCGGAAGACATTGCTGCCTTTGTCTAAAGTTAACCTAACGGCGAACGCTCTATGGCGAGGCACCAAAGATTCAACATCGACGCTCTCCCTCGTCATTATCCCTCGTCACCCACCACAATCCGTTTATGGATGTAGGAAAGGGAGATTATTAAATTAGCATGTGATGACGGCAATCTTTGTCAGCAGCATCAATGATTCCTTGAAAGCTGCAATGAAGGAGGGTGAAATGCGCAGGCTATCATGGAAGTCCATCACTTGTCATAGGGAAAGTATCTTGCTTATGAAGTCTAGTAAATGAGGGTGGGATCTATTTAACTGGCAGAGTGATTTAAGAGATATTGCTTTTCTCTTAACTGCAGTGCTCTCACCAACTCTTCAACCTTCTTTATGACTAGTGACTATTCAATTTTCAATAGCCGTCCTGTTGAACACGAAACATGGGCAGTTGATAAACGTAAAATGTCGTTTTCGAACCTTCAAGACTTCCCCTCAAACAGCATCCAGACAGATACGCATTGTCAGCATATGGAAAGGCAGGGAGTTACTGGCGGGGCTGGAATAGTACCTTCATCGAAGGAAGCACAATCACGAAAACAAGACAGAGAGATGACTTAACAAATGCTGCATTACACTTCCAAAAGTTGGCGTAAGCTTCAAATAAAAATGATGAGCTACGTTGAGCATTTAACGTCACTAAAATTTGTGACCGATGGAAAATCATTGAGTTGCCAAGCCCGAGATCTTCGGGTTAACCTTCGCATCGGTTTGCCATTCAACTTAGCGACCGTGATGCGATCACTTTTGGGCTTTACTGAAAGTGTAAGTCAATAAAATTTTAAAGGAAAGACTTAAAACTAAACAGCAAAGAAGTACAGACACTTCATGCTCGTTAGTGTTTTTTGGGTGACAGTGCTATACTTTATTTGACCGACTTTGGAAAGACTTCTATCCTAGTTTGTGGCAAACTTTGCGGTACGCATAAAGTACATATTCAAGGGGTGGGAAATCTCTCATTTCTTCGCAATGGAAGGAGTGAGAATGACGTCCACTCACGGCTTCTACTTCGCTTTCAACAACGGACGCAACATTTCCGGTTGAAGTTTTCCGAATTAACTCACTGATAGATGCTCGCACTGACATTGTGTTAGAGCCTCTTCACATAGGACTGCGTTAAATAACGTATTTTGCCATTTGACCGGTGTTCCAACGCTTTGCCATAAGACAAAGATGATGATTAAAGGAACTTTCTACCTCTGATCCCTGTTTTCAGGACGGAAAATAACTCCGATTCTAGTTCAAAGCCGCTGAGGTTTCAGTGACGTTAAGATCAAGCACCTTCCTTCTGTCAGTCGTCGCTGACTGGTGCGGCTGCCTTGTGGGCGCTTTCTCGGGTCACCAACTTCATTATGATGGCTGGCGAGAGAGGTTTATCAAGAGGTGCGCCGGATTGTTGCTCAAAGAAAGGGAGAGTCGATGTATTACTTTGCTTATTCGACTACCTGTATGCATCTCTACCACATGGAAACTTTGTTACTTCTGCTGAGATGTCTCGGAATTTTGCAGCTGGACTCTAGGAAACCGTGGTTTCGCCTTTTTGATTTACGATTTTGGGCCAGTTATTCCAGACAGAGGATAAATTTAATGTCATGCCTTAACAAGCCCTTGCTTGTAGTCTGAAGCTTTTATGCCCCATTGACGGTGGTAAAGAAATTAATAGGATTGAGACAGTCGTATAAGACGTAATTACTTCTCTTTTGTCAGGCCTCGGTAGTACCGCTTTCTTAAAAACAGTTTCTAAAACTGGACAGAGATGGATGGAGATGTCAAAGGAAATCGGAATGGTGCTCCGATATCGTGGAACAAAATGATAGTAAAATAAGCGTTCCTCTTAACCGACATAATTACATCAGAGTGAGTAAGCATGTTAGATGAAGGTAAGCATTTTTAAGACGGAAGAGGTTATTTTATCCTCCGATTAGGAGCTGCATGCTTACTTGATTAAATTCATCCCATAATCCCACTTTATAGAAACATCAAAATCAAAACCGACCCAGTCGAACGTTTGCCTTGCTTTCTAATAGCCTGGCTAGTAGCTGATTTGCAGTGGCTAAAAATTGAACGGGTTACAAGTGGACACCTCATCTAAATCCTATTAAAATAGTTCAAGTCAAAATATGCTAAATTTAGTTTTTAGACTAATGCAAAAGGACTTCCCAAGGTACCACCCATCAAAACACGCATGTAGCGCCGAGTAGTCGACCGTCAATCAGAATCAAAGATATGAATGTTAACACGGTCAGTGACAGAAAATACTAGTTCTGGAATTGCTTATTCATCCCATCATCAACTCCTTTGCATTCCTGGTCAGTACATTGTCAGAATACAAATGTTCCTGGTCACGTTTAGGTCTTTATGGCATTTGGAATTTTAGATGGAGCCACGCATTAAAACATGCTAGTATAGGGGTAATAATTTTGTCCACACACTCCTTCAATCTTTCTGGTGCTAATCATTAAGCCGCGGTTTCATTGGGCCCTCATGAACCCGCCATACGATTGGTCGGCTTGATGTGTTCAGTTAGTTGATTGGTTAATCGGGTAAAAAACGAGTCCTTCCACACCAGTCACGAAGGCGTCATTTGGTCCGGTCCGAAACAAGTCTATATATGTTTTCTCGCAGACGATCACTTCAAAATTTCCAACCTCATACCATGTTCAGCGACCCTCGCCAGGTCTTGCTGCCCGTGGATGGAAGTGAGTCAAGTAAGCGGGCGATGACGTGGTATATGGCGAATATCTTTCGTCCCACCGACGTGATTCACCTTTACCATATCTGCGAGCCAAGCTACGCGGCCAACAATTTCTCCCTTACCACTCTGGGACAGAGCAAAACTGATGAGATAAATGCTATGCTACAGGAACACATTGAGCTTTCGAACACCCTCAGTCACGATTTCCTTTCCAGGCTGGAGGATAAGGGAGTGTCCGGTGATTTTACCCTAACGGTTGGTACAAAACCCGGGGAGATGATTGTAAGCTACGCACGAGATATGAACGCTGATCTCATTGTTATGGGCAGCCGAGGAGTGAGTGCTCTTAAGAGGACGGTTTTTGGCAGTGTTAGTGACTACGTCTTGCACCATTCTTCTATCCCCCTCACGGTGGTCCCCGTACCCAGGAGGGAAAAGGACTTCCGGCGCGCCTCTCTCAGGCCTATGTAAGTGGAGTGAAGGCGGTTGAGTAACGCCCTCTCAACCCACTTCATCGATCCGCCTACTTTCCTTTTTTCCTCCTCCACTCTCCTCTTCCTCTCAGAATCGCATTTCTTGTGACAGACCGCACTTAAAATTGCTTCCACTTAGGTACTTGAGCTCCTATCCTGAAGACGTCAGGGATGAGAAAGATTCCGTGATGGATATATTACCCTTCAATTTTCAACCTCTCATCCTCGTCCTTTCTCTTTCTCGCATTTTCTTACTGCCAATAGATAAACATGCACACGCACGAACTCTGTGTTTTCTGTGCTCTTCTTTTTGCATTTGTTCTTCTGTGGCAGAAAATTTTCCAAGCTGTGCTTGAAAAATATATATACAACACTGCTTGTGAAGCCAGTGAGGATGAAAGCGATATTTTACAGTGTAAGTTTTGTCAGCATTACTTTAATTACAAAATCAAGTTTAGCTGCTAGGTCTTTTTAATTGATTTAAACAATAACAAAAGAAGTTTCGTTCGCATTCTGAATGCTGCTTGCACTGAGTCTCGTATTGCTGCGTTTTCTAACAAGTGGCTGCACTATTTTCAGAAGATCTTTCTTAAATCGCCATTATGCGTAAATCATGTCACTAACTTACGTCGTTAAGGGAGTGCAAGCAAAGTACATTTGATTACGCTATGGAAATGCATTGCCGTCATCAACCGTTCTGGTGAAATACATGGTGTTCATCCATCACTCCCTCATCATTCACGAGATCTGCAACTTCTGCTTATACTTCCGCGAGAACACAAGGCTATGAATGAGTTTTATGTTGAAGGACGGATTCAAATTTCACCGGTAGAATAGCAAGTGACGAGGCTGCTGACGCTAAAGGAGGCCTCGTTGCTTACAGGAGCCATCAGCGGCACACTAACATTTGCTCGAGAAGTGCAAACGTGCACGCTAATGCTATTAAAACTAGTCTTCTTAGCATTCGAATGTTCAACGAGGTCCACAAAACTGAGCACCACATTTGTCGTAAATAAACGAGAGGTTTCTTTCAAGGCTGCAAAACTAAGGACTGGCACACACTACGTAAGCCGAATTCGAAGGTGATGAATGTTTGGAAATTAGTTTTCGCTAACCTTTCCAAATGTGAATTCTTTTTCATCACGGCGGATTGCGCTATGCATTTCAGGAATTCCCAAGTGCAGAATTTGGGAATCTCGTGAAGTATAGGAAGGTTGAAAATGTTCTTTACTTTAGAGTCTCACAATTTTTTTTGTGCATTAGGCATTTGCAAGTAAACAAAGCTAGCAAGAGTCGCGATTTTTCCTTTGCATTCTCAGTGCCCTAGGTTCAGGGGTTGCGTACACACACACACACACACACACACCCTCGTTCGGGATAGAACAAAGGGGCAACTGTTGTACCAGCAATGACCAGCCACCGTCCCTCCCTCCATCTGACCCGCAAGGGGTGACATCGCAAGTGGACGGAGGGAATTCGGCAACCATTACTTTCATCCTCATCGCACTATTCAATACGAGGTTGCCATCACCGCAGCAGCACTAGCTTAAGAGTGTTAAAGCTTCTTTCCTAGATGAAGCTGGTTATCTGCAAGACCTCACACTTATGCCCACTTAGATATCATCCACATCCATTGCATTTGTTTTATACCCCAACTGCATTGACACCTTGGAGAGTTGTAATAACAAATGTGTTGCTGAGCGCATTTACCTCCAAGTATATCCTGAAGCAGCAAATTCTTATGCAAGCCTTTGGTATTTCCCTCTCGAAGTGCGGACCATCACCTGGTGCAGTGATTGAGGGGTTGTGGAACTTTTGAGCCCCTTCTAATGCTAATTTGACTTTTGGCATCTTACAAACCTTGACAGTCTATACGACCAAGGACGGGTCAGGTATCAACAGTGTTTTGCTAAAGGGATGAAATTTCCCATCTTTTCAATATCATTTAAAAAAATTACCGGATGTAAATGTCTCTATACAAATTCCAACACATTCGTCGTCACTACTCTTGATTTATGGCTTCCATTTAAAATAATTCAGTTCGAAAGCCAAAAGAAGATGTACTTACCTTTGGACGAAGGGCATTTCGTTCATCTTTTTTATCGTGCCAAACGTATGCAATTTGCTGACCACGACCACAGCAACCGTAACGCGGTAGGAGCGCATTCCACAGCCACGTGGCCAACCCATTAGAGTTAAAATCAAATTCTTAGGCGACGTCAAACTACTAGTCCAGGCTTTTGAACTGGAAAGTGGGTCCTCCTCTCTCCCTCCCGCCCCCTCCCCCGTCCCCCACTCCAATTCTGTAACCAAGATCACAAAAAGTAAGTGATTCTTCAAAAACCTGACTAAACTTGGATTAGAATGGATCACTAGTCGCGATGCTCGCCAACGCTGAGCGAAGTGATATAAACACAGACAGCACACTGCAAATTCACGTCACCTCGGTTAGCGTTTTAGGGAGGTACTGTATTCAAAGTGTCCAAAATTTGTGCAACAGCTCATCTGAAGAAATGAAGACTTAAGAACGGCCTGTGGTTCACTCCGCCTTCTTGAGAGTGCCCTCATCTTTCTACAAGCCGAAAGGAATTGGAACAGTGTTTTCCATTGTTGCATTATGCACACTCCAAAGTCTCCTCTCCAGTCGATCACCGTGTACGGTCGACCTTAACCCTGCGTGTTTGGTGCAGCATTCGGAGGTCAGTCACTGCAATTTTATTCAACCATAAGTAGTGTTGGTATGGCGCCCGAAGATATCCTCAAAGGACAAACGAGTTGATAATCCTTGGGCATCACACATGAACACTAAAATGGAAGGCGATCGCGGGTTGCTGAAGTGGCGTGGAGACCAACCCGCTTGGGCCCACGTAACCAAAGCTGGGCCATTTAACGAGCAAAATTTTGCATTCAGAGGCTCAAAATTGACGAGAGCGCCTGATGGATTGTGGACCGATTGCACTTGACACCACTGCCACGAATTTGCTGGCAGAAGGTAATAAGAAAGCATAAATATTTAATCCAAAAATTGTCATAGAAGCACCGGATAAAGTGGGCTTAGAAGTCGCTTTCAATCCTCATCGCATTGTTGCAGAGTCATGTTTTGACAAGAAAGATCATGCACCGGTGCTTATTCGCCATGAGCATTTGATAAACAGGCAACATTTGCCTTACTTTCAGCTAAAACTTACTTTAAAAGGCCAAGTTTGTCTGTGAACCCTCGCTAATAATAGCCGAACGAGGATTTAACCATCGATTGCAGTAATGTGGAGCTGGTAAAATTAGTGTTTTAGAAGCCACATACAGGTAGCTTTAGTACTTTGAGAAGGCGGAGGAATTAAAACGCAATCAGCGCGATGAGACTATCTCAAAGACCGCAGAAGTCGTAATTTGTTCCCTCGACTCAGGGAAGAGACAAAAGGTACCGGCGTGGATCGGGCATTCCTGCTATGCTTGTGTCCAAAGTGAATGCAACAAAGAAAACTTAGCTGATAAGTTAACTGAACGGTTGCCTTGAGAACAGCATAGCTGGAACTGTAGCTGACGGATGTCTTCCACGTGACACAAACCCTCCCTCCGCTGCCTGAGCCCGACATCACGCACAGCCCGAAATATGGATGAACGTAATGTAAGGCTACAGTGATGCTGGGCTACAGTTTCTATGACCACCAGACAGCATCCACTTCTTCATCACCGAAGTACTTCAAATAAGTAATCAAGCAACAATCTCAACAAGCTTTAAACTCATTCAGATTTGTCATAATTATGAAAATAATACGTCCGCTGAATGCCTTTGATCCTGCGTGCAGGCAGACACGATGCATAAAAATCCGCAAATACCTTCGGGTACAAAACCCCATTAGCTCTAAGCCCTGCTTGGGTGTTGGGAAAGGGGGCAAAAGAAAGCGCGATTCGTAGTGAGTTGTGTCAAGTCTAGTCGTAAGCCGTCCTGACATTTAGCCACCACATAACAGTCAGCAGTGGACACTGGCTGAAAATAATGTTGGATTGGGCATGACAGATGGAAACACACACACAGTTGCCTCCGAGACGCGGCCCACCGTCTTAGTCATACCTACGGGTAAGTCGTACAACAAATACGACAAGGGATTCTTCGTTCACATTCCAGCATAGCAATCGCGCTGGAAGGCTTTATAGAAATTCCACTGAATTTCGTATTCAATTTTAGGACCTCTTAAAGGTGTTTTGTTTTGAGATAGCAAATGTAATTCTGTCAAGAGTGAGAGAAGAAACGCCAATTGTTGGCCTTCTGAACGGGGTTCGGAAATCCATTCATATCACGTGAAATAAAAAGGAGGAAACTACGGCATTCCTAACAGGATCAATCCAAATTCCACCATTACAACGGCAAACTTCAAAGCACAGATTGGGAAAAGTCAAACTTTAAAAACTCAAGTTTTGTTAAAGGAACCACTTCTGGTCTCCTCCGCGGTATCTTCGCCGGGAAGGTCTTCGAATTCTAAAAATGCTTGGACTGTGCGTGATCTGCGGAATGTGAATCTGACCCTCCAGAACGTCCCTCCCGATTCGTAATAACTGTTGGCTGAAGGAACTGAGCTTTATGGTGCATATAAGCACAATAACTGAAAACAGCGTCCAACCGCACCACAGCCTTAGTCAAGGCTGTACTACTCTTGCACTACTTTAACTGATAACACCTCATTTACTCGAATGGAACTTCATGCTTGAGCCCTGCTTCCATGCAGGATGAAACTCTGAGTCCAGGAACATTGAGATCAAATGAACGCAAAATATGACAGGTGAACAATGGGTTTCGGTCTTACGCACGGACTGCACGGACTGTGGTGTCTGTGATGGGAGGCTGACCACGAGGAACAATAGGAAATTTGTTGGGTACTCCACCAGTGCCCAGTCGTCCCATCCCCCTCCGCAATGCGTAGCTCATCCCAACACACCGTCTTCATTTTCCTTTTCCTACGGCGATGTAAGGATGGCTAATAATATTGTAATTGAACCCTT